TGGGGGGGGGGGGGGAAAACTAAAAAAAAGGGGGGAAAATTGGGGGAGGGGAAATTTTACCCGAAAAAACGATTTTTTTTTGAGGGGCAAATATTTTGAGAAAAAGGGGGGTGGGGAGGTTAAAGTTTAAGCGCGGGGTTTTGGGGGTAAAAGGCCAAATGTTAAGGGAAAAAGAGGGAGGAGGAATTTAAGCCGGTGAAAAAAAAAAAGGAAGGAAAGCTGAGGGGGGAAAGGGAAAAAAAAAAAAAAGAGAGAATAAATGGGGGGGTGAAAGGGAGGGAGAGGGAGTAAAAATAAAGATGGGTGGGAAAATTTTGGAGAAACCTTTTTTAATTTTGGAAAAAAAAAAGGTGATGAAGAATTGGAAAAGGATGGAAACCCCCTCACCCCCCCCCCCCCCCCCCAACACACCCCAGAGCACCCCATTTTCTGAGCAATTATTCAGCGTTTCGATGGTCGGTTTTGGTGTTTCTTTTTTTTTATATTGGGCGGAATATTTGTTGCTTCATCATTGAGCCTTTTTGGGGGGGCGTGATGGAAAGTTCTTTTGTTTGCTTGGAAAAGCAAGGTACATGTATAGATTTGGGTACACGCGTAGATATATGCTAGCGATAGGTTTTGATAAAATTTAATTCGAGTTTGAGCGATGAAATGAGATAGACTCTTGATGAATGAGTGAATGCTACCTAAATATTCCAGTTCTTTTCTTCCCTTTAGAAATCCCCTCTATGAAGCAGCAGATCCGGACCAAGACTTGTTTTATCCCATCCCCCACCTCACGACACAGCCACAGAGCCACCGGGAAAGGGTGAGTTTGGCCGACAAGTCACGGCATGACAGTGGAGGTATGAATGGAACTACCACTTGGTGGTAACAACCCTTCTGGTGGTGACGGCTGGCACGCTGGTGGCAATCCAGGTGGTTGTCACTCCGGGGATGCTGGTAGCAGTCCACGTCACGGTCACGCCCGGAGCAGACAACGTGCTGGCTGCCACTGTACCGCCCGGAACGGATAGGGTGCTCCCCACAGAGGTGGGGATTCCGGGAGCGCTCGCCGTGACTGTTCCGGGGACACCGGGAACTGCACATGCGGAGGTGCCAGGAACAACAGAAGTTGCAGTCACCGTGCCGGGGACACTGGTCGCGATCCTAGTGGCGGTTACGGTGCCGGGAGCGCTGGTAGCTGTGACAGTGCCCGGAACACTGGTGGCGACTCTAGTGGCGGTCACGGTGCCGGGAACGCTGGTGGTGACCCTCGTGGCGGTCACGGTGCCGGCAGCGCTGGTAGCTGTGACGGTGCCGCGGACACTGGTGGCGCCCCTAGTGGCTGTCACGGTGCCGGGGGTACCAGGAAAGCCGACAGGAGTGCTGGTTGCGATGGGGAGGTTGATGGGGAAGCCGGTACTGATGCCGATGGGGATGGCAGCTGCCGTTGCGGTCGAGGCGAGGCTTGCGAGGGTTGAGATGGTGGAGAGCTTCATTGTCAGGGTAGTATGGAGGGCTTGTTGATATGAAGATGTGATGATGATGATGATGATGATGATGATGGTGAGGATGCTGTTTACTTTTGATTCGGGAGGGAATGATGACTTTATAGTACTTCACTTGACGAGAATAACCCCCTTCCGTCTTTCCTTGAATCACATCATATCACCTACCTAGGTACCTAACCAGCAACGAAGTCATATCGCCAAGTATCTCGCTGCACCTAAGATCCCTGAACAGCATATCATACCGCCGAACGTATAAACCCCGAACATGCTTACACTGAGGAGCCTGAAACAAAACAACATGGGAGGTGATTGGATAATTGAAGATGGTGCATCTGTCCGCGTCGCTATACGAGCCAAAAGGATCTTACCCTACCAAGTTTCTGTAAGGCAGATGGCTAGAGAAAAGCAATATCGTTGAAAGAGATGCATGTCGAGTAGTTGATATTTGCTCACAAGGGACGCGTGGTGTGCAGATACGAGGGTGCATTGGGAGAAGGCAGGAATATGTCTGGAAGGAGGATCGAGTGATTCGTCACCACTACAGGGGTGAGCTTATGGGTGCAGCAAGGCCAAGGCGGCTGTGGGCAGGGGAAGGGGAAAACATGGAGATGTCAGCCCTACCGAGTATATGAGAACTTTTGTTCAAGAAAGACACGGCTATAAGGTACAAGAACGTCGTGCTGGCATTCGGCGACGGAGATATTCACAAAAGTTCAAAGAGGGGTTGAAGCCGAGAGGGATAGGAACTTGAATACAGCTAATAACAAAGATCTTGAATGCACATCATCAACTCCTCATCAGTGCCAGTCAAAGCACAGCATCTGTCCGTGAGAATAACATCCAGAGCCCTTCCAATGCCTCCTAGGCACCAGCCTTACCCTTGCCCTCCTCCTTCAACTCCCGAATCCTCCTATGCACCTCCACAAAAACCAACCCATCCAAAATCTCCGTCACCTCCGTAACCTTCTCCCCGTTCTCATTAAACTTCACAAACCACGAGACATCCAGCTTTACCTCCTCGTTCTCCCCATTCGCCAGGTGCAAATTGTCAACGTACACCGTCGTCGCGGCCCAGTCATTGTCTCTGCGTCGACAACCAAATGCGTGATATCTACCGATTTGGTCCGGATGAACCGGGATTCACTCGCGTATTGAGCCTCCCATGTCGCCACGTCAAAGGTAAAGTCTGGCGGTGCGCCTATGCTAGCGAGGAAAGATGCGGGGGCGATGTAGCGGAGGCAGTCGGGGGAGAGGACGGAAGAGAGGAGGGAGGGGTTTTTCTGGGTTGTTGCTTCGATGGGGCCGTGGAGGAAGGTTTTGAGGGTGAGGCGGAGGGTTTGGTGGAGGTTGGGGGTTGTTGCCATTGTGGTGGATTGGGGGGTGTTTATGGTGTCAACAAGGAAGAATGGCGGGCAAGGTCAACAAAGATCTGCTTTTACGGGAAATGTTGAGTTATATCATGCTCTTACCCCTCTTTTGAGGGTGAAAAGTGTCAACGTTCATGACGTGCCATAGGTGCATGATGCTGTTGGTTGTTGGTGGTAGTTTGAATCTTACTGCCCTTTTGGGTGTGTGTGTGTCTTGGTGGAGTTGACAGAAGGGATGTGATTATTGTTAAGTATTTACAAATCAAGGCACCTTGCTAAGTAACTATAGACATACTTTGTTTCCTTCCCGACAGATAAACCGACACATAAACTACACAGTAATAGCCTTGGGATACATCCTCGTGCAGCTCAACCCAGTGTCGGACCCATCCCCACTCGACAGGAACACCTGATTGTTGCCACACAACAAAATATTCTTCCTGCCGCCCACATCAAGCGTGAGCTCGCCAGTCGCCGTGCTAACACACCCCTTCACCCTGATATAATTGGCAGGACTATACTCGGCACCCGTCCTCGCCTGAAGCCGAACAGACGCAACGTTCCCTGGGCTCACCCAAGCACTGACCTTGTAGGTAGACTGCCCAACAAGGTAAAGAGTTGCCAGGTACCCCTCCTCGTCCAAGACCCATTTGTACATCTTGTAGACGTCGATGACAGGCTCGACTGGCGCTGATGCCCAATCCATACTGCCGTACAAGCCGGCCATGCCGTTGTTCAGCTGGGAAAAGAGGTAGCGCTGGCTGTTGGCGGAATCAGTCGCGACGGCGTTGAAGTTGGCGACGTTACTGCATCTTTCTGCTGGGGCGACCACGGTGGAGGTGATGGTTGATGTAACGGTGGTTGTTGAACCTATGACCAAGACGTTGCCTGTTATCGTAGTCACGGCGGTGGCAGTGACCGAGGCCGTTTCAGTCTGGGTATTGTATTCTGTGGCAGTTACTACGTCGATGACCGTGGTGGTGGTGGAAAGAGTAACGGGAATCGGGATCGTTGTGGCAGCCACGCTGTCGGTGAAGGTGACGGTCACTGTGGCGGCCGAGGGTGAAACGGTAATAGTCTCCTGGGCGGCTCCTGCGCACTTGCAGACCGAAATATACTTCTCCCATGATGGACAATGTGCTGAGGCGTAGCTTGGAATGGATGGCGCCAGGGTGCCACTCGTGGGTGCCAGGTCGGTATCGGCGGCGCGCGCCACGATTTGAGTCGCAGCACTCGGCAGGACTGTCGTGGTGGATGTGACCAAGACTGTAACGGTGTTATATGCGCGGGTAACGTAGACCAGGGAGCGCTGAGTCGTCGTGCCAGTCACCGTGGTGCTGATGGTGTTGAGCAATGTTTCGGTCTCGACAGTCGAATAAACTGTTGCCGTCGTGGCATCTGTCTCGACCACGCTGACATACTCGGTCGGAACTTCCGTCACAGTCTCGGTAGCAGTGGTGACTTGGGGCGTGACTGTTACTATCTCGAGAGCCAATGAGCAATCCTGTAGGCCATCAACCAGGGGATCAGCGACGGCCTTGAAGCATTTGTTTGTGCGGCAGCAGGCGGCAGATGCCAGTTGAAGTAACCCAAAGGCCGAAGCGAACGCAAGTCCCTGCTTCATCATTTACGATAATGATGATGGGACGAAAAGAGTGACTAAAGTGAGTGTGGCAAAAGACAACAATAACCTTCGGCCAGCCCGCAACCGGGGCATTTTGCTTTTCAATGTTCCTACCATGATTCTAGATCTCCTTGGCGCTGTCAATGGTCTGAACTGTTTGGATTTGTGTGGAAATTGCGCATTGATATGGTCATGTCTGATTGGCCCCCTTTCCTCAGCTGAACTCCATGCTGCCGCATCCTTTGAGCCGCAACCCGAAATATGCTCGATGATCTGCTAGCGTCCAGCTGAGGTCCGAGAATCCTTGTCATCTCAGGATACCTAACCCATCATCGTGAATCATAGATGTCAGCTGAGTTGTTGTGAAGCGTGCCAGCAGAACTGTGAGAAAAGTGATGGTATTGTACGGCACTGGAAAATCGGCTCCGGAGAGCAGAAATCTATCTATATCAACAGCTAACCTGTGACCCACAGGGCAGAAGCCCTAGGAGCAACCTGCCTGAAATATCACAGTTGTCCTCCGAGGAATACTGACATGACATCACAAGAAATCCCCATGAGCCCTACCCGTACAATATGCGTTTATAGATATGACCGAGATGGAGGAGAAAAGTTGGTGTGGTGATGATAAAGAAGAGATGCATGACTTTCACCGGATGGAAGGAAAGCTTCAGCAATTAAGATAAACCACCAGTCAGCATGAATATGGGATCGAAGACCTGCGTTTGTCAACAGTCATTTCTTATATACCTATTTAACCTTTCCCTTCTAGAAAAGGAGCAGCAGATGAAAACAATCATCACATATTCGCACGAAACAACAGTATATCATGGGCACAGGGACTAGTGAAACGGTTCATCTTGAGTAATACCTGAGTGTATTCGATATCGGTCGAATCTCAAGCACAGCAGGAAACCGCCCTCCCTCTGGATTTGTATTTTCCAAGGCCTTAACTACGAGCCAAAACTTTACAATAAATGAGAGCCCTATTCTTTCTTTCAGTCAAGCTAGAATATATGTGGCCGGATGACTCGCGTCTCCCTACAACATGCCTCATGAGAAGAAAGCTTGCTAGGGCATGTTCCTCAGCCAAAAGACCAGCATGATGACGCATGGAACCTTGACATCACAGTCTCCGTGTGATTGCTCCCAGTTCACCTGGTCCCACCTTTTCTGTCAGGTCCACATGTTGGTTGCTCTGGATTGGGGTTTTGTTGCGTATATCACACACTTTGTAGTTTTCTTTTCTCTCTCTGTTAAATTTCACCATTATCACTTTTCTCACCACCTTTTGCCTCACTTTGCGCGCCAGTGATCACTTTCACTGTCCCAACCCCCGCCTGTTCGCTAACCGACCTGGACACTGAGGACGTTTGGAGATGCGACCAGCTCGCCAACACTGGAAAACGGGTTGCCTAAGATACTATCTACTTGGCGAACGCCGACGTGTTCGTTTTGGCCTTGATTTGACTCAACCGTGGCTTCATGGATTGTCCGATAAGGTCCGTTAATCGGCGTGAGAGTCACGCTACCCCGTCACGGCCTTTGCCGGCTTGCATACAATGGAGCCAATATGACTTTTGGATCGCGAGCAGTTTGGCCCCCGCGCAGCTAGCCTCAATCAATTTGTCAAGGCTTCACAGATCCGTATCTCCGAGTCCATTAACATTGACGGCGGTGAGTTGCAAAGGTTGAAGCTGAATAGGGGATCTGTTCGGTTATGCAAGAAACCTGTTTGCATGTCGCATTCCGGAGGTGTAGGTAAGCCCTACGAGCCGTCTCAACACGAGCCTTTCCCGTGTTGTGTAGGCGAACCGGAGGATGTCAGCAGAGTGTCGTCGCGATGCGACGTGGACGCATGTGTCCTATGCTTGTCTCTACATGAAAAGCTTGGTTATCACGAGCCTGCATGCTAGGCATCAGGAAAATTGTACAAGAAACTTCTAGCATGAGACTTGGCACAGGAACGGTGCCGAGTGCGCCCAATGATAGCTGCTGCCATGCTCACTACAATCCTGGAAAGTGGGTTTAGAAGTGTCGATAGTTCGTTTCGCTTACACGTTGTATCCCCGTCGGCATATTGCTGGGCAAGAGCCACGGCATCCGCCTTGGCGGACGTGGACAGATGTGAACAAGGCTGAAGATATCATTAACTGTCGTCGTGAATAGAGAAAGAGAGAGAAAAAAAGGTATAAAGGGGAGGCCATCGACCCTCAACCATCTGGATTCTCTCCTCACCCCCACCAGCATCCTCATCTCCATCCTCACCAGCATCATCAACTTCACTTCCACCTTCAAATCTTCTTCCCTTCAACCCTCAAGATGAAGTTCACTCTCTCCACCGCCATCCTCACCGGGCTCGCCACCCTGGTCTCGGCCCAGTCCCCTCAAATGCCCGGCCTCGCCCCCAACTGCAACCGCTACCACTACGTCCAAAGCGGCGACACCTGCGCCGTCATCGCCGCCGCCAACGGCATCTCGGTCGCCCAGTTCCTCTCCTGGAACTCCGAAGTCAACGCGGGCTGCACCAACCTCTGGCTCAACTACTTTGTCTGCACCGGCGTCTCCTCGAGCGGCGGCACCACCACCGCCACCGTGACCAGCACCGCTGACAACGGCGGCACAACAACAACCAACACTGTCACGAGCACCAATGACAATGGCGGCACAACAACAACCGCTACTGTTACCAGCACCGCTGGGAACGGCGGCACCACCACCACCTCTGGTGGCCCTACCAGCACCCCTACCAACACCTCCCCTCAGATGCCCGGGTTGCCTTCTACCTGCTGGTTGTTCCACACTGTTGAGACCGGGGATACTTGCGAGATTATTGCTGCCAGCTATGGGGTCACGCTTGCGCAGTTTTATGCTTGGAATCCCGAGATCAACTCTACTTGCACCAACTTGTGGTTGGGATTTGCTGTTTGCGTTGGGGCGTAAGGAGAAGACCGAGCGGGACGGCTTTAGAGTCAGGGGATAGTCTTTACTGCTAGCTTGGGGAGTGTAGATAGCCAAATGGAATGTCAATGTTTGGTGAACCAACGGTCCGGGTTACCATGACAACTTGTGATTATCATGTGAAATGCATAGTCCAGATTGCATAAACTGTGGTGCACTGTAACATCAATAAGGTATGGAAAAGGTTCCGTGGAAATCATAATGTCAAGCTAGATGGGTACCTGATCTGTACAACACCTATTTATCTCATGTGCTTTTCATACTTTTGTGGGCAGGGCTGTTGGCAAGCTTTCAATCCGGCACCAAGAACAAGTGACAAGGACTCACCTCGCGGGACTGGATCTCAAACATTCATAACATCACATCACATCTGTGCAGGAACCTCAATGTCACAAAAAGAGAGCAAAAGTTGAACATCACGATAGTCAATTTATCCCACAGTCGACAAGGTGGTAGCAAAGATCCTCCTCTATATCATCCATCTGCAGTACATTTGGCCTATCACGTCCTTCCATCATCCCTCACATGCAGCTACATTTAGCAGTTGAGAACAGCGTTGCCGCAGCCAGTGACGACCTTGTTGACACCAGCAGAGGAGACGGCCTTGCGGGCGCTGCCGCAGTAGCGGCCCTGAGAGGTGGAGCCCTTGCAGAAGTTCACGCTGGGGCATCATTTGTGTTAGCACAGGGGAAGCTGAGCTGGTCTTGTTGGAGGGGGGTTCGTCTCACCAGCAGCCATCACCGAGCTTGGACTCCCAGATCCAGGACTTGACAGTGAAGCCGACGTTGCGGGAGCCGGCGGTGGAGTAGCTCTTCTGGGTGCCCTGGTAGTTGTCGGCGCTGTAGACGGAGAGGGTGTAGGCGGAGGAGGTGCCAGCGAGGGCGGCGACGAGGAGGGTGGAGAGCTGCATTTTGATGGTTTTGGTTGGTTGGTTGGAAAGTGAAGATTTGTCTTGAGTAGATGGCTTGTCTGAAGGCTTGATGGTGAGGATGATGAGAAAAGGCGTCTCGATGTCGTGATGATGGCTCTCTTTTATAGACAAAATCTCGAGATGATCCTTCACAAGCAAACGGTCTCGAGTCTTTCCGTCTTACTCCTCGGTGTAGTCGATCTGTGGAGCTCATGATGTGTTTTAGGATGCTGTTGTCATCAGTACTACCTGCTACAGGTGCATGTTGTGTGAGATGATTCGATGGGAGTGGGTGGCCAATGGTTGAGGCGGGCGGGTAGCTGTGTAGCCGTTGTAACGTTGAGGGTGCAAGCTGTCTCTGTTCAGCTAGAGCCTCACTTTTGGGGTTGCACCGAACCGCAGATCTGCAAAGTGGTTGAGATCATGCCTACAGAGGGTCTAATCGGGCGACCTGGACCCCTCTCCAGATTCGAGTGCCTCTCCTGAACTGATCGAGAACTTTGATGTTGGAAGTGTCAGAGTTGACCTACTCGTTTGGATATTTCAGCTATCTATAAGGCATCTACTACAAAGCACTGGCTTGATCTGAAGTCAATTTCACGATAGAAGTGACTGCTGCTCAGATCTGTGCTCCTGAATCGCACGGTCAAACCGGGTAACCGGAGGCCATCGAATGATGCGGAGGGGTGGCGGAGAGCCTCCGGGAGCATGGTCTTGGCTACCGTCGTATTGTCGCTTGTCTACCTTATTTTTCCCAGGGAATTGTGGGCTTCTCACGTTGAGGCTCTCGGCTATATGCAGGAACGTCAAAAATGGAATGGCTCTCGGTCAGCGATTTGGTCGTTGGCGTCGCCGTTGAGATCTAGATCGTAGTAGCCCAAGAAGCTTGTGCCGTATACCCAGTTCACACAAAAGAAGTTTCACTAATACCTATCGAGAACACATATTCGTTTGCAGTTGCCTGTTGTAGCTCTCTCCATGTGCTTCGAAGCCTGTCAAGTTGTCCATCAAAGCGTCCGTCAAGGTGCTCGCCAAGCTGCTCGCCAAACCTTGACAGTGGCTGGTCGCGGGATAGGACAGCACGTAGACCCTTAATGATCGGCGCATATAGACATACACTTCTCTGTATCAGGCAGGTCAAGATCATTGACGTCGGATCTCTCGTTGTTTTGTTCCTGACAGTTCGCCATCCCCATTCGATATTGTAACCGTCACGGCGTCAGCACTGTGGAGTGCGCTAACCCCGTTGAAGCAGCTACGACAAGCCTCCCCCAGATCGTCCTCTTGTCTGACGGGAAGGAACACGGGAAGTGGACCCTGGATCGGCGAAATCTATCCGTAGTCGATGTCAGAACGCCATCTAGACTGCGATATGTCGTAGCACTTGTGTTGAAGCTTGCCCTAGATAGGGCTGGTACGCCCCGCCTTCGAAAACATCTCCAGTCTACGGAGGAACTGGAGTGAATAAGAAAAGGAGAAGCGCGTGTTGATCGTGCCACAGCCGAGGGAATTAAGCGAAAAGCAGGCGCTTGTCGCTTGATTTGTGCAGGAGCAAACACGGAGGAATTTTCCGTGGAGCCCGAAACAGCAAAAGTGAACGTCTCACGAGCAAGCAGCATCACCTGATTTACCTTCTTCTTTCGTGTGGGAGCAATCATCAGATTCAAAACTGCTCTACATCAAAATAAGCACCAGACTTGATTCCAGGTTACAATCTTAAGATCTTCATCATACGGAGCAATCTTTCTCCTGATCTTTGCCACAAAAACATCTTGACATAGCTCAGCCAAGGCCTCGGCTACGACTCTCTCCGCTTCTCCCCCGCACCCAACACTGATGTCCATCTCCACCAGCCACTCTGCCACTTCAGTTTCTTTTACAAACTTTCAAGCGTCAGAAATCTGCAAAAGGGCATTGATGGTCCGCTCCTTGAGACCGCTGAGGTCATTCTTCTCGGCCCACTGGAGGAGCTTGGGAACCACAAGAAGAGGTTCCGTGGGCTCGGCGCCGATGATCTGGGCAACTGCGCCAGCCACATGAGGGGATGCTTTTCACGAGCTTGTTAGCGACGTAGGTCGACGTAGAAATTTCAGGTCGGTTGGGGACATACCCATTGAGGTGCCGCTGATGGTGTTGGTAGCTTCGGTGCCCCCGATCCAGGTGGATAGGATTTGGACTCCGGGGGCAAAGATGTCGACCATCTTGCCGTAGTTGGAGAAGTTGGCGGCCTAGATGACGAATGCGTTAGCATGTTGGAGTGACTCGACACTCACGGTGGTTTGCCATACCTTGTCACCAACATCGCTCGCACCAACAGTGATAGCGAGAGGCTCTCTAGCCGGAGAGCTGGTGGTGGCCTGTCTCTGTCCATGTGTTAGCAATCCTTCCTCCCAAACATAGATCTCATAGGAAAGAGCTCACTGCCTCGTTACCAGCCGCCACAACCACAGTGACACCGCTCCTGACCGCGCTCGCAACCGCCTTGTCCATCGCAGGGGACGCACCGCCACCCAGACTCAAGTTCACCACACTCGGCTTCCCATGCTCCTTGAACTCTTTGACCACATAATCCAACGCACTAATAATATCACCCGTCTGCGCCCCCGGCTCAGGCGAATCATCAAACACCTTGATCCCAATCACCTGCGCCTTCTTAGCAACCCCATACGTCTTCCCCGCAATCGTCCCCGCAACGTGCGTGCCATGCCCGTTCAAATCCTCATCGCTAACCTCCACCCCAGCAGCAACAGTGACAAACTTTGGGCCCTTTGAAGCGCGCCCCTCAAAGTCGACGTGGGCGTCGTTGATGCCGGTGTCGATGACGTAGGCGATGGCGCCTTCGCCGGTGTTGGTGTACTTGTAGGTGTAGGGACCGGCGGGGGGAAGCTTAGAGCGGGTGGAGATGCGGGCGAGGCCCCAGGGGGCGTTGGACTGGGTGACGGTGGCGCAGTGCTTGAAGATTTGGACGGGTTCGATGTCAGCTACTTCGGGGAGGGCTTCGAGTTCGGCTTTGGTAGCTTCGTCGAAGGAGGCGGTGTACCCCCTGATTTCGGGGAGGTCGAACTCGGAGTTGATGGAGACGTTGACGGGGGAGGAGGTGTCGTCAGTGAGATTGTGGAGGAGGGAGACGTGGGTGGATTTGATGGCCGAGGTGGCGTAGGGGCGAAGGGTGACGATCCATTGGCCGGGGACGATTTGGGGTCCGTTGGAGGTTGACATTTTTGGTGTTGTGGAACGTGAGATAGGTATGGTAGGTGCTAGGTTCGTTATTGTTTCTGATCAGATCTGAAGGGTGAAGTCAAATCTTTGAACACAGGATGTAGAAGATGGAGCCTTTCAACGACACACCGACGCAGCTATTTATCCACCGCGTCATCTCCTCTGACCGAATTCCGCAAAGACACCACGGATGTCGCCGCGGACAGGAAGGCCAAGGCAGCCATGTCTCTCGACCGTCACCTCCACGATCATTCGTTGTTTCTTGGGATCTGCGTTTCGTCTTTTATCGCAATGGCTTGCGTAACTCAGCCCTGTACCGACACTCTGCTCTAGCGGCAGCCAAACAGAAGCCAAGATGCTGCCAAAGTCCAGCTGGAACCAAACATTTCACGGCTAGACATGCAGAAGAGGAGGGGTCTAGATCATTAACGTGCCCGGTACTGGTGGAGGGCATGCGTAGGGCTGAGTTGATGAATGCTACATTATGCAGCCACTATGCGGTTGACTCCCGCTCATGACCAATGCTACCTGCCGTGGCTTGCCTGGCGCACTGTTTATTGATTCTCGGTGCGTTTTGGCAAGAGGTGTAGGGTGAAATGTCACATTCACACCGAGGACTTTTCACCATCAGTAGAGAGGGACCATGGTTCATCATGTTGATGGTGAAGGATCAATGTTTGAATGATATATTGACCGCTTATGCGCCACAGATCATGGGATAGTAGAGCTTCACCTGGTTGGGCGACGTACGAGCTGAGGACAAACGCCACATTTTCCCGTCTTTTGTGTAACTTTTAGATAACAACCTGGAGCACAACTACCTACCCCACGCGGCAGAAACAAGCCCCCCTTGATGTCTGGGGAGGTGGAGGGCGACAACACTCTCACTGTGAAGATCTGTCTCAGCAGTTTTCGTGGTTCCCGCAATCACCGAGGTGGCTTTTGAGAAGAGTCACAGTCTTCAGAATGTGAACTTGACAAAGAAAGAGAGAGGTCGAGCTCCGACGCCACTAGCGGTGATGCGTCAAGGGATTCAGGGGTAGCTTGGCTCACGTGATCTTTGAAACTTGTTTTCACTGCCATCAATGTTGGATTTAAGAGGAGAAAAGATGGAGTACAAGAGGACGATGCCGTATTATAAAGTTAAGGAGTCTGTTTCATGGGAATGCAACGGAGGATGTGGGGAGAGAGGGTGGCTGGAGCGACATTTGTTTGGTGGATAAAATCCATCCAACTGAGACAGCACGGGGCCCACCTGCGGGGGTGCCATGCGGAGAACGGCCCCGAGTCCATGGTTTGAGATGCTCCGGTTCGCGGGGATCATGGTGCAGGGTTGATGAATGGTAAGTTTGCACAGACATTGACGGCGGCGTTGTTGATACCATCGAACTAGGTAGTCGAAGACTTGGTAGCATTTTTTCCCACCAAGCTAAAAGCTGCCTTCCGGTGGGGTTGGACGTTCACTAGAATTTGGAAAGTGAATATTCTCAACTAATCCTACACCTCGGTACGCTCTCACTGTCGGCCTAGTTGATCTTCGGTAGCGGAGGACTTTCCGGATTAGGAGCTAGGAAGCTCAGGGGCTCTCAACTCCCGACGCCAACCCAGGCGGAGAAATCAAATCCGGGGTGCAGCTTGACGTCGACACTTGCCAAGCCATGTCGGTGACAGCTTCATCAAGGAAGCAGGGCCGCACCTCGGCCAACTCCTCATTCTTGGACGAGGCCGAGATGGTCTCCATCGTAACGGTCTCGTCGTGACACATGGCAGGAAAATACGAAACACCGTGGATCTCCCGTTCACAATTATCCGGGGTTCTCTGAGCGTATGGAGGATCTCCGTCCTTCCGTGGATCAGAACAGGGAGCATCGCCGGGTGCCAATACCTGCACCTAACTGTATGCAGACTCTAGTCCTTTTCTGACCGAGATATGGCTCGTATGACATGGAGTTACGGGGAAAGGTAGAACGGGTTGTTCCGTAAGGTAGGTATGCTTGCGAGAATCAAGTTGAATGACAGGTTTCGTCTGATCTATAAAGCAACTGTCAACAGCCCATATGTTTCGAGATTGTGGTCGGTCAATCATTCATCGACAGTAAACCGCCCAAAATGTTCTCCAACGCCGGACAGATTGCTCTCACCCTTCTCGCCGCTGCCCCTACGGCATTGGCCTGCCTGGGCTACACCGGCGGCCTTCCCAAGGCCACTGGGAATGTGGTTCTGACTCTGACTGCGCCCATCTACGTCAAGGCTGGTCAGGTCTACGACGGTGGCTGGCGCAAGTTTGACAGAAACCCCAGCAGCTGCAATGGCCAGAGTGAAGGTGGTGAGAAGGACACCGCTTTCGTTGTTGAGCGTGGTGGTACTCTCCGCAACGTCATCATCGGTAAGACCGTCGGTGAGGGTGTCTACTGCAAGGGTGGCGGCTGCAACCTCGAGTTCATCTGGTTCGAGGACGTCTGCGAGGATGCCATCTCCATCGTAAGTGGACCGGTCTCCGACCGCCAGATTTCTACGGTCCGATCTAACCCCAATTACAGAAGGACGACCGTCCGGGAGATGTCACCAACATTATTGGTGGTGGTGCCTACCACGCCTCTGACAAGGTGATCCAGCACAACGGCTGCGGCCGTGTCAACGTGAGTGTTCTTCGAAGCACCCCTCATGGAACGTCCAACTCTAACATCCTCGGTAGATCATCAACTTCTATGCCGAGAACTACGGCAAGGTCTATCGCTCGTGCGGAACAGTAGGTTAACCCGATTCGGCATGGTTTGCGAGACGTGTACTAACAGCCTCGCAGTGCCAGAAGTGCGCCCGCGAAGTCTACGTCGAGGGTGTCACCGCCCGCAAGGGTGGCGAGGTTGTCGGCATCACCAAGGCCAACGGTGACAAGGCCACCTTGGTGAATGTCTGCACTGATGCCAAGACCCCGTGCCAGAACTACAGCGGTCCTGGTGCCAAGGACGGCGCTTGCTAGGGGCTGGGCAAAAAAGTATGTCTTTTCCTCGGGTTCAACACCAACTCCGAGACTCGAAATAAAACGTTTCCATTTCTGGACTTTTCCATCAAAGAGTAAATATCGTGTTTAACATTACTTGATACATGCTGCATGTCCTCATCATACATACACAAAACCCGTGGTGTACAACCATCGCCCCCCAGCCCCAGGATATCATCACACACGAAAGAAAGAAACAAAAGCCTATTAGACACCTCCCTCCCACTTTCGACTCAAGAAAACCCCCCATCCCCCTTCCCCCTCCCCCTCTCCCCCTGCCTATCACCCACCAACTCCTCCCCAGACTCCCTCTCCAACCCCATCGCATCAATAGCCTGCATCTCCATATCAAACTCACTCGGCAGCGTCCTCAAGCTCCCATCCCTCCCCTGTCCGCCCCTATCATACAACCTCGTGAACCCCTCCCTCTTCTGCCAGTGCTGACCCGGCACCATCGGCAGCGGCTTCTGCCCTCTGGTGATAGTACTGGCGGTATTCTGCGACGTCCCACTAGCAAGTGGATCAACCTTCAGATTCCTAGCATAGTATTCTTCCCTCGTCGACAAAGCAGGCATATGCGACTTCCTCGTCGGCCCGACACACCCCAGCAGGGGAGCCAAGAAGGGGAGGTTCCCGCAGGTGATGCCGACCGACATTTCGAGGTAGGTCCACACGCCGGTTTGGACCTGGGACGAGTTGAAGATGTCCCTGTCGGAGCCGATGAGGGCTATCCAGCGGAAGAAGCTGGCTACGAGGACGCTGGTTTGGTTAGTTCCTGGGAGTAGTGGTGGTGGAAAGGGAGGGGGAACGACGTACAAAATACCGAGACTAAAGACCCCCACTAAGCCGATTTTTGTCCTCCTCGGCACCCGAAGTTTCATCAACGGCGGGATGGGCATCACGAAAATGATGACGTCCCCTAGCGAGCTGATGATTGCGTTGGGGACACCCATCCTGTGGACTGGGTCTTGGAGGCAGGAGCCGGTTTGGTCCTTGTCCCAGAAGAAGGAAGGGGGTTTGCACTGGAGGGTTGTGCCCAAAACGTTGGCGACTGCCCAGCAGCCTGTGAGGATGGCGACGATCCAGGAGATGCGCCGGAAGGTGGCGCCTTGGAAGATTGTCATGTGGAAGATGATGAAGGAGAGTTTGATGAGGAAGAGGGTTGGGGGTTGGAGTTTCTGGATGATCCAGATCATGAGGAGGAATTCTTTGAACCGTTCTTTCCCGAGGACAGGGATTGGGACGCCTTGGTTGGGTAGACCTGTTGTTTTTGTTAGTCCCAGAGTGTGATTAAAGGATACCTAATTCAAGTATGTGGAAAGAGGATGTCGTACCGTAGAGCAAACATGCCACTGTTCCATAGCTCAGTATTAGACCACCCGTCATGCACCAGTCTTCCCTTCGTAACTCCTTTATGATCTTTAGCCGCGCGTATATTCTCGCTACATGTGACCCAGTTGACAGGATCAGGCCGATGACCACGGTGGCGAGGATGTACTGTTGTTTTTGCTCCGTGCTGAAGTTGTCCAGTTGGACCATCTTGGCGATCTTGTAGGGCAGTGCCCAAATGTAGCGGTCAAGGATGGGAAGCAAATCCTTTGACATTCACTGGCATCTCAAACGAGTGCTGGGGTGAGGTGGATAAATTGCGTCGAACCGAAGAGTAGGATCTGTGGATGATGAATGCGGAGAATTAAGAGGGAAAAGCTTTGACAACGAGAAAGGTGAACTTGGAAGACGAACACTGGGACCCCGGAGTTATCTGTGTCCTGGTACCAACGGGAAGGATTTATGTTTTGCATGCTTCAGTGCTACATCAAGTGAAGTTGTACGTGCCTCATGGTGGTCAAGAACGGCAGATGTGCCACTGAGGTTTCTGGGGCATGACAGGGGAGGGGTCGACGGTTACCAGGATCCCGGGGATCCCATTGCAGCAGTAGGGTGTAGGAGGTTGGTTACACAGGACCTGCAAAGAAAGGAGAGGAATCACGGCCCCTGGTGTACATCAAGCAGCAACGGTGGACCAGATTGGTGGCCAAGCCCTGGTAGGGCCAAGTCAGACCGCAAGGCCAAGAGCCAAACATCACCAACAAGACGATAGTCCTAGTCAGAAAGCTGCTGGTGGTGTGTGGGAAAAGAGTGCTTTAGTCCCAAGAGACGCAAGGTCAGCAAAGTCAACATGCAGATCAGCATCTTCTTTTCCCAAGCGATGTAATGGTGGCACAAATAAACACTGCCGCCTGTCAGCTTGTGACACCCTGTTGGCGTCTAATTTCTGGTGTAAGGTTGTAGTACTAATCGCCAGAACTACCGGACAGCCGCGATCCTCCTGTCTTTTCTGGCTGTTCTTGCTTGAAGGATCTGCCCCAGCTGGGGAGAGATGGTTTTGTGATACACCAAATCATGGAACTTTGTGACATGTTGGGAGATCGAGATGACATTCCCGATGACATGCAGACATGAGTTCATCTCACAGTAGGTAGGCCATCACATTGGAGGTTGATATCACAGGGGCACAAGAACGATAGCACAAGTTGCCAAAGTTCGGGAAGGATTTTACGTAGCGTCCCTCCCCGCCCCCGAGTTACTTGCATACACACAAGTGCTATCCACTTGCGGGTCGACCCTTGAACCCCCCCGAGGCATAGCGTGGGGAGGCACAGTCAGCACCCTCCCAGCCGGCTTCACGGATTTCAGCGGACTTGCTACCCTATCTATCAAAGAAAAAGAAGGTTCGGCAGTCTCCCGCCCGAGAGAGATACGGCAGAAACGAAAACTTGGGACCGAGACAGATGGGGAGTGGAACAGGTGCCATTCTGCATGTCTGGGCCCCGAAAACTGACGGGATGTCAGTGGATGATGGGTGGGTGGGCGAGGCCGCTATTGGTCTGTTCAAGATGCGGTTGGCCCTTAGCAGTCCCGGTTTTGGGACTTGTTTTAACTTCTTAAGGCCATGCCGCCCCCCTCCCTTCTTTGTGCCTCTTTAAGACTTTGGACTTGGAGTAACACAACAGCGCGGAAGTTATTCCTATATGCTTTGCCGGCCTGAAAGAGGAATTCGTGAAATCCTCGGTGAGATGTTGCAGCGAAAGAATCGCTGCGTACCTTAGGTGTCTTGGCACGTGATGATAGCCCGTTGGTATTACGTGATGTTTAGTACTGTAGAAGCCCCCCACGTGCGCCACAGACATGCAGACGTGCCCAGCCAACGGCCACGGCCGCCTCGGGCGAGTTGACAAAGTCCCGGCCGGGTACGAAGGGACCGCACCGAGCCGATTCGGGGCCGGGAGGATCAGGGTCCAAGCTGCATGTCATCGCATCCGATCAAATGACTCGGGGCCGGTCAATCTGATAGATTTTGGGCAAGTTCCGATTTCTTATTTGTATGATATTCCCTTTGTTTCTCGTACAATCGTCGTTCAGTGATCTTGCCTTCTCAGAGATCTGCAGCCGCCTTAGTATACAAGCCGTTCAACTCTTCCACCTTGTGGTTCTGGAGGAACTCCTTGAATGTCAGCGGCTTGACATCTGGATAGCGCCCATTATCCAGTTTGGTTGGAACATAGGTCTGTCCGTTCATGATATAAGTCTGGTAGTTACTACAACACTGTTAGCTTTCCCACCCATCAAAAAACTCGAATGTCTACAAAAAACATACTCAGCCAACCAAGCAAAGATATTTTGCGGCTCTTTCTCGCGCGTGGTCTCCATCTTGGTCTGCAACTCCTCCACCGTACCCAAACAATCCAACCTCGGAGCTACTCCATAAACCTCCTCAAACTCGGCCGCAAGCTGCTTCGTACTCTTCCTGTCACCAAGAACTGATCCATCATTAGCCACCTGCTCTCTCTCTCTCACACACACACACATACACACACAACTGGCTTAGTTGCCATCACTCACAAGTCACAACCCCAACCGCCTCCTCATCCAGCGCCACGTTGGCAGAATACCTAGCAGCATCATCATAACTCAACCCCTCCCAAACCTCCTCCCCAGTCCCCCAATACCTCATCACCACCCCCTCCCCCTCCCCCGGCCTAAAAACCCCAAAATAATCACTCCAAAGCGTCTCGTAAAAAATTCCAATCAACATATGCACCCCCTTGACCTTCCTCCCGTCCTCCTGGAGAAACTCCTTCACTCTCTTCTGGCAATCCTTCTGAGGGTGCTCCCCATACTGAAGTTTATCATAATCCAGCGTCCAATCCCCCGCGACATACCTTTCCACCCCTTCAGCTTCGCACGCCTCAATGAGGAGTTTCTGCCCCTCAGTCATGAGGCGGGGGTCGCCGAAAAAGCCGCAGATCACCACGTCACATCCCGAGACGAAATGACGTAGGGCGGTGGGGTTGTATGGGTCGCCTTGGGTGATGGTGATGTTTTTGAGGGTTGGGTAGGAGGTGGCTTTGGAGAGGTCGCGGCAGTAACCTTTGATGGTGAGGGTGGGGGAGAGCGCGAGGAGGTGATGGGTTATTAGGCGGGCGAGGCGGCCGGTTATGCCTGCTATTCCGACTGTGGTGACGGGCATGATGGCGTCGGGGCCGTATGAGATTGATGGCTAGAGTGGAAGGATGAGTCTGAAAAAAGAGGAGTCGATGTAGGAGAATAAATGGTGAGTTTGAGGGAATAAACGAGGAGTGCTCCGTGGTGATCGGCGAGGTCCGCCTGCTGTTAACGACGCTGGGTTGAGGTTGGCTTCGAGTTCGAACTTGCGCCAATGCTGGTTTATACGAGTCGGGAAGTTGGAAACAACCTGGATTGGCGTGGCAAGTTCACGGAGAGTGGTGAAACTTTGTTACGGTGTTGCGTGGTTGTGATGTTGAGAGAGAGAAATGAGGGGTTGAAGGCCAGGCCGACATGACCCCAGTCCATATCAGGAGAGAAGCTATCGCACCATACCTGTTACTGTTTTTCGCTGGGGTTGTGATTGGAAAGTGACAATAGCCAAGATGATAAATCAAGCTTGGAGGTGTCAAAACGTATATGGGGCCGTTGTTGTACCAGGGTGACTTGCCCGGGTGGCTGGGAAAGGCCGGACCCAGTGGCCCAGGTCCCACTGCCAAGATATTAATTCCTTAACAGTGGGCCCGGTTGACGATTTTGACAGGAGGTAGAACCCCGGTCATAAATGGTGGTGCGTGCTGGAAAAGAAGCAATTCAGAGAGACGATGCCAAGAGCCGGCTAACTTACTGCGGGTTACTTTCCGTGGAAACATCCTCACGTCTGAAATCGTAGTTGGAGAAGACAAGGTACCTTCATTGAGTCATAGTTTTGATGGTATTGGATATAAGCTCTCTCTACAGTTATCTTCCGAACAACTTGAAACATATGGTTGCTCTCAGGGCTCTGGTCCCACCTTTTCCAGGCCCGCGTACACAGGTTGCTCCCAGGGCTTGTATTTTGCACACTTTTCTGTAGTTATTCTCTGCTGGTTAGATTTGCTCATTATAATCACCTTCACCATATTCTGCTTTACCTTTTGGCCCAGTGTCCTACGTCCCAGAGAACTAGACCAAGTTACTAGTTGGAATAAAACCAGGCTAGCAGGCAAAACGACAGTCTAAATGACATGGGCCATCTCGTTCCGCTGTAACCTAGAAAGGATCAAAGCTCAGGTAATTTGAAGTGGTATCAGACACTCAATACCACATTTGCAGGACCGAAGGAACGACAGTTCATCAATGTTCTTTGAACTCGTAATCTTTTCTGCTAGGCACAAAATCTCTCCAACCTGACAATAGGTATCATCGGTTGAAACAGACAGGGAAGTAAAAAGTCACCGACCGCCAGGCAGGAAACAGGAATAGCGGACATGGCCGGCTTCATGCCCTTCCCATCACCCCCCCTCGGGTCGGCTAAAGAAAGAGAAGTAAAAGAGAGAGTGTTGTTGTCCACCATGCTACCCCATTGTCTTCAGATCATCACGCCCAGTAGCTTGGTCATCCTCATTACCCGTTGGCACATATCTTCTTACGGCGCCGCCGCCGCAGCAGCAGCAACGTCAAGAATCCCACCAACCGTGGCTTTGGGCTCGACCGTACCGACGCGACCTTGCTCTAGCCGCACCTGATGGAGCTGATCCGGTCATTGAAGTACCCGTCGCCGTCACCGAGATGGTCGTCCACCTGGTTGGCGTATGAACGACCACTGCAGCCGCCATGCCTGAATGTCTTTTGTTAGAGCTGTAAAAGCAGTGATCGCAAGACGGGGAAGTACTTACTCGAACCACACGCAGCGGAAGAGGTTTCTGTCCTGGTTGATGATCGTGCTGATCCTGTCGTTCCAGGCTGCGGGGACGTTGACTAAGTGATGGGATCAGTATGTCAGCACTGCCCTGGCACCCCCAGAAAGTTGGTGTCACTCACAGCATTGAGCGATAGGAGCATTGAACGTGATGCAGGCACCTTGTGTTGGGCTGGCGACCTAGGAAAGTCACTGGCTGCGAAAATGAGGCTAAAATGGCCAAAAAAAATGGTAAGCAAATTGGTATTACAGTAGTTGGTTGTTGGTTAAAAAGTAAACAGTAAGAAAATCCAGCCCCAAGAGCAAACCGGTGTGGGTCTGGGAAAACCTGGGCCCTTTGGTGCCCCACACCCCCCCACAGACAGCACACCGCCGTCCAAAATGAAGCTATCGCCAATATCCTCCGAAGCCCAATATACGCCCAGATTCTTCCACTTCCTTTAACTCCTTTGCCCAATGCCCTAGTGGCCTTTTTCCCATACAAATACACGTTCTCCTGCATATCTCAAACCGGAAAATCTCGTATTCCCAACAGCTGCACAAACTTTACGTGCTTCTCCCTTTATAGTGCCTTTGTGAATCCATCCGCCGGCATCTCCAACCTAGAGATATGTTGAATACTAAATCTTCCTTCCTTCACTTATTTACCCACCTATTTATACCGTATATCGATATACCGGGTCCTGGCGATATTCTGAGGGTTCAGAACTATAATTTCGGCGTTCTTACTATCGGTGTATAGTATATATGGCTTTGGCTATAGCATACCACAGTCTTCCAATATCTTTAACACCCACTGTAGTAAATACCCTGTAGGCGTTAGGTTAGTAAACTCTGCCTCCGTTATACTTAGGGCGACGAAGGTCTGCTTCTTACTTTTCTATAATATTAGCCCACTAACCACGAAAACGACATGGCCGCCAGTAAAATATCTCCAAAGTAAGATATCCGCGTATAAGGCATCTACGAATCCCATAAACTTTATATCTTTTACCGAAAACTCGGAGCCTCCCAGCATAATATATAGCTTCCTAGTAGTAACTAGGTACCGAAAAAAGTATTTTATTAACTTTAAGTAACGTAGTAAGGGCCCAGAATTACCCCCGTAAAGGCGGTTAACGGTAAAAGTAATATCGGGCCGAGTACCGGTAAATAGTTAGTTTAACGTACCGGTTTTCCGAATATACTTCTTTACTTCCGCGATTATTTTTTCCTACGTAAAAGGAAGCTCCAGCTTAGCTAGCCACGGCGTAGCCACGCCGGCTATATTTTTATAACCGAATTTTTCGAATAAAACGTTGATATAGGCTACCTAAGACAAATAAACTTACCTCTTCCCGCGGTTCCTTACAATATTAAAACCTAAAAACCTTTTCGGCTTACTTAGTTTTTTAATACTATATTTATTCTTTAACCCGGTAATAATATTTTTAATAATTTTCGTTATAGGTATTAATATAAATAAGTTATTTACGTATAAAACTATTAAAGTATTTATTTTTTTATAACGGAATAAATAAAGGTTTAATAAAAGGGTATTAAAGCTTAATTTAATTATTATAAATTTTATTATTTTATACTAGTAAATAAGTAATTTCCTTAAACCGTATAATATTTTTTTAAGCCGGTATACTTTACCCAATAACTTACTTAAATTATTTAATAATCGTATATAATACTATATAGTATTAGGGATTTTAATATTAAAAAATATTATTTTAAAGTTATATTAAAGGCACTCCTAATTATTTATAATTATAATAGTTTAAAAATATTTAATTACTATATTATTTATAACGGCGGTATAAACGTCCTATATAGCCCAGGAATTCCTATTAAAATTACTATACATTATTTACTTCGCTTTAACCTTTACTTTATTAATTTAAAAGTCTATTTTCTTATTATATATTTATTTATTTGGTAAAACGTTATAACTTTTCGGTATATTTATTAATTCGTAAACGTTTTTTTTTAATAAATTAGCGTCTTATTCCTTTATAATAAATAATTAATATTTATAATAATTTTTAAACTTCTTTATTTACTAATAATTTTTAGGTATATAAGATTTATTAATAGTTTATAAAAGGTAATCGATTTTAACCGTAAATAAAATATAAATTATTATTTTATATAATCGTAGGTTATTAAAATATATTATAAAAAAACTTTAATAAAAGTATTTACTTTACTATAGTTTTTTATAGAAACTTAGTCCCTAATTTTTTATTATTACTTTACAAAATTATTCTTAAGCCGGCGGAGAAACTATTATTTTTTCTATATAGTTTATATTAAGTTCGAAATTATTATTAAAGTCTTTAATTAGGTTTTCCGTATTTAAATTTAATAACTTACTATTAGCTTAATTATTATTAGGCCCCCCTATAGCCTTACTCTCCTCCCCCCCTATTAGCCTCGTAGGGGAAGTAAGTTTTTTTATAGTAGGAGAGTTAATAGTATAGGGCGCTTAATTATAGTTTAATAAAATAAGTATTTCGGACCGTATATCTTTTACCTTTTCGGCGTTAAAAAAGTTTTTTATATTTAAAGCTTTAAATAATAAAAATAATATTAATAACGGTATAGTTTTCGAAATAAATAAAATAATTTATTTAAGGTCCTTAGCCTTCTTTATTTTAATTATTAAAGTACTTTATTATAAATCGGGCTTTAGTATAATAATAAGTTTATTATTAAAAGTAATTTTCCTTCCTAAAAATATTATTTTATTAATAACGGTATTTTCTTTTTCGGCTATAATATTATTAATAAAAATTACTTTATATTTAATATTTATATATTTATTATTATTAGGCCTATAAAAATTATTTTTATTAAACTTTATAATATTAATTTTTATAATTTTATTAATAATTAAGTTCCAAACCTAATATATTTTACTATATATATTTATATAATTAATAAACTTTCTTTTCTTCGCCTTAATAATAAACTTATTTAAATTAATCCGGTAAGCCGGCTTAATATAGTAATATACGTTATAAAAATACAAATATAGGTACCGAATATATAGTTTCCGCTCGCCCTTAAGTATATTAAGCTTTATAATATATTTTTCGTAAATATTAATATTTTCTTTATTAACCTTCGAGGGTAATAAATTATTTATATAAATTATAAATTATATAATAAATAGGAATAACTTCTTTAATACTTTATAGGCTAGTATAATAGTTTTAATACGGTTAAATGTAGTCCTCGCGGCCCTCTCTACTTTTCTATTTATCTATAATAAATAAAGTACGGTTTTAAGGATAGTAATACCCTCCTAGTCGGCCCAGGTAACTATACGGCTATCGTTAAAGGTCCTAGAGCCTTAAGTAAATTCCGTACCGCCGTTAAAGCTAATAATATTAATTTTATATCCGGTTTAATATATAATTTTCGTTTCGAAATCCTTAACCTTATCGAATACTTACTTTTTCTCTATTATAAAATTAATCCACTTATAATTACTTTATATATTTATATATTAAATAAAATACTTATAACTTAAATATTTAAGGTTTTTATAAATAATAATATTAATATAAATAAAGTTAAATAAGTTATTAATTTACAAAAGGGTCGATAAACCTAATTAATTTATTATTTTTATTATTATATAAGGCTCGTAAAAAAAATTATTATTAATAAACTTAATACCTACCTATATATAAATTTTATAAATATCGTCCTTATTAATATATATTAAATAATAATATATTACTCGGTAATTAATAAATATTATTACGGCTTTAATAAAAGTTTTCGCTAAAAATATTTTATTAAAATCGGCGCCGAATATTATATTTATTTAATATATATTATTATTCCTAATTAATTTATATATTACCTACTTAATACCTTTAAGGACCAGGTTATAGTTTTTTTAATCCTAAAAAATATTTTTATCGAATAACTTATCTATTAATATTAAATTAACGGGCGTTTATAAGTAATATATTACTTTTTTAAGTTTTAGGGTAATAATTTAATTACTTAAAAAAATAAATTATAACGTTATAGTACTTTAGTAATTATACTTTATAATATTTCCTAATAACGAAAAAAACTTTTTTTCCTTTTCCTTAAATAATAAATAAAGTTCGGTAAACTATTTTAATTTATTAAATACGAAATCCGTATATCCGAAATCGTAATATATATAATTTTTAAATATTTCGACGGTCTATTAAACTTTAAAGATATTTATTAAGGAAAGTATTACTTTTAAAGGCCGAAACGAAAATTTAATTAATTATTATTATAATAAATAAAAAGTAATATATTAACGAAATTATTAAATAATATTAAAGTACTATAAGTAAATTAATCCTTTAAAAACTTAATATTAATAATACTATTAATATAACCTTAAAAAATCCCTATTAACGAACTAATATTCTACCGCCTTTCTTACTTATCCGTTTATATTTTTTCCTTATACTCCTAATCCTTTAAAACTTTATTAAAATTATATTACTAATAAGCTTTACCCTTCGGATAATAACGATTATAATTTATATAATATTAATTATTTTTCTTTAAACCTTTAATATATTAATTATATTTTTTTATCGAAATTAATAATATAATAAATAAAGGTATAGTTATAGCTAAAGCTTTAATAATTTTAATAATAATTTTAAAGTAAACTAACGTAATTTCTTCCGTAACGGCCTTAATACTATACTCCTAATAAAAAAGTAATTAAATTATAATACCGTTTTTTATTTTCCTTATTAACCGGTTATATAAATCGAGATATATAATTTTAATATTATTTAAAGTAATTTAAAAATAAATTATATAACCGATTTTAATTTTTATTATATTAAAATAATAGTAAAGGACCTCGAGCCGACTAAAGTAGGCTTAGAATAAAGTAAAGTTAATACGTTTAAAAGTAAAATATTTTTTTAAAAGTATATTAACGATATCGAAAATATTATATTATAGGACTTAAATAATCTTTTAGTATAGACTATAAATATTAATACTATCGGCCTTTTAATTTAAATTAAAAATTTGTTATCGGATTTCGGGTTTTTTAACGGAAATTATTATTAGATTTTAAATATTTAAGTTATTAATACGCTATTAGTTAAAAGTAAGTATCTTTTTTTCCGCTAGTAACTATATATTAATTTTAATATAGTCCTTTAAACTATAGTATATAAAGGATTAGGTTAATTAAAATTTTTAACTAGAAAGATTAGTTTTTAAATTTAAAACTAGTAAAGTTTAAAAGGTTCGTTATTTAACCGTAATAATAATATTAGTATTCCCTATAGCTTTTATATATTTTAAAAGCTAAATTATAATAATATTAATATTAATTATTTTAAAAAAAAAATTAATTAAAGAAAAATCGTAAGAAAAATATTATAAAAAAAACGTTAAAAAAAGATTTAAAGAAAAACGTTACTTAACTTTATAGCCGCTAATAGTGGATTAAATTAATTTAAGTAAAAAGCAAGATACTTACTTTACTATTAGTCTCCTAATAAGGTAGGATAGAGTTCTCGACTACTACCGGAAAATAGTAATTTCCTAACTAAAAGGTTATAAAAATAATAGAACTAAAGAAATTTAGTTAGGAGAAGGTTAGCGCCGTAAATCACACTTTTATTAGTGAGGGGTAGTCGGTCGCTTTAACTTTTCGTTAAAATAAGGGTTAGGGTTAAAACTAAGCTTCCGTTGATTAAAAAGTTAATTAACTCTTTTAACGCCTCTAAAATCGCTGTCGAAAGGTTTAATTGCGTAATATTGGCCTAATAAGGGTCGAAAAGTCGTAAAGTCCGGTGTGGTATTCGGCCTTGCGAGGTCGGGTTGTCGATAAGGGCGTCGACTTCGGTTTACTTGGTGATTTAAGCGTTAAAAGAGCTTATAACCTGTTGGGCTAGCGACCTAGGAAAGTCACTGGCTACGAAAATGAGGCTAAAATGGCCAAAAAAAAATGGTAAGCAAATTGGTATTACAGTAGTTGGTTGTTGGTTAAAAAGTAAACAGTAAGAAAATCCAGCCCCAAGAGCAAACCGGTGTGGGTCTGGGAAAACCTGGGCCCTTTGGTGCCCCACACCTTGACTCCGGATGTGCTCGCAGGCGAACACCCGGGCACTGATCTGGCGATCGACAAGCGCGGGTTCAGCCTCGGCCACCGGGACATCAGCAGCGGGAGCAGCGCTGGCGGAGAGAACTCCGACGGCGAGCAGAGTGATGATGTTCTTGAGGTTGAACATTTTGTCTGTGGGCTGGAGGCAAGGTGGTGGTGAAGACAAGAGTCAAGGTTGCGGTGATGGAGTGAATCAAGAGGCTTTGATGGGGCAGGCAGGCCCCTTTTATAAGTTGTATTGGCTCTTTGAACCGGCAACCTTTAGTGTTGCGGTTCTGCTCAGCTGAAGACTCTTTGGGCAACCACTTCGGGCTCACGACGTTCCGCTGCATGTAACAACATGGATCTAGATCGCTTAACCTAAAGGGAAATTGTGTTCAGTCCTTGCTTCAGTGGTTATGCTACGTAGTTTCGCATCCCGCGGCAGACAAAGTCACACAGTGTCAGGCCATGCTTCTAGTGCGAGGTGGCCCTCTAAGTCCGAGTCTCTGTGATGCGAGGGCCTTGTGTTGCCAGGGCTTCTCACCCAAAGGTCTTTAGTTGCGATTCCTCTAAAGCCCGAGGTGTCGACTAGCTCTGACTAAGATGATCATCAATCATTGGTAATTATCTACAGGTGCCTGGTACGACATATCTTGCCATACCTTGCCTTCGCATTCACTTGAAGTTTCTATAGTGGCAATATGACATGCCACTATGTGCTTATCCCCATTGGTCCAAATTGACATGGGGAGTTCAAGACAAAAAGCTGTCAGGATTCCCTTCCCGGTCTATCAACGAGAAATAAACATGTCATCGAAGCCGATCACTTCCCACTTCTTCGTCTCAGTGTTCAAAGTCAGGTTGGTCCCCGTGGTAGTTCCCCCCTTTGCAAACCCAGCCTCTACCTTCCCGCCAGCTACAGGGCGGGAGAGTTTGTTTTCTCCCGAAAGAATAGTCAAATTCGCCAGGGGTAGTTCCCAAGGATTCCTCGTTGCAACCGTGGGTGATCCTAGCGATCCAATGTCAGCACTTGGCGTTACCGAGGAGATTCAAAGTTTGGTTGCACAAACCAAAGAAACCAGCCGTAACCTTGTCCTTTTGCACAGACAAGACAAAATATCCCCTATAGTACCCCTCATGCCACTGAAGCACGTCGGTATCCCTCACTCTATTTCGGGCGTAAGTGTTGGCAGCACTGATCGGACCGGCCCGACCACTTGAGCTGACAGCTGTACCAGCGAATTCTACACCTAGGGAGCCTGACCCGGTGGCAGGGTTGTAATCCAACTCGCCTAGCCATGTGACGTCGGCGACCTGATTACCTCCCCTGTCAATATCGGAGCAACGGACGTGGCCGGGGTTAAACTCACCCAATTACGATGGCTATCACCGGCGAGGAAGACATTGTTGTCGATGTCATTGTCGATGAGAGTTTGCAGAGTGCGGTTACGGTTGGCGGTATATCCCTGTCCAACCGCCATTGTCAGTCAGGCAGGGTTGTGATTCGCTTCCATAAGGAGATATACTCACGCCCCAAGTGTCAGCACCAGCTCCATCCGCACCAGAAAAAATAACTTGGCTGCCTATGATCCTCCACTTGGCACCCCTATCCTTGGACTCTTTCAGAGTACGATAGAACCAGCTCTCCTGTCTTCCGCCCATGAGAGACCGGGAGGCCTCATCGCGGATGAGCTCAATGTAGGCGTCGTTCCAGCCGAGGGAAGTGATGCTCCGGTCGTAGTTTCTCGTGTCCAAAATGAGAAGATCTGCGAGGTTGCCCAGTTCAAACGACCGCCAGATGCGGAGATTGTCGTCTAGATCTACCTGTCTATCATTTTCAGGTCAGCACATGTAGGGTAAGACATGGTAACACCACTTCTCACCTGATAGGTATCCACTCAAAATACGCCCTGACAGCATTTATCTTTCTCTGGTCGATACTAACCATCCGGCCACCTTGGCGGAACGAAGCCTCGGTGTTGTTGAGCGCACTGAACCCATCTCGGTAGCCATTATTCGCCACCTCGTGATCATCCCATGTAGGAATCCAGGGGTGATTTGTTGCTAAGAGCTGGAGATCCGGGTCGGTTCGGTACTAATGATTCCTTATCAGCAACACTCGAGAAACTTGATCTAAACAGGCGCTTTACCTGGCCATGACGAGTCCGATAGTTACCCAACGTAAAGGTCACGCGCGGGGGATCATGTGCCCTCTCGCCGCTACCGGCACTCTCGTAGATGTAATTTCCAAGATGGATCTGGAACCTTCAGCATTTCTCTTCCCGTTCCAAATGCGAGGATCACAAGCACTAACCACATAGTCCAACCCTCCCTTCCTCGCAGCATTCCCATACGCGTTAAAGTACCCGTTTGCTATCGATGGTAGGTATTTAGCCCCCTTTTTACCCCTGAATAAAAAGGTAAATAAAGCTAAAAGAAAACCATCACTCACGAAAGTTGCTGTAACTGAACACGGCCAACTTCACCTCGCTAATATTGTTATTTTTATCCGGCGTCGTCTTTGTTTTGCCAATCCTACTCTTCTTGTCCGACCCACAAATGGTGAACTGGTAGTTATACTCAGTAAACGGGCTCAAACCCCCAGCCTCGACTTTGATAGTGAAGTCAATGTCGCTCGTGGTGTACGCCCTGCCGCTGGCAACCACAGTCTCATTCCCTTGACGCTTCCACCCGGTAGCATTGGAGGATGTGGCAGGCCAAACAGCCCAATCGACATAGATGGGATTGGGATTAGCTTTGATGTATCGCTTTGTTTCGTGAGAGTAGAGTAGGACGTTGCCTTCGACCGTGATGTTGCCGAGGTCGGACGCTAAAGACGGAGCGACGCGGGTCCAGAGGATGACACTTGTTGGGTAGGGGTCTCCAGAGGCTATACCGTGGGTGAAGTTCAGATCATCGGGAGAGTACGGGACCGAGTCGCGCTTGAGGGTGCGGCGCTGGACGGTGGGGAGGTCGATCCCGAGGTTGGAGTGACGGGTAGAGGGACTGTGGTAGTTGAGGTTGGTCGAGAGTTCAACGGCGGTCGCTACGGCCGCAAGAGCGGAGAGAATGACGACTTTCATGATCGGAATGACGACTGATTGATCTCCGACTTGCTCGGTCTGGAAAGGGCAAAGACGAAAGCCGTAATAAATCCATGCTAGAAAGAAACATATTTCCTTTTAACAACCCTGGGAACCATTAGAGAATGGTAGCCATCGTGTGCTGGTACGTCATTGTCAGGAACACGCACTCTCAGAAATGTAGTTTATTGGCCGGGTAATTCTATCTCAGTATGCAAGAGATCTTGCAACCTGTCCTGCGTCGATGGTGAAATGTTGACAAACTTAGGAGTGATCATCTCCGGGCCTCAGTTCCTGTCCGTGATACATCGACATTTTTCCAGTTATTGCGCCCACGTGCTGGCCGGCAGCGAATTCATTGCTGCCCACGCCGATCACCAAACGTGTGCAAATTTCACCTCTGATGGAGACATGCCAGGGGAGCTACACCACCTTCCAATCCGAGAACCAGGTCGAGTGGGGGACGAAGAGGGGCAGATCCGATGCATGGATGGGGCACGTGTTTTTGCCAATTGCCATCCAAGGGGCAGCATCGGCCTTGTGCTGGCCGCTCACCTTGGCTTCACCGATATTGCCCCGAGGTGAGCGTTATTGCCGAAGAAATCCACTACGTGTAACCTCAAGGTGAAGTCAGCCCTAAAGCTCCCAGCTTATCTCTGGGGGTGTCATGGCCCAATCATGGTGTCTTCCTCGTTGGACTGTTGGTGCTTGGCGGGGGAAAATGTGAACGTGAACCAACAGCTTCCCAGTGTCCAGACCCAACTCCCAAGTCTTGCAAGTCCTCGCAAATTCTTTTCTGGTCGTCCCCAAACTCAACCAACGATGATGATGGCACTTCAACATGCCCTTACTTGGCTGCCACCCAGCTTCCCCGTTGCCGCGGCGATAGCTGCCATCGTCCTCGCCGTCTTTATTAACACGCTTGCGACACCAAGAAGAGCAGACCCGCGGGACCACCTCTTCTAAAACCCACTATCCCGTTTATCGGACACATCATCGGGTTGATCCGACACCAGGCAGATTACCACCGAATTCTACAGCGCAAATCCAAGCAGCCAATCGTTACACTTCCTATACTTACAGGAAAGCTGTACGCCATCTTTGACCCCTCCTTAATCTCAGCCGGCCTCAAGAACAAGCACCTCTCAACGAAACCCCAGGTCAGAGCTGCCGTCGCGCCGTTGATAAAAGCCAGCAAAGGCACCGTCGACCTCATGATGAGCGAGCAGGGCGACGTGCTTCAAGACCGCATAATGCTACACGCCATCCCGACTAGTTTCTCTAGGGAGCTACAGTAAAGTTTTATCGAGGCCGCCTTGCAAAAAGTATCCCGGCAATTCACCTCCTTCTCTAAGTCCAACTAATAACAAAATATCCCTAGTATTTGGCTTTGGATTAGGAATATTGTCGCAAAGGCCACGACACAACCGGTATATGGCAAGCACCAGGACCCTTTCTCCCAGGACCCGAGCCTGCTACAATCTTTCTAGGACTACAACGAATCTATTATGGTACTAATGATAGACATCCTGCCGTCCTTCATCGCTAAGAAAAGCCACCTCGGGCGTATAAAGCTAGCCCAAGCCTTGACTCCTTACTACTCCTCCCAGGTAGAATAGTACCCTGCCGCCTCTGCCCTTATTCGTCTTCGTGCGCAGGAAATGCGCAACGCCGGTCTCCCAGTGGAGGATATTGCTAAGATTGAAACCTTCCTCCCTCTCGCAGTAATGACTAATACCGTCCCGACTTTGTTCTGGTTCTTTAGCCATGTCTTCACACGGCCGGCTCTCGTTAAGTAACTTAGGAAAGAAGTAGAAGATAACTTACTTACCAGAGACGGCCCCAAAGCAAAACTGACCGTCTCGTTAGCTATGCTCGAAGAGAAAATACCTTTCCTGTGGAGCTGCTATAGAGAAACCCTCCGTCTTACTGTTCACTAAATCGCCACGAGGATAGTAATGCAAAACACGATTATTACGTCCCCTAAAACGGGACAAATATATTTTCTTGCAAAGGGAACCGTAGTTTAAATATCGATTGGGGCATCTTACTTTCTTCCGGAATACTGGGGGGAGAAGTACCTAGATTTCAAACCTGATCGGTTTTTGGGGTTAACGAAGGAAGAGGAGAGGGCGTTTAAGGTGGCTTATCAGCCGTTTGGCGGTGGATTGCATCTCTGTCCGGGGAGGCATTTTGCCTTGGCGGAGATGATGGCTGTCATAACGATATTGCTGGTTGGGTTTAAGGTTAGGGGTTTGGATGGGGAGGGGGAGTGGAGGGAGCCTGGGAGGGCCACGGCGAGTATTATTGATGCGGCTACCAGGCCAAAGGATTATGGGGCGGGTTTTGGGGCGAAGGTTCGGAGGAGGGAGGGGTGGGAGGATGTTGTCTGGGAGTATAAGTTTTAAGTAAGGGAGGTTGCTCCCCAGGTAGGTTGACTATGGAGGCGGTAAGAGATGCGTGCCCGTTATGGCCAATTCAGAGTTTTCGACACTCATTGGGCTCTTATTATTCACTTTGTTGAGTGGCCATCTTGGCGAGCAAGTCGTCGTGGAAACAAGCTTCGAGCCATTTGAGCCACGAATCCTCGCCAGGAGCAAGTGGGTCTTGAGACAGACTTTTTACATGGGTGCGCTTTGCTATAAATAGAAACCTTTTCACTTACACCTTTTTTTTCTCTTCTTTTTTCACACCACATTTCACACACCACATTTCACAGCACCGACACCGTTTCGGTATACCTCACAACAATGGCTGAAACATTTCCTCGCTTCCCTCGGCTACCCTATGAGCTTCGGTATATGATCTGGGAATTCGCTATCCGACCGGCCGCACCTGGAGCGCACATTTTCACTATCTCCGACAGTACAAACACAACCTCGGATGATTCTCGAGAAAATAAAGGTCATGTTTTAGTCTGCCAGCCGCGTTGCGATCAGACTCGGGGTGGAAAAGCCGACGGACAACTCAACAACCCGTCAACCTATATTGCCGATAGCGGACTATGGACGGCGTGCAGGGAGTCCAGGAATATTATGGAACGAAAGTTGCTACAGCGCGAGGATCGTCCGATCTTATTTTGGGGCGACTCGAGTGATGGGCCGTCGCCTGTTAACCCTGAATGCTGGACGAATCGGCAGATCGCCCTCTTCCCCACGCGAGATCTCATCATCCTCCAGTCTCAAATTTTCACTCCTTTTCGATGGACGGTGATGCCTGGGTCTCTTGATTGGGACAAGCCTACCTACCGCCAGTCACAGCTACCGTCGTGCGCTTTCTGGTCAGCAATGAAGAACGTGACAAGCCAAGCAGCACGACACATTGCCGTGGAGTACAATCCTGCCTGGGACTCCATGTCACTTCACTGGGGAGAAGTCACCAGGTTTGTGGACCTACTCTTAGGCCCGTCACGCGCCGAACTGGATTCCGGGCCGACATATGTGTGGTTTATCGACTACCGCCTTAAGAGAAGAAACCGCGTTCCAACCGAGAAACAACTTCGAACCGAGAGTGAAAGGGAGGAGCCGAGAGTGTATTATGGGGATGGCTGTCGCTACGTGGAGGTGTCTGAGCAGGATTCAGGGGAATCTGGAGATGGAGAGTGGAATGACGCCTTTGGGGCAGACCGCTGGCACCCTTTTAACAACAAGCCCATGTTCTCTAGGAATGGAGTGCGTGGCTGCGTCAAAAGGGCAAAGGCGTTGCTTTACAAGGATGAGGAGTATGTTGACCGAGTCAACATTGGTATTTTGGCTTGTGAATCCTTGTGATGAGTACATAAACTAATGCGGGTAGGCGTTTGGAGGGCACAGATTTACAGCGGTTTCAAAAGATAGATGTTGATTTTCGATAGAAACAAAATTAGAATTCACTTTGTCTTACTATCTGCCCGGTGATATGGGTGTAGCGCTTTGGCGTTTCATTCGTCGAGACTGACGTTTATCTGCGGTCTCGTATCATATAGAACGCATCTATCCCGCAGTGAAATAACACCTAGCGCCCTAAGCGCGGAAAGCATTCTGAATACTGCCTCGCTGGATGCCTTGTTTTGCCTTGTCCGCGCGACCCCAAAGTTCGCAGATTTTGGAGCAAATCTGCCGATTCTCCTGTAAAGAATCTATCAACTTGTCTATCTGTGATATATCACTGCTTCCCTAGAGTTTGACAGCACAGAGAGGCACATGCCAGCGTCTGCTTAATTTTTCCAACGCCATGGCTGAAGTTGTAGAACTAGTGGTTGCCGCAAACTCTCTTGCAAAGACTTGTTCGACTTTTTGGAAACTTGGAGCTGATGGTTGAAATAGGCCGAGAGACCCCCGAGACGGTAGAAAGGGAGATCAGAAACTACGGCCTTATGTTGACGACCTGTTTCACGGCTGTTGAATGTGAGCAAAACTCTCTCGAGGCGCGCTGGCCAAAGGAAGAGTCTTCTTGTACGCCCGCCATGAAGTACTTGAGGAAAAACAATTCCCTGCGCGACATCAGACGTCTCACTCGAGCGATAAGACACAAGATTGATGATCTTGCGGACAAGACCGCACAATTCCCAAGCAGTCTGCAGCTGATGTTGAATTTCAAATGGCATCTCCTCAAGCCGAATTTCACTGCCCTCTTACCATTCATGGAAACCCTCAAGTCAGACCTGATATTGGCTCAGAATACCTTGAAGCTGGAATCCCTCTTTGCAAGAGTGGAAACCAGAAAGGAAGAATATGCACGGGCACCGAGCGGTGAAATGATGTTCATTGAGGAAGAAATGTATGTTCCTCCCACCCATCTATTTCTCACTGTCGGGCCGGTTACTAACGAAAAGGATATCCAACAGCAGAGAAATAAAAAGGTCATATGGCTCAGTTGGTTTCCATGATCCGTGACCCTCAAGAGCATCCTGATATTACCGATGCGAGGAAGAGGCGGAGTGTCAGCCAGAATAAAGTCCTGGCGTTTTTAGCAGATTCCATGATTGCAAAGGGCATAGTGCTAGGGTCCCCGCCGCCAAGAGACTACAGAATTCCAAAGCAACCAGTTCTAGATCCCGGGCGCCGGTCAGGGCACCGCGCCGACAATACCTATAACCACATCCCGCATCGATACGGAGACATGGAGGTATCGCCACCGTCATCAGGGCTAACAACACCGCCCTCGTCCGAGCCGCCAACACCGAGCTCAACCAGCTCCCACATGATATCACCCCGGAGAAAAGACCCATATCAGTCCAGCTCCTCAAGATTCCGTACCGAATCTCCAGAAACTTTATCGAGAGAAGAAGCTCGTTCCATCCCTGCGAATCCGCCTCCTCCGCCCAAAAGAATTCCCTCAGCAGCACGACCATCACGGAAGGACAACATATCTAGCATACAAAACGACCCAGCTTCTCGAATAGACGTGAAATCCAGCGTTTCACGGCAAGTGGAAGACAAGCGAAAGACAGTGGCAGTGAAAGGGAAACGCGAGACAACAGCATCCAGCTCAAAGTCCACCCCAACAAAGCTCAGGTTACAATTCGAACTGGAATCACCACACACCCAAATCCTCACCTCCCGCCACCGCGCCAACAAGCCTGTCTATGGCCACATTAGTAGCCAGACTGAGAAATACCTCCAGGATGCACACCTCCACTCAGATAGAAAGATCAACATCATCTCGGTGGACCTGGCAGAACAACTGGGGTGGCGACCAGACAGCAGTCAGAAGAGAAAACCGCTGTATACCGCGTATGGAGAGGATGCAACGGTAGACGTGGTGGGCGCAGTTGAGATTGCAATTGTAATTCCCGGAAGGGTGGAACTTCGGAAGGAGTTTGATTTTCAAGTGTGCGAAAGGGGTCATGGAGTTGTTTTACCTGATTTTGGGGGTGAGAGTTCAGGAGTGGTTGATGCGCTGGGGTGAGGAGCAAGCTAAGGCACGGGCATGCTATCGAACGGGGCCGGGCATGAAGAAGGTGGGAGCAGCAACAAGTTGGAGGGAGAGAAGACTCAGAAGGTTGGTGATAATGTTGGTAAAGGGCACGTGAGAGGTCCAAAGACGGGAAACACATCAGGTCAGCAAAGGAAATAACTAGGATGGGTTGAAATGGAGAAACGATGCCGGTTATAGGGAAGGAAAGGACAGATCGGAAGTGGGTGCACTTGGGGTCAGGAGTCAAGGGAGATTCAGGGGTAACAAAACAACTACGTTATCTAACAAAATTAAACAATATCCACCACTGTCTTGACTGCCTCTCCGAATAACACTTCCCTCGCGGCAAATACCAACCCTATTCTAGTATATTCCTCAACACCATCCGTGGTGATGCCCGTGGCTCGCAGTGCCAATGCTGCTGTCGTGACGCGTTGAGTGCCGACCAACTTCAAGTCTTCGTCGCCCGACGTGTCTTCGTCCGCAAACGCAACCAACAAACAGTGAAAGTGTTTGTATGGGAAAATGTATCTTTCACCGTCTGCATGGCGGTCGACCAGACTGTCGAGATGTATCCGAAGCTTGTGCTCTTCGCCCGAGCTACTTGTCCTGAAAAATTCAAAAATATGGCCGCGATCAGAGGGAGTCATCTCCCTTTCAACCCCATTTACACGGGCTAACATTCCGTTGACCCGGAGCTTTCCATAGCTCACGCCTCCCATCGGATCGGGCCCGGTATGTTCAACCTTGATGTCCATGATTTCAAGTGGAAACTTCCACTCTGTACATATCTTACGTGGGCCCTCGTCATCGTACACCGCAAAGCCAGGCTGATGGCTTTGGGCAAAGCGAACTTGCAGGTGGTCATCCCGAAGGCAAGCCCAGGACCAGGAGGGGGCAATATATCCGTCCCTTTGGTGTGAACGATGGGCGTATCTGAGAGTACGGTTGACACGCCAAACGCTGTACCATGCAATGGCGCGCTGGATAGTGCCCTCCCATAACCCAGCATAGTACTTGGGTTGCTGTAAACAAAGGTTCGCCTCGGGACCTTCAGCACACATGGCCCAGACTTTCTTTGCCATGCCAGATAGTGCTGGAAGCCGGTCGGAAGGAAAGGTGAACTGGCAACCAGAGTAAAAAACAGCCAAATCGTACCAGGAGTTGTGGAGCCGCTGTTCGGCTGATTGCTCTGATAGCCAACACTGGCTGAGGAGTTCCTCACCCGGAAGACGTGGCCATCCAATGCGGCTGCTCAACTTTTCTGTTTGAAATTCATTGGCGCTGAGCTCGGCACACTCCCAGAAAACGGCATGTACTGTGAAGTGAAGAATTCTCGGTGACATGGCGCGTTCCTGCATGGCCCACCCACGCGATGTCAAGGGCCCCTTACTGATACACGAGATCCAGCTGGGGAGCGATGGTTCAATCACCAATGACTCCGGTTGACCGGTTTGGGTGTGACGCTGTATTGTGTAGGTGTTTGCCGGGTAGTCGAGGCCCGGTCTGTCCAAGAACAAGCCCTCTTCTGATGACATTGAGCCCGTGGCGGCCAGCGTGCACAAGGAGCCGGTGTAATACCGGCCAAAGTTGGCACATTCCAACGCCCAATCTGCTTTATGAGTATGGTCGTCTGAGGCGTCGTTGCTTTGCTGAATTATACAGAGAGCATCAACCCATAGGTAATGTACCAGACCCATTTTCTTTGTAAAGATGATGGCGTCTTGGATGGTCTTGGGGAGGCTTGCCATATCGATCCCTTGCTGCATGGTCTCGAGATTACTTGGAGTCAGTTTTGTCCCGGCTGCTACTCCACCACCCCAACTGTAACTCAACGTAAAGTATTCCGCTTGGATCGGAGTGCCGTCCTGGACTACCAGTCGAGGCTTTGGAGCCCCTGGTTTACCTCCCACATCGATCACCCGGGTAGGTAGTATTGGCACAGCACGGTGACCGGACTGATCCAAGGTAGCCAGCATAGAGCAGCGCATGTGACGGTTCAAGCAGTTCGAGATCCAGTCACGCGCTATAGCAGCCACGGCTTCCAGCCCCTCATCGTTCTGAAGCGAGTGTATCATGCCATTTCCCGTATCATCAATCTCCCTTTCAGGCTTCAGACGGAGATCGTCCACACCATCATCGGATTTTTCTTCTGGCCTGCGGTACAAAGTAGCCTGTACCGTGTAACCAAGTTCATCTTGGGCCGGTGAGTATACCCAGATCGTATTTTCATCAAACTCGACATGAATCGGCGAAGAGACAGAGCGAAAGTCTTGAAAGCGTTTGGTGGTCGTGAATGCGTCATGCACAAGCTTTTGTCGGATAAGTCTGCACAGTGGGCATTCGGCCGCGCAAGCGTCTTCGAGTTTGAGGAAGCTTTCAGCTACCACGGCGTAGTCCTCGGGCTCAGTCCTAGGCTCGGTGGCCAAACGATGGACAAGGCCCTTACAGGCAGTGCAAAGAGATGGTTCTGAGGACATTGTTGACAGCCCACATCTCGCGGGTGAGTGGGACTCGAGAGATATTCCACACACAGGTATATATGTGCTTTCACTTTATTATTGCCTGGAGTATTGACCAAAAAGCAACAGCGACCACCGCCTGACCAACTGCATAGATATCACGCGCAGCTGCCAGCATCTGGCATTGCTTGGCGGTAGGTTGCCAACCAACCAACATGTTATTTCCGAACCCCGCCTCACAAAGAAGCCTTGACAACAACCTCACCAGTTTCAGCCACCAACAACTCGGCCTCGCTTTACTTCCCACCCTCAGGCGCCCCCCCAGTGGCAGCAAATACCTTCCCCATAAAACCCAACATCCCCGCACTATCAACAAAAGAATCAAACACCCTCACCAATTTGGCGTCCTCGGTCAAGGTCAGCTTGTGCACATACTGGTTCTTGTACGGCTCGGTGACACCGGGCACGGCCGCGGTGCCGTTGCTGTTGAGGTAGACCACCGCCTTGAGCTGGGTCTCGTCAACCACAGTGTCGACGAGCTCGGCGTGGTAAGTCGCGAAGAGAGGGAAGGCCTGGGCCTGGAAGGCGGCGTACCCTTCTGCGTCTTTGTCGCCCTGGGGAGGGAGCGAGGCAGGATGGAAGTGGGCGGTGAAGTCGGGGGAGGCGAGGGACTTGATGGCCTGGGCGTCACGGTCGTTATGAGCCTTTACCCAGGCTTTGGCTGTGGTGATGATTTGCTCGCGGAGGGGGGATGACATTTTGGGTGGTGGGTGAGCTTGAGGGATGTCACTTGGGTTGTGAGTGTAGGTATGCTGATATGGTATGTGTAGGTATATGTGTATGATGTGTTTATGTGTAGCGTGGAGAGGTGTGTGGGAGGGAGCTACCGGTGGTGGCCAGGAGTCTTAAATAGGTAAGCGTGGGGCAGTGTGGTGCAAGGACAGCGGGGTTGGGCGGCTGGGGGGTATGAGCATCTCTCACTGTGCGGGCGGTTACTTGCCCATCGGTGTGTTGTACAGCATGCAGCTGCTCTGGCCGTTGCGACGTTCCTGTGGCCGGTGTCCCACTTCTCTTTGGGGGCCGCAGTGGAAAAGGACGGGGTGAAAGCAAAGCCAGCAAAGACTGCAGGAATTTGGTTTTGTCTCGGAAACTTAGAGTCGAAGTAGCTGATATTGATTTGTGGTTTGATCATATCATCATGTTGAGCTATCATTACCTACGTGCCCGCCTCCTAGCCGCTATAGGCGAGCTTCACCAGCTCCTCTTGCTTCTCCAAAAATCCCTTGAAGCTAGTCAGGTCGGCCATGGACCTTAACTCATCAAGGTCAATGTTATCGGCCATGTGACGCAAAGACCTTTCAGCAACGGTAAAACACAGGGACTCCTTCTGCTCCTCAATCTCATCATCTGACATGTAATACGGCGTGTAAGACCGCTTTGTTTTGCCCCCCAGCTGGGTCAACGCGTCCTCCACCGTGAGCACGTCGCCCGCAACACCCAAGACTCGGCCATGATACTTTTCGTCTTGCCCAAACACTGCGACGGCAATCTTGGCAATATCTTCGGGGAGGACAAGGGCAAGTGGTGTCTCCGATGTCATGGTGCTTCGCCAAACACCCGATGCCCGGAATCCTGGACTGAAATAGTCGACCTGAGGGGCGAGGAAATTGGTCATGAAGATGGCTGGACGAAGTATCGTCCACTTCCAGGGAGAGTCTTCGGTGACTGCTCGCTCGCCGGCCCTCTTTGCCGTCATGACCTTGTCGAAGAATGTGCTGTGCTGCGCCTTGTCCCCCTCCTGGTGAGAGAAGACACCGACCGATGTACATATGACAACCTGCTTGATGCTGCCGACGGACTGAGCAGCGCGCACAATATTGACGGCGTGGACCTGCTCCAGGCCTGGATCCTCAACGTGTGTTGCTGTGCAGACAAACAACTTGTCGATGCCAGACATGGCATCCACCAAAGAGGGAATATCGTCCCAGCTGCCTGGAAGAAGTTGCACACCAAGGGCTGCCAGAGCCTTTGCTCCAGGAGAATCGGGATCGCGAACTGTGGACTTGACGTCCCATCCATACAGTTCTCGCAGCAGTTTTGCCACAGCGCCTCCAATATTGCCGGTGACGCCGGAAACAAAAACGGAATATGTCTGTGATGCCATGGTGCAGCTTGTAAAGGGTCGGTATGCGTTGTGTCTAGAACAAGAGTGCCTGAGGTATTGTGTTCTGTTTTTCCACTGACTACAACATATAGCGGGTTGGTTGCATTCAATACCGTAGGTAAGCTTCCAGGTTAATCGATATGCGGTTAGGGGGGACACTAACCACCGAGGAGGGGCCTAGACTCTACCGCATGATGGTTGGCTTATCAGGGTGCCCCGTTGGCGCATCCCAGCCTTACCAGACCAAGGCCATCGCTCTGAAACACACACACCCCTCACCCAAGTACCTTTCCAGGCGATTTTGTACCCTGATAGAAACGCCGTCGGTAGATAGAGTGGGTGGCGCGGTTCAGCACGGTTACCTTGCATTCTCGCTGGTAAGCACCATGCATGGGTAGCGGTCGCTGTAATCGACCACGATGACATCCGATCCAGCAAATACATCGAGAATCGACTGTGCCACTCAGTGGAACAACGCTGAATGAGATTTGAACCGGCAAGAGAATATCACAGTGGGGAAAATGCACGTATTTACTGAACCAGCTCTGCACTTTCTTCCCGACCTGCCGTATGGGGACGGCGTTGGGTGGTAATATGCGAGTTTCACTCTTCAGATGCTGGCTGACTCTCGGCTTCACGCGTTGGAGCGGCGCGGACCGGTAGAATGCGCCACATATCATGCATTCCGACAACCCACCTGCACATTAAGCGCCAGTCAATAGTTTCCAATCAACTACAACCGCAGCTGGTTCCAAGAGGTTCTATCGTAGGGCTTTCAGTCCGAATCTTGGGCAAGCCCCTCCCCCCTTTCTCCCCTCCCCCCCCCTCTCCCTCCTGTTCCTCTTTCACCCTTTGTCATCGGTTGTTTCCCGCATCTTGCAAACAAAACGCCACAAACGCCAAATGCGAACTAGGTTGAGAGTGGCAGCCCCGTCATCATGGAGAAGCAGCATGTCATGGTGGACCCTGAGTATTCCGCCGAGCCACATACCGACCCGTCACTTGACGACAAGTCTCCAGACACGACGACAGTTGATGTCGCCAAGGGGACTTTGGCCAACAATGGCTCCAAGCCACCTTCTTTGGCCGACGAAAACAATCACAACACACCATGGGATGAGAAAAGTCAGTATCTAACAGGCCTCAAGCTTGTTATGGTGGTTTCTTGTATGTGTTTGGCGTGTTTTCTCATGTTGATCGATACAATGGTGGTTAGCACCGTAAGTAAACAACCCCCTTTTTATCACTACTCCACTCTTTGGTCTCCAGGGCAGGGGAAAATAGCTTTTCAGAAACTTACCGGCAGCCACCTACCTATGCAGGCTATACCTCGCATAACAGATGAGTTCAACTCGCTCGCAGACATTGGCTGGTATGCGACGGCGTACCAGTTCGGGAGGTATGTCTCTCTTCAACTATGGACTTGACCTGCTTTGGCTAAACAAGCTCACAGCGCAGCTCCACAGCCTCTGTCAGGCAAAGTGTTTGCACACTTCAACAACAGATTCTCGTTCCTTGCCTTTTTTCTCATCTTTGAGCTTGGATCGGCCCTCTGTGGTGCAGCGGTGTCTTCGACCATGTTGATTGTTGGCCGTGCAATCGCTGGTGTAGGGGCAGCCGGGATCATCAATGGTGCACTGATCATCATCTCTTGTTCCGTTCCCATGGAAAAACGCCCTGGTATGTTGGTCCATTGGGCGGGAGAGAGGGATTGTTTACTAACAACATGTTCTTACCACGTATACAGGCCTCATTGGAATTGTCATGGGATGTACGAGAGCAATCACCCATTCCACATGCGAGTTACCTGAGTACCTAGTCTAATCTTGTCCACAGTCAACCAACTTGGTCTGGTAATCGGACCTCTCATTGGGGGAGCGTTCACCTCTTACTCCACATGGCGATGGTGTCAGTAACAAGCCAACACACAACCTCTCTCGGCACAGGCTGCTAACAAGGGCCTACTGACAGGTTTCTACATCAACCTACCCATCGGCGCCCTGGTTGTTCTCGCGCTGTTCCTCTTCCCCGTTCCCGAACAGAGTGCCAAACCCCCAGCCATGAAGGTGCTTGTCAAGCTTCACAAATATCTCGACCTGGTAGGCTTCTGTCTGTTTGCACCAGCAGTCCTGCAGTTGATCTTGGCACTCAGCTTCGGCGGGGTGACATATCCCTGGAACTCCTCCCAAGTCATCGGGCTCTTCTGTGGCGCGGCGGCAACGTTTCTTGTCTGGCTGTTGTGGAACCGACACAAAGGACCTGACGCGTTACTGCCCCCCGCCATGCTGGCACGCACAGCAGTTTGGACTTCGGGTTTGTACCAGGCCTTTTTGATGGCGGCAGTGTACGGGGCCATATTCTTTCTGCCCATATACTTTCAGGCCATCAACAACGCCTCGCCTCTCCTGAGCGGGGTGTACCTCTTGCCGACCATCTTGCCGCAGCTGCTCATGGCGGCGTCTTCGGGAGCGTTGAGTAAGTAACCATTGCCTTGGCCTGGCTCCCCATGCTCTGGTGTGCGCTGACCTTTTCTCCGCGGTTCAGTCATGGCTATCGGGTACGTGATACCTCTGGCCACAATGTCCACAGTCTTGCTTTCCATAGCCAGTGGGCTGTACTCTCTTCTCAGGCCGGGCAGCCTGACAGGCTGGTGGGTCGGCTTCCAAGTGCTGGCTGGTGTTGGGTCGGGTCTGGGACTGCAAGTGGTTCGTCATCACCCCTCCCCGCAGCTTTGAGTTTGCCTCGCTGATCTCTTGCTAACTGCGTCGATGTGTTGCAATGGAATCCAGGCCATCATCGCGATCCAAGCCGTCGTGACCGGGGAGGAACTCTCCTCGGCGATGGCCTTCATCGTCTTCACCCAATCGCTGGGCCCGGCCATCGTGCTCACACTCTGTCAACTGATCTTCTACTCGAGTCTACGGGTGGAAATCCCCAGGGAGGCGCCCGACGCCGACACGGAAGCGGTCATTGCCGCAGGCGCCACCGGGTTCCGCGCGATAGTACCGCCTGACGTTCTTCCGGGTGTGCTTGAGGCATATGCGAACAGTATTAACAAAGTATTCTACTTGGTTGCCGCCATAGCAGCTTCTTGCGGCTTGGTTCTGTGGGGAATGGGGTGGAAAGATCTACGGAAGAAGCCGGACGGTGATAGTGAGACTGCCGATAAGGAAATGGGAGCTCCTGAGAGCCAGGCTTCAGGGGGTGACAATAAAGGTGTTGAATAGAGAGGTAAGGTAATCAGAGAGCCATCAGGATCGCGCCCAACTTCTGCTTCGCACATTTCTTTCTCAATTGTTTAGCACCTTGTCCAGGTAGCTAGGTGGCTAGGTAGCTATATCGTTTGATCGGCCAGTAGAGAGTACCTACCTTTGATGGTCATGTTAACGGGAACGATTTACCGAGGTAGGTATCCATAACTCTAGGTAATGGTATGGTGTCCATTGATGGTCCGCATATTGCGCTGAACGGCATCACATGGGTGGGATATCTTTTGGCACTTGAGGCAAGATAATGCGGTGTTGAGCGCCCTCTCCGTGCCGTGTAGGAAATAAGGTGAACTTATCACGCGCGGACAATTGTCTCGTTTTGGCAAGTAGTAGTGAAAGGATCGTGTTGCTATTCCCAGATATACCTACGCATTCAGTATTGAGGTGCCTGAAGAAGCATTTAACTCCGGACAGGGCCGTTGGCAATGGCCAACATGGAGTGTGCGGCCTGTGCATTTAAGAGTGCCCAAGGTAGGTATCATTCAACGGTGCCTAGAACACAATAGGCAACCCCGCATTATTACCTACGGGAGTAGCAGACTCGTGGCAGGTTAAGGTGGGAGGGAGCGCGGGTGCCACACCTCGGCTCTTCTTTCGGCGGCGTGCCACACAGCTGGAACACTATAGGGCCCAGATCCGCACATGGATCGAAAGACGTTTTGGACGGCTCGAGTGTATCGTGAGGCGCAATAAATGAGCCCGTAGGTAGGTAGGTAGCATCGACAAGCCAACACACCTACCTCCCGCCAACCCGTGATAGGCAAACCTGGCGACGTCTCATCAAGGTCACAGCCTCCTGAGGGGTATGTTGCAAAGAGCTGATTAATTGGAATATCTTACATGACAGGGCACTATTTCCTCACCATCTCACAGCAGCAGGAGACAGCCGGATCTCTGAGTGCTCGGCGCTTTACCTTATCCAGAGTTCTGCCGCACTGTGCCACCATGGACGCGGCTGGAGACTGCAGACACGTTCAACCTCTGGCTTAAAGTTGCGGCGTGGCCAGCACAGCACCGTGCCACCGAGCTGCTGCTCTTCAATCCCGTGCTTCTTAATTGTATGACAGTAATCCAGTAGTCCGTTCCTCCGAGCAAGCTGATGGCTTTGCCGCACACCCAGCAGTCCCAGCACGCGCCCAACTCGACCATGTTTGCACTCTGGGCAAAAATAGTAGACGCCGTCTCATGAGGCACAGGACGCCGAGGGTAAGGTAGGTAGGTAGGTGTTGTCTCGATTGTTCTCGAGAGTGATCTAGATTCCCACATTGATAATCTCTGTGTCGTCCAAACCTTGCCTCCCACGTTGTGACACTTGTCGCTTTCCAACTTCTTTTTTCATTTTTCATTTTGTATTGTCTGCGTCAGCGTATCGCCATGTCCGACTCCGTCCCAACCGGCCCCCCTCAGTTTCCCCCGCCCATCGACCCGGATGATCCCGGCCGTGGCCCGCTGGTCATGGGCCTCAACTACGGCTTTACCATTGTGGCCATGATGGCCGTCGCCCTCCGCTTCTACGTGCGCAGGAAGGTTGGGAACCGGGCATGGGGGTGGGACGACTGGCTGATGCTGGTCGCCGTCATCTTCCAGGTCGTCTGCGAGTGCCTGTTTGCACTGTCGTTCAAGCACGGCTTCGGCAAACATGACTACAGCATCCAGAAGCCAGACCAGTTTGTCGAGATCATGAAGTGGGCCTGGATTGCCCAGGGGTTCGGCCAGGTCACGTCGATCGTGGCGCGCCTGTCCATCACCATTTCGCTCATCACCCTCTTTGGCGTCCACCGATGGTTCAAGTGGTTCCTGATCGTGCTGACCACAGTGCAAACCATGCTTGGCACCGCCATGCTCGTTCTTTCGTACGCTCAGGTGCGCCCGCTGGAGGCCCTGTGGAATGTCTTTATGGACCCTGCCAAGGTCTGGCGCCTCGACACAAAATACTTTATCAACCTCGGCTACCTCACACAGTCTGTGTACACCTTTTCCGACGTGGCTTATGTCGTCATCCCGGTCGGCATCATCTGGCGGCTCAACATGACACTGCACCGCCGGCTGGGCCTGATCGCCCTCCTGGCCGCCATGCTCTTCACCGCCGCCATGTCCATCCTCAAGACCTACACCATCCACTGGCAGGGAGACCCAACCATCACGGATCCGCTCTACCGCAACAGTTTGCAGGTGCTCTATGCCAACCTCGAGCAGACTAGCGTCATCATCATGGGTTGCGTCCCGTCCCTGCGCGCCATTGTCAACGTTGAATTGCCGTTTGGGCTGTCCCGCCTCGGCCAGTCGGTGGCCAGTTTTCTGGGAAGCCGACGGTCGGCCACAAGCAAGGGCAGCGGCTTGTCCTTTCAGAAAGGGACCGGGAGCGGCGGCAGCGGGGGGGTCAGCTCCAAGCTCAAATCATTTGGCTCGTCGACGGTGGCGTCGAGGTATGATCATGACGCGACATATGCCGGGGGCTTCTACCAGGATCTGGAACTCGGAACGCACAGTCTCGGGAACCATCACAGGTTCGGCACCAAAGTCCCGGTGGTCATGTCTGTCAGCCACAATGTCGGCAGCCCCGGGGCTCCAACGCCCCCTTCCAGCGGAGGGCATCATGGAGGCAGCACCGATCATCTTGTGCCGCCTGGTGGTGGGAACTACGTTGTGCGGACAGATCAGTTTTCGGTTCAGGAGTCATATCAAGGTCCAGGAAAGGCGCAGTGATGGGCACCTCATCTTTATTGAGAGTGCTTACCTACCATGTATCCTTCATGTAGAGCGACCACCCACCTTATCTAAACTATACCAACCCTCTGTTATGAATAATGACCATGTTGTTGAAGCAAGAACCACCTCGTCATGAGCTTGTCTGTGCCAACCGCTTCAAAGCAACCGAACATCCATCACGCTCTCATAACTAGCTTCATTGTACACATATGTCCTGACCAACCGCAGCCCAACCTCCCCAAACAGTCCCTTCCACTGCTCCTCGGACCTCTCGGCACCAGCAAACGCCGCAAGCATCGTGATATCATGAGCTGCCGCGTCCAGCCCTGTGCCGATCGCAGGGGGGATGATCTCGTCAATCAACATGATCGACTCCTCCGTCATCGCGTCCATTGTCTGCTTCAGCAGCAGCTTGACCTTGTGGTCCGGGTGGTTGTGGAACACGCCACGCAAAAAGTAAAACTTGGCCCCCCTGACGGGCTGCGGCTTGAAAAAGTCATGGACCATGTTTTCGACACCGGGCGTCGCAAGGGCGGCCGCGATGGAGTGCGGAAGGTCCTGCAGGATGACCCGGCCGGGGAGGACGTCGGCCGGGAACTTGTCGCGGAACTCGGCGCACTGGTGCCCGATGTTGCCGCCGATGTTGACGTAGAGCGGCCGGTCTGCCGGCCAGGACTCGGGGACTTGCTCGCGGACCGGGTAGACGGAGAGCCAGCCGAGCTCGGGCTCGCGGCGAAAGGCCATGTAGTCGTTGAAGTAGGACATGTTGTCCGGTTTGTCGGCGAACCAAGTGAAGGGGCCCTTGTCGGTCTTGAAGGCATCGTGCCAGGCCGTTTGCGTCTCGTCGCCGGCGTTTCTGTAGCCCGTGCGCTTGAGATGGTCCGGGAGGGCGAAATACTCGGGGCAGCAGGTGTAGAAGTAATGCCTCAGGCCCGATTCGGCCACCTTGGCTGTCATGTTTCTGGAGGCATGGTTTGCCTTGAAAGCGTCCTTTGACACCTGGTCGACGAGTCCGATGGAGGCAAGATAGCGAAGAAGTCGGAGTAGAAGTGCCGCCTCAGCGCCCGTCTTTGCCGCAAGCTCGGCCAAAGTCAGGGACCCTGTGGACCCTGCTTCGGCTTCAACAAGGAGCCGGAAGAGGCCCAGGTCAACGGCCGTGAGGGCAACAGATGTCTGGAGAGAAAGACCTCCAATACGCTGGACTGTGTCATCAGGAGTCTCCAGAGAGTATATGAGCTTGGTCAGAGCAAGAATGATCGGCTGTCGGGCACTGTGGCCTGCCTCGCTGGCGAGCTGTTTGATGTTCTCAATGGCTGCGTCCATTGTTGACTGCTGGTAGGTATCTTGGATGGTTGTTGAGTAGGTAGATGAGAACGTTTGTTGACTTCCATTCTCGAGGTCGTTGGCCATACCTCGGCTTCTTCAACAAACGCATCGAGAGCCTCCCAATGCAACTTTGAATTCATCATGCATGCGCAGGTGATGGTTCACCCGACCAAGGTAGGAGGTATCGGAAGAAACTGACCTTAGGGAGGCTTTCCGGACTGGGATTTCGTAATTGGTTCGGTCTAGGCCAATGCTTCTCCTGTAGGGCTCTACCACGCTATCACTGACTGCGCCGCAAGACCATTGAACAATGAAAGCGTGTCAGCACAAGCGGCACAGTACGGTAACGGGGTGTATGTAACACGAAAGTACCCCGGGTTCCCGGTTGGGACTGGAAGCCCACAAAGCGCCACACCGTGCGGCGTAGCTATTAGCCGAGAATCCGACGTGGGATGCAATCATGTATGTTGTTGGTATCGATTTTGGTTGCGGGTTAGCAACAGGCCAAACTGGAAGAGGGGATAGCATACATACCCTGTGCTCATGGATCCGAAGTAACCCAGACAAGCTCAACATTGAGCTCTCAGCTTGCATTGCGGTCATGATGGTGCCATTTCCAGTATCCTCGCCGGCTACGGTTCTATTCTGCTTGATAACTGTTCTGGTTATCTCACGGGTGGTCTCGAACCGAAAGCTACGAACCAAGCGGGAGAACATCGTGACGATCGGTGTCAACATCAAAAACAACACAAATGGCATCATTAGCCAGACGTCAGCGCTTCTTCGCTCTCTCACTTCAACATCAGAGTGGGCTCGGAATGGATACCAACGCTTTTCAAAGACCCCTATTCAGAGGGCCTTTGCACTACCCAGCATGTGGACGGGATCTGACGTGGTGGTGCTGCCTCCGGCTCTGCTCACATCTGTTCTCAACCGACCAGAGGCCGAGCTTGCCGCACATCACGCCCAGCTCGACACGATTCAGCTGCCGTACATGATGAGCGACTCGGATGTCTACAACAATCCAATCCAGTATGACGTTATCCGCCGGACCATGTCCCGCCAGCATGTTGGTTCACTTGCGGCAACAACGGCAAAGGAGTTGCAGAATGCCTTCTCGACCTACTGGTCCGCTCCAGTCAAGCATGACCGGGACTGGGCAACACTTGACAACTGGGAGGCTTGTGGTAAGGTTTTCACCCGTGTAGCCATGCTATCATTCGTCGGCTCTCCGCTCGGTCATGACGAGAGGTTACTCGACTGGGCCCGCAAATATGCCAGCTCGGTGATTACCGGTACCGCCTTCATCAACTGCCTGCCTCCGGGCTGGATTCGATCAAGTGCAGGGCCCTTGTTTGGGATCCAAGCAAGGTACTACCAGTCTCGCTGCCTCCGAATAATGGTTCCCGTCATACAGGAGAGGGTCTGGAAGCTCCAGAATGGTGCCGGGCAGGACGTGGATGACTTCCTCCAGTCGACCATCCTGCGTTGCTCTCGAACGGGAGATCCCCGGCAGATGGACCCCCAGCGCATCGCTCTTAGGCTCCTCGGCCTGGCTACCATGTCCATCATGGGCATGGTGTACGTTTTCACGCACTGCGTTGCTGATGTGTACGGAATGCCTGACCGCAAGCGAGAAGAGCTGCTCGCCGCGCTCGAGGCGGAATGCAAGCGGGAAGCCAGGCCAGACGAAGGTGTCCCGTTTTCTCTTCTCGACTCAACCTTGAACGAGTCCATGCGTCTCAACAATATCAGCGTCACCAGTTTGGCACGGGATGTGGCCGTTGATAGCCTTCATATCCCGGGTGTTGAAAAGGCGGGTGACGATGCTGGCGGTATTTCCTACACGTTGCCACGCGGTTCCCGCATCGTCTTTCCAACACAGGAGATGCATAGGGATGAGGGGGTGTATGGGCGTAACCCGGAGGAGTTTGATCCCTTCCGGTTCTATCGAGAGTTTCAGACAGAAGGGGGGAGATTCGATGATATGTGTAAGGGTCTGCTGGTGTTTGGGTATGGAAAGCACGCCTGTCCAGGCAGGCACTACGCTATGCAGACGCTGAGGCAGACTCTGGCATATCTGGTGCTCAATTACGATGTTGCGTTGGTTGGTCCAGTTGATGCTGATGGGGGGCATGCCTTGCGAGGGAAGAGGCAAACGCTGTTGAACGTGAACGTGCCCAACGTAGATCTCAAGATCCGCGTCAGGCGCAAGAGATAGACACTTTGCATACCTTACTTTTCCTTCAAAACTGCCAGAAAGCCCCCATGGGATATGAGCGCCTACCTACCTAGACACCCAGGTACTAAACAATGCATCACAAGCCAAACACATAAAAGAGACACTAAGCGTGTGAAAAAGAGACAAAGACTACACCCCCCTCTCCCTCATAGCCCTCACAAACACCTCGGCAAACCCCTCCACAAACTCAGGCCCAATCATGGTGTAGTGCGCCCCCCCAACACCGTGAAACCTCACGCCACCGCCGCCGCCAACTCCCTCACGCAAACAGACAAACTCCCTCCACCCCATCAAATGATCCCTCAACCAAACCTCCCTCGTCTCGGCCACGGCCCTCAGCGGCACAGCATAAAACACATCCATCCCCCCATCAATCTCCCCAGCCTCTGGCTCATAATCCACAGCAATACTCTGCAGCCCATACGCCACATCCGCCCACCGAGCCAAATCCCCCCCGCCCAGCCCCAGCTCCGCCAACCTCCCCCCATCCGCCACATCCAGCACCACCCGCAAAGCCCTGCCCTTGTCCCCCTCCCGCGCCAGCATCCGGTCCAGCTCCTCCGTCTCCTCCTCCCCCGCGACCAGGCCGAGGAAGTAGGCGAGGTTGATCAGGCACCGGTTCCAGTTCAGGTACCTCATCCTCTCCTTGATCCTCGGGGGCAGGTTGAGGACGCCGAGGAACTTGACGCTGTCGCCGGCTTTCTGGAGGAGCTTGGCCATCTCGAAGGCGAACATGGAGCCGTAGGAGTAACCCGCCAGGCAGTACGGCCCTCTGGGTTGGTGGCGTTTGATGGCCGATGCGTAAAAGGTTACGGCTTGGGTGATGGAGGTGAACAACTGGGGGGGGGAGGGTTCGTGATGGGGATTGGGCGGCTCGAAGCCGGGGGCGCGGAGGGCGTAGATTGGTCTTCGGGGGGAGGAGAGGGAAAGGTGGTGGACGAGGGGGATGAACACCAGGACTTCGCCCACGCCGGGGTGGATGAGCCAGAGGGGGGTGGGGGCTTGGTTTTCGGGAGAGGGGGGGTTGGCGGGTGGTGGGCGGAAGATGATGACAGGGTCGTAGTTGGGGAGCGAGGTGGCTGGGTTGGTAAGGGGGGTTGGGATGGGTTGGGGTTTTTTGTTTTGCTGGAGGGCGTCCTCGACTACTGCTGCTAGGGCACGAGCGGTGGGGTTCTTCATGATGGCGATGACGGGTAATGACACGGTGAACCGCTTGTCGAGGGCGTGTTTCAGGCGGATGAGGTCCATGGACGTGAAGCCCAGCTCCCATACAGGAGTATCGAGGTCACATCCGCTCTCCAAATTACCTCGTCGTTCTCTGGTAAAGTCTTGGAGGATGCCGGCCTCCACATCCGTCAGCTTGGAGTTCCTGGGCGTCCCCTTTCTGTTGACACCGTTTACCAGGTCGCGGTGTCGGGCTACATCAACGGCAAAGAGATCTCTCTCAAAGAGAGATCTCATCTTGGCTCGTGAAATCTTTCCCAATGTTGTTGTTGGCAGCAGTTGCATTGATTCAGGGGTCAAGGCAAAGATGAGTGGGCGAGAGGCGGTGGCCAATAGACAGGCTTCCGTTAGGCTTCTGTCAACCTCAGCCATTCGGATGGCAACGTCCTCGGCTTCCCATTCGATTTTGGCCGGCACATAGGCAACCGTCACCTGCTCCGTGTGAGCATTATTGGATGGGAAGACGAAAAGACGCGAGACAACTTCCTTCCCCTGAACAGCCTGTTCGAGGAGCAACTGGATATCGGCGATGGGCGTTTTCACCCCGTTGATGTTGACCAGTTCTTTCACACGTCCTACCAGACATAGGCGGCCATCAGAATCCAACAGAGCGCGGTCCCCGGTGCGGAACCACCCATCCTCCGTAAATGCCTGCTCCGTAGCCGCCGGGTTTCTGTAGTACGATCCAAAGACCATGGTGCCCCGTACCTCGAGATCGCCCGGCTCATTTGGCAGGGCGTTTCTTCTTTGCCGATCCGATTCAGGCCCAGATCCCCAGCTGACTTGGACTCGCATCTCCATGCCACGTATGCATGTGCCGAGTGAGGCAACGGGGTAGCCCCTCTCGAGATCATAGTCTGGACAGCTTGTACTGTAGATGCAGCCAGCGCATGTCTCGGTCATTCCAAACCCGGGGGCTATAACATTCCTGGGCGCGCCGTACCGTTCGAGAAGCGCCGAGGCTTCCACGCATGTCTGCATGTCATTTGCCTCTCCCCCAGACACAAGAAATGCCAAGCTTGAAAGATTCCACTGCTTGGTGTTTTGCTCCGGCTGCCTCTTGCTGGCTGATACGAGACTGGCCAGGAAGAAGTTGGGCGCAAAGGACCGGGAGACACGATGGCGACTCAGAAGGTCCAAGAAGAGAAACGGTGACGATACAACATCGGCAGTTCCGACGTGAACCTGGTCAACGTTTTCCCACAGGGCGTGAATGTGTATCTCAATCAAGGCTCCGACGTGGTCGAGGCCGATCCAATTCAGAAACGGGCGACCGGGCGGAAGAACACATGCCCCTGACTTCCCTGCTACTGATGCCAACACCATGCTGTGAGTCAGACACACGGCTTTGGCGTTGCCCGTGCTCCCCGATGTCAGCATCAGCATGGCCAGGGAGTTTGGATCTCCCTGTGCTCGTGGTAGGCCGTTCCGATCCAATCCATCTTCTTTGTGTCCTTTCCTGCTGCCCTCTTCCAACAGCTCAACAGTCACGATTTCAAGGTCATGATCCACGCCGTCGAAGAGAGAGACATTTCCAGTCCGTGTGATGCAGATCGGAGACTCTAGAAGGTTTGAAAGGCCCTTGATGTGCTTTTTGCGGTAACCTGGGGCATTGCTGAATGGAGTAGAGAGTACGGGGAGCCCTCTGGCCATCCGAACGGACCAAAACCAAAGGATTGTGTCTTGGTGGTTGTCCAGATGAAGCAGGATTGGCTTCTGCTCTCGGAATGATGGGAGAGCACGGACGGCTCGCGAGTTTGAGGTTGCCAGAGCCAGCAGGTGGGCATATGATATGTCCGTCGGAGTGCTGGGGTTTCCCGGGGCGTAGAACAGAAGGCGTTGGCACGGGCTGCTTCTTGCTCGGCTTTGCAAGAGGTCCTCTAGGGTCGCTATTCCGGTGTGATGAGGCGAGGGCTTCATCTTGATGGATGCGCAAAGTGATGGGTAGGCTGGTGGGCGGTATTGTCTTTGCTTTAAAATGTTCTCTAGTCTCTCTTGAGGGTGTGATTAAAGTAGGTAGGTAGCTGTCTCATACCCATACCTAGGTAGGTACCTACTCAACCTACAAGACACCTGCTATCTGGTAAAGAACCCCGAAACGTGAAGCCGCCACGCCTTGGCGAGGTCAGTTTGGCCGAGACCGAAATCAGACGAACCATGGTGAGATCGGCCGAATCGCCAGTTCACCCGCTTTTGCACACACCCCTTTTCACCGTGCTTGTTGTACCCCTCCTCCTTTCCGCATCAACATGCAGCCAGGGCGTAGTACCCCGTTGGGTAAGCCGAAAAGCGATAGTTGGTGATTCGATACGCATGGTGCACCGCTGACATGCATCGGGGCGGCGGTGCCGTCTTACCTTGTTTTCGTGATCAATGGAAAGGCGTTTCGGCTTGGAGCAATATTTCTATATCGGGGTATCATCGTGTGTCCCCAAGACAACAACCGCAAAACGCAGGCAGGTATATGTGCTGACCGACCTTATCCTGGGCGCCATCACCCAGCTGGAGGCTGACTTGCAGGAGTGCATACCTTACCTACCTACCGTTCACTCATCGCTTTCTTTCCCATCTCGTTTCAGTATGCCTGGATCATCAACGCCGTCGTGCTCCAAGCCAAGAATCTTGGAGCTCGCAGATAGAATCAGCCACTCGGCAGCCCACCTGGACAGTATTCTGCGCGCCAAGGATGTTCCCTCACCCTCGTTTGCGGAGGATGCCCCTGCTCCTTACCCGTCAGAAACGGATGATGTTCGGGACGTCATCGTCGACGCTGCCGCCGAGCTGTATGATCTGTTGCTCGAGCCCATGGCCTTGCTCTACAAAAAGACGGGAGTAAGATTCGCACCCCGAACACCCCAAACCATGTCATGAATGGCAGAACTAGACACTGATGCAGAGCAGCACAACAATATGGTGTGCCTCCAGTTCATAACCCGCTTCAGTGTCGCCGACATGGTGCCGGCGGGCGGACAGATCTCCTTTGGTGATATTGCTGCAAAGGTCCCAGGGCTGACTGAATCCATCGTCAGCCGTCTACTGCGACATGCCATGACGATGCACGTGTTCCACGAGCCCCAACCCGGCATGGTCGCCCATACCAAAGCCTCCAAAGCCCTTCAAACCAACCCGGTGTTGAACGCTTGGCTGAGGAACGGAACCCATGAGATGTGGCCGGCTGCGATCAAGATGCTTGACGCCCTAGAAAAGTGGCCCGAGTCCTCAGAGCCGTCAGAGACGGGGTTTGCCCTGGCGAATGGTACAGTTGCCACCGCCTTTGAGATCCTCGGCAGCGACCCCGCCCGGGCCGCCAGGTTCGGTCGCGCCATGAGCATCTACGCCATGAAGCCCGAGTACTCGCCTTCTTACCTGACAGAATACTTCGACTGGGCAAGTCTTGGATCGGCGCGTGTTCTGGCGGTGGCGGGGGCCTCCTATTTCCAAGTCGCTGTTGAACTTGCTCGAAGATTCCCCAACTTGCAGGTCACGGTGCAAGACACGGCACAAGCTCTGCCTGTTCCGGCGGCTGGAGCAGTGCCAGCCGATGTGGAGGAACGGTTGAACGTCGCGGTCGTAGAAGATACCTTTGCTCCCCAGATGTCTAGCACACAGCCAGTTGATATCGTACTGCTCCGTTGGGTGCTGCATATCTGGCCTGACAAGTACTGTGTCCGTCTGCTGAGAGCACAGATCCCTCTGATGCGAACTGGAACAAGGCTTGTCATCCAGGACGTCATCTTTCCGAAGCCAGGAACAGTAGCACAGTGGCGGGAACAGGATTTGAGGTAAGCGATGTCCCATTGTTTGCATGTCCGGTAAAAGAAGCATTCGAGGCTGACCAAAGGCGGCGGTGACCAGGGCGAGCGATGTCCACATGGCCAACCTTTTTAATGGAAAAGAGAGGACAGCCGAGGAGTGGGAGGCACTTGTCGTCGATGCCGATCCGCGATTTGTGGTCTCGCGCGTGGTTGAGCCCAAGGGATCAGCTCTGGGCATCATTGAAGTTGCGTGGCAGGAGTGAATGAGTAGGTAATACCGAGGACATCGATCTCGCACAGTGTCAAGTGTAATAACATTTCAGCTTTGTTGTGTTTGTTGTCCAGTGCCAGGAGCACTGTCAGCCAGGCTGCTTCGCCGCAGGGCCACGTCGCTGACGCCGATCACCCACTCACAGCTGCATGCTGAGCTGCATTTGAATAAATACTGTTCCCCATTTGAGCCAAACATGATCATACTTGTCGACACTATTGATTCTCTCAAGAGGTTGGGGCGATCAGCAACGATCAGGGCGCCACTATCCACGGGCCAAGGGAGTACAAAAGCTCGCCGATTGCCTGTCTCGCCGCAGCCACCAGATCCCACTCTCTTTTGCATCTTCTCCAACACACTTGCGGCTATCCACAATGCAGCTCAAGACACTCTTTTCTCTCGTGGTGCCCCTGCTGGGACTTCAAAGCTCAGTACACAGTCTCAACATTCCACCCGCTCAGGAGCTGCATCTTCGCGACGAGATCAACGCTCAGGGAGGCCAATCGAACCAACTGTACAAGTTTGAGGTTGGAATCTACAAGCGAAACAACGTCACGTGGGACGCCTTCGCCGCCTTTCTCGTCAACTCTCGCTATCCCAAGGTGAAGCCACTTGTGGCCAAGCATGGCGTTGCTGTTTGGACCGAGGTGAGATAGATACCTAGGTAAAATATACCACCATCGAATCAGCGGCCTAACATCTCCACCGTAGACCTTGACGCCACCTTCAGCACGAGCCATTGCCGCAGGCGCCATCCCTCCCGGCTGGACGGTGCCGCAGTATGACTCCATCTCGACTTACTACGTCAGCGATCCCTCTGTTCTCGGCGCCTTGACCACTGACCCAGCCTGGATTGCGTTGGAGATCGCTGCCGCGGGGTATGTGGATGGGTCGAGAGGAACGCTTCTGGCCGGTTTCGAGACTGTCAAGTACGAGAAGCCGAAGAAGGGAGGCAAAGGCAAGAAGAGAGACTGTTTGCTAGATTAGGTGTGGTTTGAAGTATGTTCGAGTGCTTTCATGCCTGCGGTACTTACCTCTACATGTAGTTACTTCCTAAAATACACACATTGTTAATGGGGCATGGAGAGGGGTTGTACCTTGCCCGAAATCAGGAGAAACAAACACCATGTTGGCGGATATACTTTCATCAGTTTGATGTGGGTACCTTTAGAACATTTATTATCACATGTCGTACCACACAAAGCCTCGCTTTACCCTCCAACAAGCGCCCTCAAACTTAGCTACCTACATCAACCCATGCAACTGATCACCAAGAACCACCCTCCCCTCCCGTCAGCATCACAACCCCGTACAAACCCACCGCCATAACCAAAATCACCCCCCCAGTTTCAAACCAACCACCCCATCACCATCCCCAACCCGGCACCCAGCAAACCCCCATCCATTCCCCCTCTCCTTCCATTCTCCCCAACCCCAGCGCTGCTGGTACTACTACTCACGACATTGTCCGGCCTCGGCGTCGGCCGTTCAGTAGGCAGCCCAGTCTCAAAGGTGTAGCTCGTCAACGGTGTCACGGTGATACTGCACGAGCTCCCACTCGGCACCCCCTCCAGACTGCATCCGAGCGATACGACATCCGACTCGATCGAGCTTATCACCGAAATGAACGTCTCCAGTGCGAAGGGCTCCTCTGTGGTTTGTAGGAGGGGGTCGTCACACGCGTAGGGAATGTCAGAGTTTGAGTTCTCTTGACAGGTTTGGCCGGTTAGACAGCACCATGTTGAGTCGCACGGGACTGGGCAGAGGAGGGACGGTCCGTCCTGGCGCCGGAGGGGTTTGGCAGGGTTTAAGGCGATGGTTTGGGTGGTAAGGGATAGGAAGAGAAAGGTTGAGAGCTTCATTTTCGGTTCCGAGGCGGATTGATTGTCGGTGGGAGGCTGCAAACCGGGAAAGGCGAAACGATGGATGAGTGCCATTTTCGAATGAGGGGAATTAGGTACCTATATATGTGCCTTCTGGGACTTTGCCACTCAGCAGGTATCGTCAAAAGCTGCCCGCTATCAGCGATCGTGCGATTGCATACACCTTGAGTTGGTGTAACCGTCGATCCGACCCCGCCTGCGATAGACCGAGTTTCCTGTTCGAAACACCACCTCCGGATAGCTCAAGTCGATCAAAGTTCACGAGAAGGTGGCGTTCGATATAGGGGCTGATATCTGAAATGCTTATTATGTGACAGGTGCTATCATGGCGAGATTGCAACGTGGTGGCTGAAGCTGGACCACCATCATGAAGTGGGTGTGAAGAAGCGTGGGGAGCTGCCTGACGTGTGCTGGCGACTAATAGAGACAGGAATCCAAGGCCGTGAGTTAAAATAGCTGGTTATAAAGTGGCTCTTCTCTGGATGGAGCCAAGGTCGAGGCTTTTGCTTGGGTTGGTCGTGTGGTGTCAAGTCCGCGATCGACCATGCGGCGAGCAAGTCGAGCTCCAGATCGACCTGGAGCAAATGCCCGAGATGCTCCAGTTTTACTCCAAGACCTCTTACCTCATGCTTCAGCTGCCACCCCGTATTCCCCCAACATTGACTCAAATCATCACAACGACCCATTACCACCATCTCCATTAATCCCAAACACCACGAGCAACATCCCGACCTCCCCACCAAACATTCAACATAATCCAGCGGCACCAACAACACCAGTCCCACCACCGACAACCCCTCCTCAACCACCTCTCACCAACTCCGCAACCCCTCAAACTCCCGTCACTTCCCCAATCTCAACCATTCCCAACCAGCAACCATCCAACCCATCTTCCACCACCTTCACTCCTTCCTCCCCAACCCTCTCAACCCGTCTCACCAAACTCCTCACTCGGCTATCAACCCTCCCAACACCCCCCGTCATCACCCACCTCCATAAACACCTCAAAGCCCCCACCATCCTCCTCATCACCCTCCTCCTCTTCATCTTCGTCACCCTCATCTCCTGGCAAGCCCACAACCTCGACTGGCCCCTCGCCAGAATCCCGATCCCCTCCGGCATTCTCCTCCTGACAATAGTAGCCAAGTTCACAGACTGGGCACTCGCCGGCGTAACCGACGACGCCTGGGAACGACTGCAATGGGGTCCATTACTGCAGCAAGGCCGAGGGAACATGTTGACGTTCCTGGTGATGGGTTCCGGGTTCGGGAGCTGGTGGAGGGTGTTATTTTCTTCTGGGGTGCAGCCGGGAGAGGAGACGAAGTTGATGAGGCTGAGGAGGTTAGTCAGGACGAAATGGAAATGGCGGCCTCGATTCAGCGCTCGGTTCTGGAGTTTCATCCGCATCTTCGTTTGGTTGTTTGTCCAATTCCCAGGCTTGATTCTCATGGCCATGATCGAGAACAAAGACTCCTTCCGCCCAACAGCATGGGCAGACGTCACCGGTGGGTTGGGGGCGTTCAACGTGAGCGCGGGTTGGTTCCAGCCTGGTGACCCATCCACTTATCGACAGGTTTTTGGTATCCTTCAAGACCCAACCATCACGGTGACTACCACGCCAATAGGTGAGGAATGTAGTCGGGAGGATAGCTGTCAGTCGTACATCTTGTCCGGGGGGACAACCCTTGTTCAGCCTTGGGCTTTTGTACCGCGGCAATTGACTGACAACCACGCCTATGTAATTGAGAACGCGCCGGCGTATCAAATCGATGGCTGGGAGACCTCGTTCAACCATTCGTTGCCGTATGCCTCCTGGACTGACGACCAGTGTCGGGTGTTCACCTCTCAAAGCCCGCTGGGTGCGGTTGATGGCTCGCTTCAAATTTGTGTGAAGAACGATGGAGATGATGGACGGTTGTTGGCAGGTGAGTAGCTCCGGGTTTCCCAAAGTCTTCAGCGCGTCGGCATGCTAACGTTTATTCCCGTCCTCAAGGCATCCGAGAATGTGGTAGCAACGTGGACAAGACCGGCAATTGCACCCTTGATCCGGCCTATCCAGGGTGGGATTCCTTCCCGGCCTTTTCATCTGTCATCGAACTGTATCGACTGAACGTAGACCTTGTGACAGACCGTCACACCCAGACCATCATCGAGCTGTCCAACCAAGCTAGTCCAATCAAGCAGATAATCGCCCCTGAAGACTTCCTCGACGCATTCGCCCTCCTTCTCTGCCCCTTCCCCACAAATTCGACCCAAATCTCCCGATGGTGCGCCCCCAACGCCGTGAACCAACAGCTCACAGCTTCGCTCGCGTGGAGAATCCAACTGGCCTACAGCGAGAGGTACTTTGACAACCAACTCTCCATGGACATGCTTCGTAACCTCTTTGCAACGGTGTTGTATATGTTTAACCCAGTCTATCGGGCTATTTCCATCGATGGTTCCGTGCCGTGGAGACCCAACGAGACAGTACCTGGGCTGCCACCAGAGAACACCTTTCGAGGGTCCCCAGCCATCCAGTCGAGCTATGTCGCCCCGGCTACTTGGACTGTGGTTGCTTTCATCGTGTCGGCGGTAGTACTAATCTCTGCGGCGGTCATCGCGATGGTTGTGTCGTCTGTATATGCCGATATGCCTAACCTTAACAAGTTCTTGGTGTTGGATGGGATGAAAGTCGTTGTCGTTGATCCCGCAACGGGTGATGAGACTTTCTTTGGCGATGTTGTATGTCGGGAGAAGACGAAGGAAGGAGTTATTTATGTGGCGAGCCGGACGACCGTCTCCCTTGCGAGGAGTGGGGCGACAGCAGGGAGCGACGGGAATGCATCATCACCTGCTTCGAGATGATGGGCTGATGGGACGGTATAGTTTGATGGACGTTGTCCTATTTCTGGATGGCTTTTTTTTCGGTGGCAGAGGAAGATTGTCGATACCAAGGAAGGTTGGGGGAAGGTTTGAAAACCTTCGCTCAAGTCTGATGAAGGAATTATGGTGCTCGAACACCTCGTTAAACTTTAACCCAAAATCTGGTGAACATTTTGATGAGCTTGTGGCACGCTGTCGAGCGTGCCAACAGAACTGTGAGAAAAGCGATGGTACTGTACAGCACTGGGAAATTCAGCTCCGGAGAGCAGAATCCTACCTCCCACACCCCCTCCCAGGCAGGGTCTACACCCAACAGAACCTGTGGCGGCCCACAGGGCAGAAGCCCTAGGGAGCAACCTGACTGAATATCCACCGGGAGCAACACCTCCCACAAACGCCACCCTCCGCACGTTGAATCAGCTGTTGAGTTAAGGGGCTTAATATGTTTGCCTACCCGTACCCACCTAAACGCCAGGTGGATGTGATCGAGAATGTTCGTCTTGCATAAGGTAGAGACTTTATCCCCGCACATTGCCCCCTACAGAGGTTAGGGTTACATATGGCCTTCATTTTGAGATGTTTAAAAGGCCAAGTTCGGTGCTGGTGGTTTTCTACATGCTGGGCTGCCTGGCAACAATGATCATATCATAGATGAGGGTCCTAGAGTTGGTAGCTGCCGCCAACATTACTGCGCCAGGCGGAAGGCACCTTCTTTCAATTCTACTTGTGGAAAATTATTTACGGTGGTAATGCACGATTCAGATCACTTGCTGGTGCGTGGCGGGATGAGGCAACACTAAATTGCAGAGCCTCACTATAAATCAAGTTTTCTTTTTGTGTCAGGTTTTCTTGCCTTTCCTTGTATTTACCGCTGAGTCACAATCAAAACATCGCACCATTCCTCATCTACCTCATCGCTGCCGACTTGATAGTCCTCAGCATGAAAGGCTGTTTTTCATTCGCCAGGTACGCACTCGTTCTTTTGGGAGCGCTATCTAACCACATGTGCTGTGACCTGCAACGCGCAACTTGTCCATACCCAGGTTGTGTGTTTCTCAATACCGAAAAGCCGTGGACCCTCCACTGCGACGTTTATCGTGCGAGAGTGAGAGAGAGCCCGGGGAAATGGCCTCCATATTCCTACGTGATCTGTCCCAGTGGTTTCACGCCTGAGCCGCCCCCGAGAAGGGGGCATCTAGGAGTGGCGACTGATTACTGCGAATTCCACAAGAAAGAAGTCTTCCCTCGGCTATTCAAACATTGTTGGATACCTCAGGACAAGTGCGAGGTGAGGCGGACAATTAACACCTTTGTTTCAGCCATCACAGGGGCACTTTCGGCAAGCGAAGACTTGGAACAGGACATGTGGGGCCAAGGTCAGAGGGGTATAGACTTCCCCCGGGTTCCATTTGGAAGTGTTGAGTGGAATCGGTCGGCATCGTCATACCTCTATGAGGAGCCCATCTCACCGCGAACGGTTCCGTCAGCGATAATATCGAACCTTGGTCCTGTTACGGCTGGACCAGGAGAGCACCACCATCTCCGTCTTGCACCTCTACAGACTGCACTAGATGATGGGTTCTATTTCGACTTTCCGAAAGAACTTCAAGCGTGCACTCCGGCTGCAAACGAACAAATGGGCATGGTTGATGGCGCGCAAGTTCACTCTACTCAAATGCAGAGCAACGCCGCATGCGGAGTCTTGGTGGAAGATCTTGGACAGCCGCACCCGCCTAGAGTGGAGAAATCCAACGGGGAGGGGCTTTGAATGATGGGCAATTTCAAATATTCGTGAGGAAGACGAGGAACTGTGGAGAGGACTGGGAGCAATAACATCAGGGGAGCGTGTCCTGGTTACCTAACACAACCAGGTCGACATCGAAATGGAAAAGAACAAAACGGAAATGAAAACCACAACTTCGAAATGGAAGAAAACAACATGGATATGGAATATAAAAGGATATACGTGGTGGCTATCCGTGTGAGACATGACATCAAGACGCTCGAAATTCTCGAGAAAGCCATCCACCACCCACCACCACTCCACGTGGCATCAGTACCCTAAATCTGTGGAGGCAAAGTGACTTTGGTTGGGGCTTCAAGATCTGCTGGTACCTAAATAGATACGAGGTAGATAGCTCCACGTGCAGCTTTCACAGTCTGGCAGCTGACATGGAAACAGAGGAAGTACGAACGAGCGGAATATTATCGGTCCTCAATATCTAGTGCAGACTTGGAAAGAGGAACCGTCGCGAGATCGGCGGTGTCTCACCACGGCATGGTGTCACACGAGATGAGCCCCAAGCGTATCTAAGGGTCATGGGGGATATTCTTAGGTAAGTATTGAGATCTCCACATAAAGACCTAACTCACTATACTCATCTAATCCTGCAAGAGAGCTTAACTGGACGGAAGCTCATATCCGCGAAGTAAGGTTAGAATAAAAGCAGGCAGGCAGCGCTGAGTTGAGCATGCCTATTGACACTTTTAAACGACTTCGCTACACTCAAACCATCTCACTATTCGAACTTAAGGCATTAAATTTCCTGAAATTTCGCTCAGGAAAGCCACCTGTTAAGCCATGTGGATAAGGTAGTGTTTGAGCGGTAATGACTGGGGTTATCGCTGTGGCTCGATGAACGTTTACTTTTACAACTAAAACTTGTTCACGACGCCTCATGATCTCTAGACACATGTAACCTCTTTCTATCCTTTTCTCATGGTGACTGCCCCCTTTTACCCCCGAGTCCATCACGGTTAGGGGTGTGGGTAACAGTGTCCGACACAGTGCCTCCATCTCCCGCACAGTCTTCCCCACACGCTTAATCCGACGTCATTGAAGTTCATCTGATGCTCGGCAATTGTCACGTACCACATTTATAGGTGTAGGCCAAAGTCAACATGTCTTCAGGAACCGATCCATCAGCCGCGAGAATTGTTTCCGTGAAACCACTGGTAGGCCTATCCTCATTACCCCATCTGGTGTATCCCATACTTCCACCTCCCCTCCTTCTCACATGTCTAACATCTCACTCAGGAAAACAAAGACGCCCGCTGGCTCAACCTAGTCCAGTGAGCTATTCACTCTCCTCACACTCAACTCAAAGTAATAACCCCAAAATTAGAATAGAATACCTCACCCCCGACGGACAAACGCGCCAATGGGAAGCCATCCACCGCACCACCACCCCTAAATCCAGCCCGGGCGGCGTCGACTCTGTCCACATCATCGCCGTCCGCTCTTGCTCATCAGACCCAAGCAGGAAGGAGATTCTCCTAGAGAAACAATTCCGGCCACCAGCGGGCAAGGTCTGCATCGAGTTCCCCGCCGGACTGGTCGATCCCAACGAGAGCATCGAGACGTGTGCGCTGAGAGAGCTGAGAGAGGAGACGGGGTATGTCGGGGAGGTGATGGGCAAGGTTGGGGGGAGTATGGTGATGTTTGGATGTGAGTTTGTTTCTTCTAACTGTTGTTATGTGGAGAAGGATACGCTAACATTGAACAGCACCCGCATCTTCGGCGTAGGTTTATTTCTACAATATGAATAGACAGAATACTAACAAACACCCAGCGCCAAAACAGTCTTCATCCACGCCACCATCGACACGGGCAAACCAGAAAACCAGACCCCCGTCGCCGAACTCGAAGACGGCGAGTTCATCGAGCCATTCTGGGTCCCGCTTGCCAGTCTACACTCCCAAATCAGAAGGCTAGCCGAGGAAGGTTTCGCCATTGACAGCAAAGTTGGGATCTACGCCGAAGGCCTAGAGATGGGACGCTCGCTCAACGGTGCCTAGACGCTCACTAGAAAGGACCAAAACTATACCCTACTGAATCCATTTCATTTTACTGCCATTCATAAACCCTCCTATCCGTCTCACCTAATCCAAAACCGGCTCCTCAATCTCATCCACCAACCCATCCCCCAACTCGACCCTCTCCTCAAAACTCCACCCCAACCCCCCCTCCTTGGCAGTCCACTCCCTCTCCTGGATCTTTACATTTCCCTCGTCCTCATCCGCAAAATCAAACACCCTGTAATCAGCATTCATGTACCACCTCCCCGTAACCCCCGCTCGCAAAAACCCCGAATGTGACACGACGATGATCGCCTTTTCTTTTCGTTGTTTCAAATCCCTGAGAACCTCTTGCCCTCTGGCCATGATGGCTTGTTTAGTGTTGAAATACTTTTTCCCAGACGGGGAGGTTTTGTCGGGATAGACTGGGTCGACGTGGTCAAAGTTTACCTGAGGGAATTCAGACTTTAGAGAGGGGATTGGGGTGCCTGTGTCGCAGGGTTGGGTTGAGTTTTCTGGGGGGAAGTTAGTCATATTGTTGGGTAATGAAAAGGGAGGGAGCGGGGAATACCTTGCCACCCGGCGTGAGCTTCAAAGGGGATGCCTAAATCGCCAAAGGCTAGGAGGGCTGTCTCGATGGTTCTGCGCATGGGGCTGACGATGATGAGGCCTACTTCGAGCTCGGGGTTGGGGCCGGTGATTTTGGGGACGAGGTTTTGTTTGAGGGAGTTGCATTGGGAGCGGCCTAGGACGGAGAGTTCTGGGTCGGGGATGGTATAGTCTTGTGTTGCTGGGAGGGGGTGTTAGTTGAATATGTTCTGATATAATACATCGTAGTATTAGGAAGATAGAAGGGGCACTTATTGTCAACATTGTGAAGGGCCTGGGCGTGCCGGACTAGGATGATAGTTGGTGGCATGGTGAGATTACAAATTTAGGTTGCCAAAGTCAAAGTTGGATGGAAACAAGACAAGTTCAAATATGACTTTGTAGAAGTATCGTTCCATGTCTGTGGCGTAAGGTGAGAGGTTGGGCTTCCTGGACCGTGAGTCAGGGGTGAGATGAACACTGTGCTGGCACTTGGCGGTCACCCACGTCAGCACAGTGCGCATCGTTAGAGCGCAAACTGTTTGCGCCAAGCTATCGGTGACGGGACGCGCGATTGACCTTTTCTTTTTGCCGGCACAACACGTTCCAGCACCATCATCAAGCCTTCAAGGTTCTCAGCAAGCAATTGACCGTCATCATGCCCAGCAAACGGAAGCTGGATCTTCCCCCGGCTGAAATCTACAAAGCAGCCAAACTCGCCCCCAATGGCTCCCGACATGCTCACGTAGAAGAAGACGACGATCTCAAAGCTGGTCCAGCTCCCCCACCAGAAGACGACGATGGCGACTACGGTCCATCAGCGCCACCAGAGGATGACGACGGCGACGACGAAGAAGGCCGATTCTTTGGCGGCGGGATAACAGAAACAGAAAAACAAGTCCTCGACTTTATGGATTCCAATCAACAATCCACCGTGTTCGACGCAGGCCCCGAAACGATCGACGGCTCCTGGCTCAAGAAAACTGCCCTCTCCTTCGAGAAGAAAATCTCGCGCAACGCCGAGCTCCGCGCCAAATTCGAAAATGACCCCAGCAAGTTCATCGACTCGGAAGCCGACCTGGATTCGGCAATCAAGTCCCTCTCCATCCTCTCCGACCACCCATCCCTATACCCCCTCTTCGCCCAGCTCGGCAGCGCCGCCAGCCTCGTTTCATTGCTAGCCCACGAAAACACCGACATCGCCATCGACGCAGTAGAGATCCTCTCCGAGCTCACAGACCAAGATGTCTCCGCCTCCGAACCCGACTGGTCTTCCCTCGTCAACGCTTGCCTCGAGGCCGATCTGTTAGGTCTCCTAACCTCCAACTTTTCCCGCCTAGACGAAACCAACGAGTCCGACCGCGAGGGGGTATACCACGCTCTCTCCCTCCTCGAAAACCTCTCCAGTTCCCCGGCCATATGCGACAAACTCGGCTCTGACAAGCCCCTGGTTCAATACCTCCTGAACCGCATCTCCACCCCCCAAGAGAAGGAAACCTCCCAAAACAAACAATACTCCGCCGAAATCCTGGCCATCCTCGTCTCCTCCTCCCTTCCCAACCGGACTTGTCTCGTATCCCTCAACGCGGTGGATATTCTCCTTCAACAGATCGCCCCCTACCGCAAACGCGACCCAGACAAGAGCTCATCATCTTACACCCCCGAATTCATCCGTAACTCATTCGAGTGTCTATCCAGTCTTGTCTCCTCTCCCGAAGGGAAAAAAGCCTTTATCGAAGCAGAAGGGGTGGAGCTCTGTCTCATTATGCTCAAGGACGGGGGCCCAAAGATAACCAAACCGTCCTCACTACGACTGCTCGACCACGCATGCGCGTTTTCCCCCGAGATGGCAACCAAGATTGTGACAGAGGGGGGGTTGAAGACTTTGTTTACGATGTTTATGAAGAATAAGACTTCTGTAGGGCAGACAACGGAGCATCTAATCGGGATATTTGCCTCGATGCTTCGTTTCCTACCAGCCGAGTCCCCTGAACGAATCAGGACGCTGGCAAAGTTTGTCGAGAAGGAGTATGAGAAATTGGAAAAGACGGTGCAGCTGAGGAGGGAGTACGCTGCCAGGTTGGGGGTGGTGGATGCTGCTATTCAAGAAGAAAATAACACGCTGGATAGGAAAGAGAGGGAGGAAATGGAGGATGAGTTCTTCTCCAGGAGGCTAGATGCGGGGTTGTTTTGCCTGCAGAGTATAGATGTTGTTCTTGCCTGGCTCATCGCGGAGGATGATGGTGCTAGGGACAAAATCAAAGAGCTGTTGGCCGACCGGGATGAGGATCTTGGGGTGTTGAGGAAAACGATACAAGAGCAGATTGAGGGGGTGGATGAGGGGGGCGAGGATGGGAGGGAGACGAAGGAGATGTTGAGTACGTTGGTCAGGTTTTTAGTGTGAAGTTGTAATAATGAATTAAGAAACCACACGGGACAGTGAAAAGAATGTAAAGCGATGGCAAAATGATTATGTGAATCTTAGGTGACTAAACGCCCGCAAAAATAATACACTGCTCCCTCCTTCTATCCTCTGTCAATCCCCCTCTCACTAACCCCCCCCCCCCCCCCCCTGTATCATGACCACCCCCTCAAGCAGCAATAGGCTCCGGCCTGGGGTTAAACACAGCCTCGAGCAGATCATTGATAACCTTGTCCTGGCTCTTCTTGCCCGCCTCCCTGATCTTGGCGATCTGAGCGTCGGCCTCCTTGTTGGCTTCTTCCTCGGCGGCCTTGTTGCCTTGGGTGTGCTGTACTTTCCATTAGCACCCAGTCCCCCTCTATTTTCTCTCCAGAAGACAAACCTCGGCCTCAAACTTCTTGTACTCCTCCTCCTTCTTGGCGCGGTAGGCTTCAATCTCCTTTTTGGCTTCGTCGCGGGCTTCACGGACGCGCTTGGTGCGGTCTGTTTTTTTGTGAGTAGTTGCTCGATCGGGGTGGTGGTATGGGAAGGGGACGGGAACGTACACTCGCGAGCTAGACAGGACGGACAGAGGGGTGTTAACTTTGTTTATGGGATAACAGTCGGGCGGTTGGGGGGGTGGGGGGGGAGAATACCCTTTTGCACAATCTTGCTGGCGTCTCTCTCAGCCTACCAATATGTCAACTACTCACGTCATGGAATACATGCTGGCAAAAGGGCAACAAACGTCGAGAAGGGTCTGGATCCCGGCGGAGTTTTGGGCCGACTGTAGACAGAGCAACCTGTTAGCAACGGTGATGGATGCGACGGGGGGCAATGGCAAGGCAGACCATCTTTAATGTATGGGTCTGTAGTTATCTCAAGGTTGGTTGGCTGGTTGGTTGGGAAGGAGGAAAAAGCGGCACTGGCTGGCGTGATTACAAGTCGTGTTGAGTTGATGTCAATGTCTAGATAGGTCGATGGATGGATTCAATGCTCTTGTTTCGATGTTGTCGCTGCTGCGCAACCAACAGCAGCTCCCACACCACAGCTCCCCCCGCAAGGCAGGGATCCAGGGTTCACCCTGCCGCTGACGCTGACGTACATTTTGCCTGCCGCCAGTACCCAACAAACAGGCGGTCAGAACCGGCAGAATTGATCGCCCTCTCATCATCCCATGTGTCAATCGCAATGCGACTGACAAATCGATTGGAAATAACTTCTCCCAAAACGAATCGTCACAAAAACAAACCAAAAAATGTCAAAAGCCTCCAAACTCACCCTCCTGGGAACCTCCCTCTTCGCGCTGGGCACAGTCGTCTTCGTGCACTACCAGCAAAAGGCCGAGCAACAAGTATGTTCATCCCAAACCTCCAACCTTGATGGCCAGGATAGGTGGTTGACCCGAGAACAGGCCATGCACCAAGGCGTAATCCGCGACATGGAACAACAACGCCTAAAACGCGAGCGACAAGCCGACTTCGACATGCAGCGCGCCCTCGAGGCCGAGTACAAAAAGGACCAAAGCGTCAGGGACACAACCGCCGAGATGGACCCAGCATTGTCAAATAGAGGGGGGTTGAACGTGCCGGTAGCCAGGTAGCATTGGTGGTGGTCAAGGGAAGAAAAAAAAACACTGAGAGATAGATACCCACGATGGCTTCATGTATAAAATATGTATCATTACACTTCTCACACATCATCTTACGTACCATATTGTTTGTGCTAATATCTACAAGCAAACAAACAAACGCAAAAGATGAAAAGATAATCTCCCCCGCTTCCAGTCTCGCTGCTGCCTCTCAACGCAGAAACGTTGCCGGCTCCTAAACCAAAGCCCACTTCAGAATAATGCCCATCCCTACCTGGCAGGCTACCTTTTAATGACAAAACCTCTTGCAAAAACGCCAAAACGTCCCCTTGCCCAAAACGGATGCATGTGAATTTTATTTGTTTTGTTGCTCCCCTCTTGACGGCTAGCTTGATTGCTGGGTATGGTTGCTTGCCGCCATTCTCAACGAGACACCTTTGCGGTGCCCAACCCCTCAGCGCGACTAGCGGACCGAGATACCCGACCTGCTGGTAAACATGCGCGAGGCAATGCCCATCGACATGAGCTCCTGGAAAAGCAGCTTGGCCGCGTACGGCATGTGTACCTGCGCAATCTTGGTCTTGTTCTTGCAAGGCCGGCATTCGAAGGATTGCTTGGTGAGGTTCCTGGAAAAATCATCGTTAGCATCTTGTTGATGAAGAATAAAAGGGGGGGGCCTACGCGATAGGCGTCATCAACCCGCAAATCTCGCAAATGTGCACGCGGTACGCATCAGACACCTCAAACAGACGCTCCTTCAAGAACGATGCGGCGCCGTGGGCAATCATACAATCACGTTCCATTTCTCCGAAACGGAGACCGCCGTCTCTGGCACGACCCTCAACTGGCTGACGGGTCATGATCTGGACCGGCCCACGAGCACGCGCGTGGATCTTGTCGTCCACCATGTGTCTGAGACGCTGGTAGTAGGTGGGACCAAAGAAGCACTGGGCCCGGAGCTTGCGTCCAGTGTGGCCGTGATACAGGATCTCGAAGCCACGAGACTGGTACCCCTGCTCGCGGAGCAGGTCAGAGACCGAGTCGACCGTCACGTCCGTAAAGGGGGTGGCGTCGCCTTCCAGGCCCTTAAGTGTGGCCACCTTGGAGAGCAGACACTCGACCAAATGGGCAATGGTCATACGGGACGGAATGGCGTGGGGGTTGATGATGATGTCTGGCGTGATGCCTTCGGCCGTAAAGGGCATGTCCTCCATCCGATAGGTGAGTCCAATGGTACCTTTTTGCCCGTGGCGAGACGCAAACTTGTCGCCAATCTGAGGAATCTTGGTTGTCCGCACCCTGACCTTGACGTAGCGCATGCCGTCTTGGTTGGTCGTGAGCACGACCGAGTCCACAATACCACTCTCGGTGCTGCGAAGAGGCGTCGACGCATCACGCTTGACATGCTGCTGCTGCCGTTGCCCGAGTTCGGCATTGTCAGGGTTGATGGGCGACGTCTTTCCGATGATGATGTCTTCGCCCGACACACGGATGCCAGGAGCAATGATTCCGTCAGCATCCAGTTTGTCGTACGTCCCGTGTTTCAACCTCAACGTGTCACCGCGGGTTGGCTTCTCAAACATCTCCACAATGTTGATACCCACCCGCTTCTCGCAGTCCGTGTAGGAACGGAAGAACAGACTGCGGAAGATGCCGCGATCAATGCTGCTCTGGTTCATGACGACGGAATCTTCCTGGTTGTAGCCAGAATAACAGAGGATGGCCACAATGGCGTTCTGACCGGCAGGTAACTCTCGGAACTTGAGGAACTCCATGGACCGCGTGGTAGCCAACGGCTTTTGTGGGTAGTACAGAATATTGGCCATGGTGTCCATGCGGCGGGAATAGTTGGTAAGGAAGAAGCCCATGGCCTGCTTACCCATGGCAGACTGGTATGTGTTACGGGGCGACTGGTTGTGGTCGGGGAACGGAATGATACTGGCGCAGATACCGAGAAGCATGGCGGGGTGGATTTCGCAATGCGTGTACATGTGTGTCGTCTTGTTGACCTTGGTGCGGATCCTGTTGTTGCCTTGGCCAGAGGTGGTTTCGATATGGAATCCTAACTTGGTCATGCGGAAATCATCCAGATCCTGAGGGGTCATGCAGATCATGGTGGTTTCTTCCTCCTCGGCGTCCAGGTATTCAATGGCCCCCGACTTAAGGAGACCTTGCCAACCCCAGTAGTCCGGGTGATACTTGCCAAGTTCCTTGTCCCTTTGGAGCCTGGCAATGTGGTCCTTATTGAGAATAAGTTGCCCCTTTTCTACGCCGTGGTTGCCCTTCTCCTCTTGCTCAACAGTGAAGAGCGGTCTCATGACACGGCCGGCATCAGAGAAGATCTTGAACTCGCGCTCGCGAATATCCCGAACAAGGGACACTTCGAAACTGATGACGTTCTTCCGCCTCAGATCTTGTACCAACGTGACGAGTTGCTTGGGGTCGTTGTGCACACCCACCCATGTGCCGTTCACAAACACCTTGGTCGCGTTGGGCGCGCGAAGCGGCTCGTACTCCTCCAAGACATCCATGCCGCGGGCCGTCATGAAGTCGACGATTGGGTCAGCCGGAGTACCCACACTCACGTAGCACATCAGAGACAAGTTCTTGACCAGACCGCAAGCCTGTCCCTCGGGCGTCTCGGCTGGGCAGACCAAACCCCAATGGGTGTTGTGAAGCTGTCTGGGTTTGGCAAGCTTGCCGTCACGCCCGATGGGCGTATTGGTACGTCTCAAATGGGACAGCGTGGAGGCAAAGGTATAACGGTTCAACACCTGTGACACACCAGCCGTGGAGCTCATGGCCTTCTTCTGATCACCCCAGTTCCCGGTGGCCAACGAGTACTTGAGAGCGTTTGTCAATGTGTTGGCCTTGATGCCGAGGGCCAGAGTGAAATGCTTGTTGGTGTCGAGGCAGCGCTTCATGTACCCCATGAGATCCTGTGTCATGCGACGAACAACGCCACGGAAGAGCTTGGCCAAAAGCGGACCAGCCAGATCCAACCTCTTCTTGCCAAAGTGATCACGGTCGTCAGTATCCCTGCGACCGAGCGCGCATTGGAGAAGCTTGTTGACCATGTAGCCCAAGAAGAAGGCTTTCCTCGTTTCACAACCTTCTGTCTGTGAGATGTGGGGCAACATCTCCTTCTGAAGAAGATCCTTCGCGGCCCTGATGCGGTTCATGCGGTTCTGACCCATATTCCCGTTGCCACGCTTGCCGATAAAGTCCAGAGCGATTTCTCGGTCCTGGATGCAGAAAGCCTCCTCGATGCAAGGCCGCAAAGCCTCGAGCATCTGTGTGTCCTTGCGATCGTAGCAAATGTGGTTCAGGATATCCTCGTCGGACACAATGCCAAGAGCACGGAAGACGATGGCGAGGGAGACATCCTCACGGACGTAAGGCAGAGTAACGCTCACGGTATTGGCCAATCTGCCCTTCTCATTGGATGCCTTGGTGTGCAACTTCATTTGCAGCGACGAAATCAGACGAGAGCCCTTTTCAAGAGCACTCCTGATCTCAGCCTGGTACGAGACACTGCCTCCTGGTGGCTTCTTGAAGACTTGGACAATGTTGGCGGCCGATCGCTCCTGGGCGATCAAGACCTTCTCGGAACCGTTGATGATAAAGTAACCACCCTGGTCGTAAGGGCACTCGTTGAGCACAAAGAGCGACTCGTCGTCCTCGCCGTACAAGTGGCAGATTTGCGACTTGACCATGACGGGAAGCTTGCCGAGGAAAATGAGGTCGCCCCTATCGTTTTCCCCCTTGGAGCCCTCTCCAGGCATGTCGCTCTCTTCCTCCTCCCATCGAATCGTCATCGGGTGCTCGCCCGTCTCCCGCATAAGCTCGTGCTGCTCGTCGTCCAGCTCGTTTAGTGGAACGGGCTCGTTGATGGCAACACGGGCGCGCTTGGAAACCTTGCAGTACATGGGCGCAGAGTATGTGAGGTTACGGTCGCGGCACTCGTAGGGCAAGAGGCTGGTTGTCTCGCCTGAAATTTCGGTGAGGGTGGGCTTCGAGATCATGACGTTGCCGAAATGAATGTCGTATCTCCGCAAAGCGATATCTCTGCCCTGGTCGTCACCGGGATTGGGATGGTCGAGTGTGAGATCGGCATATTCGTCGACGAGAGACTGGATGGTGCTGCTGGTGAATTCATCAAAAGAATCAATCTGTTGCGACACCAGACCCTTCATATCAAAGTAGGCCGAGATGACATCCCAGCAGTCCTCCGGTGTGATGGCGGCCTCGTCCTGATCGACGCCCAACTCGTCGCCATTTTCGTAGTTGTTGTCATCGTCGAACTCGTCGCCGTAGCCGCCATACGACTGACTCTGGGTCGCGTAATCAGCCATGGTTTGATGATTGTGGTCGGGTTGGAATTGGTGGGAGAGATGCCCAGCAGCCAGCTACCGAGTGGTGGGCAAAAAAGAGAAGATGAGCGACGGATTAGAAATCGCCACAAAGAGGCGGCGCGCGCATCAACTTGGGAGGAGCGCAAGGCCCTCAACGCATCAAAAAGAAGATATTCGCAAGTCGGTAGTTATTCTCCTGGATGCGGAAAGGAGTGGGTGTGTGTGTGATGGCGAAAAGAATGGAAAAGTCGCGATTCGTGAGTCGCTGGGCTTTGAAGGCGGCGACTGGTGATGGTTTGTTGCTGGACGTCGTCGCCTTCCCCAGTGGAATTTCTGCTGGCTGGAGAGGCTGAAGGTGCGGCAGGCACACCGCTAATCCTGGTTGGGTCAAAGCGCAGGGACCACCTCGACAGCTCTTTGTGCCGCACGTGATCACGCATCAAATTCACTTCATTCTTGGCCCCACCAAAAATCGCGAATTTTTCACGCGTCTTATCTTAACTTGTCGCCTTGGCCCCTGCTCCCTCAAATGCAGTCAGATGCCGAGAAACCCATCATTGACGTGTCGGTCCACGAACACAATCTACCATGTTGCCATATCGAGGCACAAAGCCTCAATGTGTGTCCAGTCAATATCGCACTGCATGAGAATAAAACATCATCCAGTCTCTTCCTCGAATTTCTATCTGTCACCGAGTGAGAGCTTCCCTCCTCGGTCAATCAACCGATTCGTTTTCAATCTTTTTTTCCAGTGAGCAACCAGAGCCACTTTCTTATTTCTGAGGCTCTTTTACATTAACCTCGGTGCATCTGTCATTACATGGGCTCCACTCACCTTGGGGGTCGGTGTTGATTAGAACTACTGTCTGTGTCATTGTTGCACGTTTGACTTCTCATGATTTGGTGTCTCTCGGGTCAAGCATGTTGGGCCATCATCCTTTGTCAGTTCATTTCCCTCAAAACCATCACATTTATCAATCCTGTCACTCTGATCTCTACCGGGCAAACCCTCCTCATTCCGTTACAGAGAGCCAGTCAACTGAGTCGAGTATCACCGTCGAAACAAACAACTCTGTGGTGCTCGGTGGTACTCGGTGGTAAATTGCCGCCTCTATTTGACCGAGGACGGAACCAACCGGCCATCCAGCTCAATGAGACTATTCGTGCACTTTTACAACTTTGCCAGCGGCTTCCCGTGGACAAAGCAGATTATCTCTGGACATACCTTATGCAGTGTCTTAACAACAATATTATACCCTCCAACAGCTTGGCACACCAATTTTCGCCCGTAATCCAAATACCTTCCATATGCAATCAAGCATTACATCATGGCTAAAACCAAGCAGCATATTTCTTGTCGTCGAAAAACAAGTCGTTACGCGGCCTACGTCCCGTGGGGGAAATCGTTCCCGGCATTCCGACTGCGTGGAGCAGCGACCCGCAGCGTTACATTACCCATCGTCCGCTATCCCCTTCCGGGCTTGCTCACGGCCCAGGTTCCGGGAATGCGGAGCGCCACCGTTTCAGTCAAACTGGGAGGCGGCTCGGCACTGACTTGGCCCTGAAACCTCGACCCGAGATTTTCGGTGGGGTGGCTACCCCATGGAGCCCTGCTCCGTGATGTTTACTCGGTGACACAGGCTCGCCTGTTCCCGTCGATCGGATGGCTCGTCCAATCTGCCGTTGAGAGACCTTGCTCGTGGCGTGGGTTACGCTTGGTCCTGAGTTCTATGAGCTAAGACCGGGGGGGAAAGGAGGTGAGCAAGTATATCAAGATGGTCTTGCCCGGTGTTTTGGCCGTTTCCCTTTCGTCATCACCACCACCATTCTCCTGCTATCCTCTTTTGACCAGTAGTCAAGATGCGTTCCTCAACTGTTCTTCAGACTTCTCTCCTTGCTGTCCTGCCTCTTGCCGTTCAGGCTCAGGGCGCCTCTGGGTCTGGCAAGTCTACCAGATACTGGGACTGCTGCAAGCCATCATGTGCCTGGCCAGGTAAGGCGGCGGTCAACAGACCCGTCTTTGCCTGTGACGCCAACTTTCAGCGCATTTCCGACTCTGGTGTTGCCTCTGGCTGCAATGGTGGCTCTGCCTACTCGTGCGCTGACCACAGTGCCTGGGCCATCAACGACAACCTCTCCTATGGCTTCGCTGCCACTGCTCTGAGCGGGGGATCCGAAGCTTCTTGGTGCTGTGCCTGTTACGAGTAAGCCTCTCCCCCTCTCCCCCGTATAACCCCTCACCACTAACATCTCCCAGACTCACCTTCACCGACGGCCCCGTCGCCGGCAAGAAAATGGTCGTCCAGTCCACCTCCACCGGCGGCGACCTCGGAAGCAACCACTTCGACCTCAACATCCCCGGCGGCGGCGTCGGCCTTTTCGACGGCTGCAAGCCCCAATTCGGCGGCCTCCCCGGCGCCACCTACGGCGGTATCTCCGACCGCAGCCAGTGCGCCTCGTTCCCCGACGCCCTCAAGCCCGGGTGCAACTGGAGGTTTGACTGGTTCAAGAACGCGGATAACCCGTCGTTTACCTTCAGACAAGTCCAGTGCCCGTCTGAGTTGACGGCGAGGAGTGGGTGCAAGCGGGATGACGATTCCCGGTTCCCGGTATTTTCTCCCCCGGGAGGCGGCAGCCAGCCCCAGCCTCAGCCGACTAGCAGTGCGGCGCAGAACCCGAACCCGACTCCTAGCGCGGCGCCAGGTGGGTGCAGGGCTGCGAAGTATGCGCAGTGTGGTGGGCAGGGGTTTACGGGGTGCACTACTTGTGAGGCGGGGAGCACTTGCACTGCTAGCAATCAGTGGTATTCCCAGTGCCTATAAGTGGTAGAGGCCTGGGGCCGAGCTTCGTTACTTGGTTGGATGAGGTGGGCAGAGACTTGATGAACCATTCTTGTCTTTGGGGAAGGGTTTGGGGTTGAAAAATTCTCTTCTTGGTATATATGATATATTACTCTAGCAATTTCGGTTTACGCTGCGTCGGTTTCGGGTTTCTTTTTTATTTTTTTTTATTCTTTTCTCTAAACAAAACAGTTCATCATTACCTTAGCCATTATCCATACCTGTACATTGGAAGGCTTATTCTATACAATGTAAACTATCACACAGTGGACGCCGTGCAGTGTTCACAAAGCAGTGCGTGTTTATAGTGTAAATAATGTAAATGAAGAATAAGAAGAAAACCCACAGGAAAGAGTGTTCGTTTTAAGTGTTACACGTTGCTGTTAGCTCTTTATCTTCCATCCAAGCGCCCTCGGGAAATGACTACCGTCTCCGTATTCCCGCTGGCCCCGAATGTCTCCATCGGAAATCTTGATGTCTCTCCTGTTGGCACACACATCAGCCTTTCTTCATTTGTTGGGGCCGACTTCCCGTTACACCAGTCCCTGAGTAGCTCATCCTCTTGTTTACCCATTCTTTTCTCTGCCAAGCGGATCATGTATATCATCCAGCTCCCAAAATTTCCTAGCGGCTCCTTGTGAATGTCTCCTGCACGAAAATCCAGTAGAACAAGGTCATCATCCTCCAAACCCATAATGTTTGTACCTTGCAGCTCCTGATGATTCCCCCATCTCAGTCTTTCGGTGGAAAAAAAAAAAAGAGTGAACACTCTCACGGCGGGTAAAAATGCTATTGCTATCAGCACTGCCGATTGTCTCGTTTGAAACCCCAATTCTGAACTTCTTAGCTTGTATGATGTCTTTGTCGCGCACCCACATTGACCTCAAAACGCGCACCGGAATTCTGAATTTGAACTCGTTTAACAATGATGGGTTGACCGCAACAAACGGTGAGGTAATTGGACTTCCAGGATTGCTTACTGAGCTGGCTACAAGCCAGCGCCTGTACGCTGCATGTAGGCTCCTTGACGTAAATGGCCTATCGAGAAAGTATTCGTCCAGTGTTCTTATCGGCTCAAGTGTAAATAATCCACAGCTCAAGGCATCTTGATACACCGATACTATGTCCTTGTTATTTTGGCCCCAAGGAAAAATCCATTTACATATTGGTTCAAGGTCACGCCTGGGTTTCTTGGTATAGATGCCGAGAGTCCATGAGAGTTGCTCAACGTGATTTGCCACTGAACCTTGCCCATTGTGGATTGTTCCATAATGTGCGGCACAAATCCCAAGTCCTTGGGACGCGATGGCCGTTATCTGTCGTGTGGACGCTCTGGAAGGTGTGAGCATCCTTGGAAGCAAACAGAACTCCGTGACAGCAGCCTGCTAATGTGTGGGTGGTAGAATGAACATCAGCGAGATCCTCCTCAACACAAGAACTTGTGGCCATTTACTGGTCTCGCTAAAGAGGGGGGGATATGGCATGTCCTGGCCTGGAAGCACCAGATCATCTAGTCAATGTTGATTGGATAAGAAGAGACTACCTGTTCGGGTGCTGTACTCGAAAACAAAATACCTCAGACTCTAGTGGGTTTGTGTTCTGCTCAAGATTTTGACCAGTTTTGGGCGTGTTTGCAAGGTAAACAAGCGCATCACGGCTTCATGGAGACCTCCGGTACGTCTGTCAATGGCAAAGTCGGTATACGACCGCAAGCAGACATCCTGCTTAATTCTCGAAACTCGCTTTTTGTCCTCAAGGTAATCCCGGTAAGTAAGTAGCTCATTAGATGGGAGCAATACCGTGGCGATCCGAGAAAAGTTCAAGTACCCATACTGTTTCATTCTGTCCGGCTGCAACTGCGGTATCATCTGTGCCAATGTGCTTGATCGGTTCTGATCCATATGATATTCATGGAAATGCTTGGGCTCCAATGCAATGCTCCACTGGTCCCACGCTTTCCAATCCGGAACCCAAGATGGAAGCGAAGAATGTGGGAGGAGAGGCACAAATTCAAGGAGGCTGTAGCGCTTTGCGTTAACCATCAACTCGGCGAAGAGTCCCACGTAAACGTGATGGCATGATAGTGAGTAATCCGCCTGCAAGTGGAAATCCTGAAGGATACCAGTAATGCCAAAGACGCGATCGCGGGGATCCGCACATTGAGAATGGCGAGTAAGTTATAGCAGCCCATCTAGACCCAGGTTCGCTGTCGAAATACCTCCACTCGCCACATGTTTCATCCAGGGGGCTCCTGTGTACTCGAATGAAACCACCCAGTTAGCACCCTCAGTTTTGCCACGGCGAGTAAATTGCAGCAGCTCATCTAGAGCCACATGTTTCATCCAGGGGCCTTCTGTTTGCTTGAATGAATCCACCCAGTTAGCATGATCTTGTCCCGATGCCCGGGCATCCCAAAAGTCAATATTTCCACCCTCATCAGCACACAAGATGCAAGAGGAATTTCCTGAACAACCCAGAGTCGAGTGAAAAATCGTCTGCAAAGTATGCATACGGTCTCGTGGCCGAAAACAGGAAGACCATTCAAATCTCGTTTCAACCGAAGCTCGTCGATTGGTTCCAAGGTTCTTCGCTTAGCATGTTGACCGGGAGGGAGGAGCCATGCAATATCTGGACCGAGATACACCACGACTTGGATACATTGGCGGTAGATTGCCCCCATTCTGTCAACTTGTGAACCTCGTTCAACGGCATCTTCCTGGTTGATACAGATGGCGTCAATCCACATCAGTCGAATCCCTCACCCGGGACGAAGAAACCGCAGCATTTCCCAACAATTGCGAGTCTGAAAGCTGACATCCCCATATGGCCCCACGAACACGGGATACTTCTTGGTGTTGTCGTCCTCTTCCCCGCCCCAGGTGTAGGATGCCGTTTCGTATTCAGGACAGTTGTCCATTGAGTGTATTTCAAGATCAAGATGGACTGGCTGGTCATGACTTGGACTGCTGGTGATACAGGCCAGGCGAAACTCCCCATAACAGAGCTTGCCAGGATAGATCGAAGAGTTCGTCGAAGTGTCGGGGTCATTGCCGTCATTGTTGATCTCGTCTTCGCGCGTATATCTGCCTTTAGAACTTTCTCCAATCCAAGGGACAGAAGGAGGCCATCACAGGTCCATTTTCCCTTTTGGTTCATCGGGTGGAGGGGCCGGAAACGGGTTGCGATTTTTTTGCTCGCCCAGTAGCCTTTCCAGGTCTGGGGCACAATCGCAAGAGCGACATGATGGAAGCAAGGTGACGCCATCCAGACTGATATCTGGCGTTAGGCACTCGGGTTCATGCCAGCGCGTCATTTTGTCGAGCTAGACAATTCTTTGAGAATGGTTCCGGCCCTTGTGCAGTTCAAGGTTCTGCCCGAGCCCGACATTGATGGATGTTCAGAAAAAAACGCCCAACATCACAAGCTTTATCTCACTGATGCCCTCACAGTCGCAAAATGCGCCTCTGGCTCGGTGCATCACGTGTCTGAAATGTCAAGACTTTTACCGTGCACTGGGTAGTCTCCTTATAGAATATTTCAAACAACTTCAGATTGCTGATGAAAGCTAGAGTACCTAACCGTGCAGCCTAATCATAGAAAATAACAACAATGTGGACAAATTATTAGTACCTCTACCCCCCGAGCATTACCTGAGCAACAGTGGTAAACTCAGACCCCCTTAAACACAAATACGTCCTGCTCCTCAACCTTACTGCAGAGTTCCACAACCAACGGCTTTTCTCTCACAGACAAGAGCACGTTAACAGGTCCCGCCTTTTTGTCCTGGATCGGCTTTTCTCTCGCAGACAAGAGCACCTTCACAGGTTCCACCTTGTCATCTTTTGCCTTTTCCACACCAACAGACCTGCCCCCTAATCTCTTCGCAACATCCTCATACGCCCCAGGAGGAGGGAGCCTGACCCTGATTGCCTTTTTCGGATACACCCTTACAGGAACAGGTATAGCAATACATCTCACAGGCAACAACCCGCCTGATGCCCGCAGACAGATATCAACCCACAATCCCAACCCATCTCGAAAGAAACCCTTCAAACTCTCCCGATCATCCTGCCCAAGACGATCAAGAACGGGGTTCCAGGCCTGGGTCACCACCGCGGCAGGGTATCCCTCCGAACCCTGACGGGTGCCCCAAACCGGCGGCACTTGCCGCCCTCCGGCCTCCAGCTGTGGGGTGTAAAGCACGCCTGGGTTTTTGTCGAACCACGATCGGATGGACTCCAGGTTGGAGGTTCGCTGCTTCCAGATTAGGAGGTAAATTTTCACAACCCAGTCCGTGAGCGCCCCTTTAACAACCAAGTAGGAGTGTTCCCGGATGATGAAGGCTTTCAGGATAGCTACGAGGCATGTCAGGCTGGGGTTGCCCGGGTGGTCTATTCCAAAATGAGCGGCGAAGAGTTTCCACCGTGAGGATGGGTGTTCGTCGGATGTGAGTAGCGGTTTTCGAACTCGGAGCAGAGGCAGCGATTTGCAAGTTTTGCTATCGAAAAGGCTCGAGCACGCGCAGGCGGCCAAGACCGAAGGAAGTGGAAGGACTGTTTTACTGAGCGGAAGGCTTATCCCATCTTGGCAGGTGATCTTCATCTCCTTGACCAACTGTGTTGCTTTGGTATTTTTCCTCCATTTGGCCGTGTCTGTGTGGTAGGCTTCATAAAGACGATCGAGTGCCCATTCTGGTTTGTGCTTGGCTATAAATAGGAACTCTGCACTTAGGACAGGTTCCTTGTGTTGGCGATCGAAGATTCGTAGTTTGTAGCTGACACCCACTACTTGAAGGAGAAAATCCTTCCAGGTGGCTGTGGTGGCAGGATTGCTGATTAACGGGGGCGGGCTTTTGGTGTATATATCGTGGATGAACGAGGTGGTTGCCGCGATAGCTTTGTATCCAGCTTTACCACTAAGACTTGATAGCCCGCCTTCCTCAGACCAACCAGACGATGCCGAAAAATAAAGAGCGTCCCGTTTTGGCACTTTGGGGTTTCCACGCTGGTCAAACATCACAAGATAGAAATCCTCTGATGATGAGATATGTCCCTTTTGATAACCCCAAAACAGGAAACGAAGGTGGTTGTTGGAAGCGTTGATATCCGAGTCGGTGGAATCTCCTATCTTCCAGGCATTATGTTTGAGTAGGATAATCTTCTGAACAAATGCCCATTCTGCGGTCACAGCACCTAGCAATGCATAGAGCGCACGATTATCGGGGTCGCAAGACAAGTCTGTATCTAGGACCGCAAGTGGGAGGTCTTCGGGAACAACAGGGCCGTCAGTGTCGGGCATATAAATGCTGCCTCCTTGCCTCTTCCATGAAGCAACAGCTCTGTTCAACCCACCAGGAACAAGAGAGAGTAAGCCAAGGGTCTTGAGATCGATGCTGTGTCCGTCTCCAAAGGCACCCGACGCCCAAGCTCTGACGCGAGACCGCCGGTCTTCATCTTGGTTGCCGAGAAACTTCAGCCAATCCCGCCTTTTCATCAACGATCGCACCCGAGCGATCATATCATCTGCACTAACTATGTGAAGTCCATAATCCAACAAGATCTCCTGGTCTTGACTTTGGTACTGTGACGAAAGCTGGCCAGATGTATCATCAGAGTCTGGAAATAAGGGGTTTCCGTGGGAATCCAGCTGGTCTTCGGAGTACGTGCACAGCTGAGAAATAGATCGATAGCGCCCTGCTTGGTCGACCAACAAAGGGTCCGATGATAGATATGTTCGAATAAGCGAAGCCAACTTCTCTGGCCACAGCCGATGAGGTATATAGCGCATCCAAGTAAACTTGAGCGATGGCAGTGTGGATATTGCGTGTAGGCAAAGCAGAATGCTGTGTGCCACCAACTCGAGTTGTGTACTGTCGAGTGTTTCCCGATTATCGAAATGGAGTAAAAACTGTATGACAGAGACAGATCGTCAGCCGACTGTTCAAACTTCTTCCAGACCGATAATCCGTACATTATACTTCCTTGGCCTTTTAGCCATGAAGCAAAACACATCTTGATCCTCGATCAGAGGGTTGCCGAGCTGATCAACAGGGAAAGCGGCCATGACGCGCTCTTTGCCTGCCTCTTTTTCTTCCCCCCCAACAACATGAAAGCGACTAGGGCGCGTCAAGCTCGAGACATCTGATACGTAATTGACGGTCTCAAGGATGACCAGATCAACACGCGAGATTATCTTTGCATCTCGTCTCCACTGTTGTTTTCCAGAATCATCCCAGATGATCACGTCGTAGGACCGAATATTTCGCAGAAAGAGCAACCCTTTTGGATCCAAGGCCCGAAGCACTTCATTTAGGCAGTCCCGTTCGGCCCCTGCTATGCTCTGGACCCTGGAAAATGGCTGGACAATGGATTGGGTGTCATCGGCATTCGACTCGACATGAAGCCTATCCTTGTGCAAATGGAGGGATACATGCGGTTCCTTGTCTGCTTTCAGCGCGATGGAGTAGGATTTCTCGTCAAACTGGCGAAACAATGTGGCTATTCCGTCCCCGTCAAACACAACTTGTGCCATCTTGCTGATTTGAGATACGAGATTTCTTTATCGATTAACCAAGAGACTGGAACAATGGTGAGAATTTGTTGAGTCGATAGAGTCGGTGTTGATTCTAGAGTGGAAGCATGCGAGACAAGGAGTTGTCAACCTGTCATAAACGGCTGTGTCTGTTGCTCAAGCCGGCGCGTGGCAGGGCTGCGGCTATTGGCTTGAATATCCATGCTGGCAATCGCCAAGTAGAAGCCTGTCTTTTTTTGGCGTTCAGCTCATGGACTTAATGCACTTCGCTTGATGGCCACGTTAAAGCTTCTCTTGGCAGACATCTTCGATAATCACCCTGTAAGCGCCCAAACCCTTACCAAACATTTCATGAGACGCTTCGTGGAACCAAACTGTACAGTTTCCCAAACGAAGCTCATTGAGGTCAAGGATTGTCTAGGATTTCGAGAGAAAGTATATACGTCAATGACCGCCGGGACATATCTATTATCTCTTTCCATCAGTCTCAGCTTCGATTCCCACTCGCTCTTGGCTCTAGATGTTGTTTAATCCTACTTCTCCGTAACTACCTCACCAGTCGCAAGCAAACGCTAACCCTCTGGAAGCGGGAGCTGCGCTGTTGCGGAAAGCTGCCACCTGATAAACGGCTCCCCTCTCTTGATCATCTCCGACCGCATTTGCGATGCCCTCCGCGTCACGCTCCCCACAAAGTCGACCAGTGGGAACCCCGGTTGGCCCGGCCAGTCGATAAACTCAGGAGCCTGCATACAGAACGTAGTTTCCTTCTCGGTCTTTTTCCGAGAACTGACCCCCTCCATAAGAACACGTCGATATTCGGACACAGGTAACCCCTCCTCAAGCTGCACATCGGGATGTTGCTCCCACTCTTCTTCTTGATCCAGTACTTGGGCGACATCTAGATCTTTCAGCTCGTTTTCCTCGCGGTAGGAAATGTCACTCGTGATAATTTCATACACGGCGAAAACGGCGAGCTTGACGTCGTTGCGGTCTTCGTCGTGGCCAAAGGTGTTGAGGTGGTCATTGTCGCCTTCCCAGGTAAGCTTGGCGCCCATGTTGAAGTCAAAGATTTGGAGGTCGTCTGTTTCTGGATCGATGAGGAGGTTCCACGTGGTGATGTCGCGGTGGACGATACCGAGTTTAAGATTGAGGTGGTCGATGGTCTGAAAATGTCAGTGACAGCAATGGAGAATGAGGTTGGCGGATATACTGTCATGAGTTGCTTCAGATGCTTCAGCTTAAAGACCCGATTGAAGTTGTCCAGAACGGTGTCCCCGGGAACAGAAGGAGTGGTAAATCCCGCGACCTTTTCGGGCCCATCAGGTGTTGCTGATTCCACGGCTATGCGGCCGATGGGTACGATATTCGGGTGCGCGGAATTCTCAGAGTGCAGTTCATTTCGTGCCAGAACATGGGAATGTTGCCTTCGTTAATTTAGTACTTGAAGACCACATGTTTCGTGTCGCCCGTTGAGGATTCGTACGTGACGTGGTCGGTCTGAACTCCAAGTGGTTCAATTTTAGTGAGTCCTGAGCTCCGGACCGTTGGAAGGTGTGGTGGGAGGTCGTTTGGTGAAGTGTAGAAGGGGATGATGGTGCTGTCATCGTCAGCCGCCGTCGAGGAAGACAGCAGTTCGAAGTCGTCCGAGACCTTGATTTTGACAACATTTGGTGGTAGGTCATCGGTGAGCTCTACCAGGGCCTCAAAGATGAATTCTCCATCCTTCTTCCCAGAAGTGCAAACGGTAATGGTGCGTCGTTGGTCCCAGTCAATGACATTGTGATAGTGACCACTGACGGGATTCCAACTGTCAAGACTTGACTTGAATCGTGACTGGAGGAGATACTAGTCAAAGCAACCCATTGTAACATAAAGAGCAAATAGAAGTATCACTCGTGAATGATGCGCTAGGTACCTTACCTACCTAGGGAGGAATTCAGTCTGCATTTCACCACACAACCGACCTTGGGTGCCTAGGTAGAGTGAGCCATTCACATTCTGCAGGACACTTGCTTTACCCTTGTAATGATACAGTGCAAATTCCGTGACCGAAACTGAGAGCGGGTGGTTTAGTTGACAGCTGATATCACATCAGGGATGATATGCCCAAACGAGGAGACAAGTTATCGATAATAGCTATCGACCAACCAATGTTACCCGGCACTTCTGGATAATGATCTCCATTCAGGGGCGATTGCAGCACTGTCAGCACGGCCAACTTCCGTTCCTTCCGCCCATTCCGATAGTATGAAGATGGTTGGAAACGTCCAAACGCTGATGGATCCGCACAAGATCGTAAAAAGCAAGGCACGGCGACAATCCCCTAATGAGATCCAGCAAGTATTGGATGGATGCCGTGTGGAGCCGGAGTTATGGTGCTGGTACGGATTTATGATCGACGATCCTAGCTAGCGAGGCAGTCAGGCTAACGGTTATTAGGTAGGCATGAGAGGCACAGTCCTGTGAGGTTCGTGTGTAACAGCTGTTGGCGGTGGCCACTGGCCAGGGAGCTGGGTAATTCTCTAACGAGAAACGGGACCATGTTGCGAGTGTGGACTCGCTAATGAATACTCTAAACTGGCCTATCCAGCGAAACAGGATCATGTTAAAGATTGGGAAAGAAGAAACATGAATGGTGATGTAAGCTAAGCACAAGTGTAATAAGTCTTCTAGCACATTCTCACCACAAGACAAGAACAACGATGGATTGACTGTATTTATGAAACAATCAGTCAATGCCTGCGTAGGTAGGTAGGCATATTAAAATCGAGTTCTGTACATTTTCAAGCCCCATCCTTCGTGTCTGGTTGGGGATATTTTCGCCGGGCGAATGTCTCCACCTCACCTCTATGGGTGGTTCCCAGGGGCTCTGAAGACTTTGGTAGAAGGAATAGACTAGTTGTTGATCATCGCTACCTTTGGTAGTCAGAAGGGCAGTTGGACTTGCACAAGGACAGCCCTACCGAGGTCCCAGATGAGCAGCCTCTTACAATACCCACCTATAGTAGGAACTTCTTCTACGCCGAAACGTGGAAAGGCTTTTGATCCTCGTTGATAAACACAAACATTGCTCTATCTGTAACCCATGGTCAATTGCCAGCAGTTTCGTAAGCTCTCTGTCTGAAGTTTCATTGGATAAACAGAGATTTTTTGCTCCTGAAGAACTTCCAACAAGCGGCGAAGGTAAGGCCTCCTTCTCCTCTTTGCATCGATCACCAGAGCATTCACCACATGAAGGAAAACTATGGAAGATCATGCGAGAGACCGTGAAGATCCATCACCAGAGGGGGGTTTGAAGAGATCAAAGTCAGAATCCTTCATCCTCTGAGGGATGCAGAGATCGGCAACGACAGCTTTGCTCCGTGACATGGTCGAGCAATCATAGATCGAAACTGTCCATAAAGAGAGGATGGAAGCCTCTCTCATCAGGTTTCTTCTCATTATCCTCAGACCCTCACAGTCGTCAGCAACACCAACCAGTCAAAACCAACTTTCAATACTTCAGTCGCCAGACAAACTATCAAGTCAGCCAACCTTACACCTCCAATACCTTTTGACACTGCTAACCTCCAGCTCAGCCGTCAAAATGATGTTCAACCCCACCACCATCTTCACCGCCATCCTCGGCGCCACATTCCTCGTCGCTCCGGCCATCGCCGCGCCGGCGGAGGAGGTCGCTGCCCCTCTCGCAAAGAGAGTCTGGCTCAGCAACATCGACGTCCAGGCTGCCTGCAAGGAGCAGTACACCAACGAGTACGTCGCCATTGACAACGGCAACGGGTGCGGTGCCTGGCAGTGCGTGATCAACAACAACCGATACAGCGTCAACATGGACAGCTACTGCGTCCGCCACCATGGTGGTGAGGCCTATGCCAGCTGCGGCGGTGGCACCAAGTGGGACTGGCAGTGCCATGACCGCTCTTGAGTGGTCGAGATCAGGGGTTTGAGGGGATGGGTAGAGATGACTGAGGAGGTGGGGGGAGGGGGGGGGGTTCTGGTTCATTTCTCAAGTCTTTCACTTGTGTAGGAAGTTGGCCACTTCTTAGTTTTTTTTTGGAGGATCTTCTAGCTCGCTCTTTACGTACACGAATCAATTGTTTGTCAACACTAACTTGTGCTGTCTCTTGACTGATACTGTAGTGTGAGAACACTCTCAGGATGAGGAATTGTGGATAGCACTTCCTTAATACCGATGTTCAACCCAACACAGGGGCATCACCATCAATTTTCGACGCGTCTCGTCAGCGGCCTTCTTTTGGCGTGAGACTTGTCCTTTTTTCATACTCACCGCTTCGCACGGCGATTTAACTCTCCAAACTTCCTTATTGACCCGAAACTTCATCGAACACCTGTGTACAGATCCGGCAAAGTCACAATGCCCCTCAAAAGAAACGCTGCCAGCACCGCAAAAGCGGCCCCTGCCGCCAAAAAGTCGCGTCCCTCTAACGAAGCCGAACCTGCAGCAGCAGTTGCAACGGTAGAAACCTCCGAGGCACAGCAACCCGCTGCCGCTACCACCACCAAGCCTGCACCTAAGAAGAAGGCCGTCCCAAGCCGATGGAACATCACGTCCGTCTCGGCCAATATCGCCGCTCAATACCAGACCTTCCTCACGGATGGAAAGCAAGACCCCTTTGTCTTTGCGCTCATGTGCGATCCTCCATTCCCTAGCGGCGACAGCGATGATGAGGAGGAAGATGAAGAAGAGACCAGCAATAACAGCAAGAATAAAGATCATGGGGACAGACCGAAGTGCGATGATGGGAAGAAGTGCTACTGCATGCAGCTGTACGATGACCATCCTGAGCATCCTTATGTCTTTACCAGAGCAGCCAAGTCGATGTTTGTGGACTTGTCCTCCCACTGTGAGGTCAGAGATCCGGACAATTTTGAGATGTATACCTTTAATGATCATTCGGCGTATGGCGCGTTGGAGATCCTCTAGAATCTCATTCTGGATTTTGAGGAAGCCCGGTAGTTGGCAGGAGAAGTGGGCTGTGTGTGAGGCTCTGGGGTGCTTTTTGAAGAATGATTCTTATGGCACGCTTGCTAGTCGGTACGTTGACCGCATTGCCAATGTTCAAGGCGATGAGAGCTAACAATGATGCTAGAATCGACGATAGTGAGGGATGCCTATGCCACTTGGGCGTCTCATGGGCCGTATGTTCTTATCCATGCTGGCTCAATTTGAGCGAGACGGTCTTCTCGCCAATGACGGCCCGGTGAAGAACCTGGGCGTCATCATGGCCGTGTGGATGTCTATCCCCTCTGATATGCGTGGTTACAGTCTCTTGGCCGAGTCAAGGCCCGAGCCCCTTGGACCTGTCAAGCCGCGGGGTGAAGAAGTGGCGGCCTCACTCCTTTGACCAACAAATACTGGCCTATGCCAGAAAGTACAACATTGCCCTGAAGGGACTTCCCAATCTGGGCGAACTTGTGCAAGAGATTGAAGAAGAAGGAGAGGGCGAATTGCCTGAGCTTGTGCACAGCACATCAAAGTCCGATGTCTTCCACTATGAGAGGGAGTTGACCAGATACAAGGAGAGATATGGAAGCATTCCTCATTTTATGAGCATCCACGGCCGTAAGCAGAAGACGGAGCCGAAGACGAATATGGGTGGTGATAATTTTGATATCACGTCTTGGACTTCGGCTGAGAGGAAGGTGGCTCACTTTGACAAGGTATAATAGGACTGTCGAATTTTCTACATATCGGTATCCCACCGACTGCATATTATGCTGCCGATGCCGGATTTCTCCGATAAACACATTTCATCAAAAATACGCATGCACATTCGCTGCGGATCACGCAGCTGCCTCCTCAGGTGAGCACAATACACCCCAACCTGCTGCTGCTTTGACCGGCCCATGCCCTATGCCCTGGGACCACGCAAACAAGATCCATCCTGTTATCACCATCTGTGGAACCAAAAGGACATCTTACCCACAAGGTAGGCTTGGTGGAATGTATCTTTAACAGGATAAAGGTTCAATTAAAGAAGTGTAAAAGAAGAAGAAAACTGAATACAAAAGACAGAAAACTAGGCATGCAAGCCAATACAAGCCATCTCTAGCTCTTCCCATCTACCCATCTAGCTCCAAAAGACAGAGGAAACCATGCAACATGTAAATGCAAACGCTCTACCCAAAAGTGCAAAAGACAACCATCACCCCCCATCACCCCCCATCTAAAAGCCCCCCAACGGGTTAGGGTTAGGAATCCTCCACCCCCCCTGAATGCCCCCCTGCACACCGCTAGGCCCCTCCATCTCAGCAGCCAACTCCTTATGCGCCCTCAGCGAAAACTCCTGGCGGTCAAAATTCTGGTTGATAACCCCAGTCATACCCGACTGACAGTGAGCGTTGTTGTTTTGAGCGCAGTAGAACCAGATCGGGCGGGTGTCCTTGACCTCAATCTGGAACACCTCGTCGCTCTGTCCCTCGCGGACGGGGAAGAAGCCGCTGAAGAAGGAGTTGGCGTCTTTGGGCTGGCAGGGCGTGTCAAAGGAGGACTCGACGACGGAGTGGTTCAGGGGGTTGAAGTGGAATTCGACTATGGAGCCGACTTCGGCGACTACGTTGTCGGGGTCAAAGATTAGACGGCCGCTGCGGCCGGCGATGACGGTGTGAGTTGTGCGGGGCGCGGCGGAGGTTTTTGTGGGGTTGTAGGTATTGTCTGTGGGAGCGGCGGAGACAAGGCCGAGAGTGGTGGTGAGGGTGATGAAGAGAGTTGAGGAGTGCATTTTATTGGATAGAGTGAAGACTAATGTTGTCTGGAGAGGAAGAGTGGAAGTGTTCGAGTCAGATGTGTTGATGGTTGGATGGTTGGTGAAGCTGATGAAGGTGATGATGATGATGATGATGAGAAAAAGGCATCAGTGAAGGCGGATTGTCCATGGTGTTATATACGCGAGATATCAAATCCATTACGGCTTTTCGTCGCCAACAATTTCGTGGCTATGGATAACTTGGTGATGGATTAGGAGATGGCATTGCGCGGAGGTGAGAGCATCCGGCGGCCGCAGTGGGCACTTCTCACCGTGTGTTGTTTTTGGCATCGCACCTGTGTTCACCGCAGGCCATGTGCAAGGCTTCGGCCGGCAGTGCAGCATTCCTCTTTCATTTTTACCAGTCGCCATAGGGCTGCAGCCGGAACCAGAGTATCGGGATTTGGACGATCCGGGGTAAGCAGCCACAAAGTTGCAGAACTGTGGTTCGTCCGATGTCTTGTCAGAAATAGAAGCAGGCATCGGTTGAGGCTGTGCAAACTTCTTTGTTGGCCATGGGTAAATGTGGGAAGATGACAGGACCAACACCTCACTCATGCTGACCAGATCTGGATAGCTATATTTAAGAAATTAGATATCAATCCTCTCACTTCCTCTTGAAGCTGAATGGTTTATTTCCTGATCGTGGTTGGACTTTTTGACATCGCAGTTGGCTGAAGACAGCAGGGCATGAAGTTGATAGACCCGCCGCGAAGATGCTTGATAGCCCGAGCGGCCGGCAAAAACGCATCCAACGAGTGTACCTTGAGCGATGACAACGGATCGTGGCGTGTTTTACGACAAGAAGAGTACCTGGCATGAGCCTCCTGTTTACTAGCACTGGGAGAAAGACGTGTAAGGGCGGCAGTCAGCCATGTCAGGTTGGATATCATAGGTACCTACCTAACACCTACCGTGTGAGCAGAGTTGTTGAGACATATATCGACTTTTGGATGGTCACAGGATAGTCTCTGCAGTTCGGTTCCGTTTATACTGAGAGGTTGATATTCGGACTCCTCAGAAGCTGTGTTTGATGGGCATGAAAATTGTGTTTATGCTGAAGCAGAAAACACGGGAGGCCAACCAGTCAAAGGAAAGGGGGGCTATTCGTGGAGTTGTTAACGGCTGGTTCCGATAACTGAGGAGCATGCATTCCAGGTCACCGCCGTTTGATGACGGCGATTGCGCCCTCGAAGATAACTCGAAACACATGTCACTGATTAACTGGAGAGAAGAAGAATCGAGAACGGATGAGCCAATGACAGTGCGCCAACCGCCGCAACAGGGCGCTAACGGAAAGTCGCTTGATCGGAGTTTTATTGCCCCGGGTCCGGAATTAGCCGGTGCCTGGACAAACGTCATACGGTCATGCGTCAACTTGCGCCGCCTCTGTATCAAAACATCATCATTTTAAACTCTGAATCATCAAAAAAAAAACATCGTCTTCCTGCGCCATTTTGGTGCTTTCTCATTTATCTGGTCTGTCATTGTTGTTTTGTTGGCGCCCCTATTTTATTCAGGTGGTTTGATCGAAGCCTCCATCTACAGTGACTCGCGAGGCGTGCATGTCTCGCGACTCCACCAACATGGTGTCGGAGAAGACGGCTTTCGTGGAGCCCAGCACTCCCCAGGAGCTCCCTACTACTCACCACAACCAAAATCACAAACAGTTCAATTGCCGTCGCCGGTTCCTACGCGGTTTCCTTTTCGCCTCTCTTGGTTTGACGATCTTGCACGTCTGCTCGAGGACCACACCGGCTGTCATCACGAATCCGGTGGAGCCCGCCAAGAGCGACGTCTGCTTGACGCCGGCATGCATCCACGCCTCTTCCGAGATCTTGTACAATTTGTCCCCAAACTTCAAAGAGCTTGACCCATGTACCGACTTTGAGGAGCTCGTCTGTGGGGGCTGGAGAGAGCGTCATGATCTCCGACCCGACCAGGGCGATGCCTTCACTGGCACCATCATGTCCGAAAACTCACAGCTCCTCCTCCGTCACATCCTCGAGGCCCCATATCCCAAGTCCTCCAAACACTCCTACTTCTCCCCAATGCAGCTTGACTCGACCAGCCTTTCTGCTGATGAGGAAAACTTCAACAAACTGACCGATGCCTACAAGGCCTGTTTGGATGAACCCACCATCAAGGAGCTTGGCATTGCTCCCCTCGCCAAGATTGTCGAACAGGTCAAGCAGTCGTTCCCTGTTTCCGACAGCTCATCAGGCAACGCCCTCAGCGAAACTATCCTCCTCTTGTCCAGGTATGGAGTTGCTGGGCTCGTTTCTTCTGGCACGGGGGCTGACGATGCCGATCCGGATGTTGTTGCTGTCTCTGTCGCGCCACCCTGGAGGATCGGCCTTCCATCCAAGGAGCGTTACGACGATGATGCTCTGGTGAAGAAGTACCAGGGCGTCGTTGTTGATGTACTCTCCCAGCTCGGTCCCAAAGAGAACAAGGACGTACTCGCTGCCGTTGTCGATTTTGAGAAGAAGCTTGCTGCCGCTTCGCCATCGACCGAGGAGCGGCAGGACGTTACTGTAAGTGCCCTGCTGCTCCCAGCCCATTCACCATGCTGACTGTTGCTAGAAATACTACAATCCAATGTCGCTGAAGGACGCATCGGAACTGGCGCCAAAGATCGACCTCGATCACATCATCTCCACCCTCGCTTCCAAGAAAAAGGTTGAGCGTTTGATTGTGGCATCACCCAAGTATCTTAAGGAGCTACAGAAGATCCTCGACGAAACCGACCCCGCCATTGTGCAAAACTATTTTGTGTGGAAGGTTGTCCAGGCTTTCTACTCGTATGTGGACTCTCCTGTAGTGAAGCCGTACAAGGGTTTCGTCAATGAGCTCGCAGGAAAGGACCCCAACTCTGCCCCTGAGCGCTGGCGCACCTGTGTCAACCACGTCGACGACGGACTTGGTTGGATCTTGTCTCGCTTCTTCGTCGAGAAGGCCTTCTCGGCGGAAGCCAAGAAGTTTGGTGACCTGATTGTCTCCGACATCAAGGACGAGTTTGTCAAGAAGCTCAAGGCTACCGAGTGGATGGACGACGACACGACCAAGAAAGCCATTGAGAAGGTCCACAATATTGTGCAAAAGATCGGCTACCCAACCAAGAGCCCCGACATCATGGATCCCGATAACCTGGCCTCTTACTACAAAACTGTCAATATCAGCTCCGAGACTTTCTTCTCCAATGCTCTTTCGGTCATTGCCTTTGCCGTCGCCGATGAGTGGTCAACACTGGGCAAGCCCGTGGATCGGGATCAATGGGGCATGACGGTCCCCACGGTCAACGCCTACTACAACCCCCCTGGAAACGAGATTGTGTTCCCCGCTGGTATCATGCAGTTTCCAGTCTTTGACGTTGATGTTCCCGCATACATCTCGTACGGTGCCTTTGGCTCCGTCGCAGGACACGAACTTTCACACGCGTTTGACTCGACCGGCCGCCACTATGATCAGAACGGTAACTACACTGACTGGTGGTCTGACGGGACTGTCAAGGCATTTGAAGAACGTACCAAATGTTTCATCGAGCAGTACGGCAACTTCAGCATTCCCGGTCCTGACGACAAACCTCTTCACGTCAACGGCCGACTCACACTGGGCGAGAACATTGCCGATGCTGGCGGCCTCTCGGCATCTTTCCAGGCCTGGAAGCGCCGCTCCGCCCAAAAGCCCAACGCTCACCTCCCTGGCCTGGAGCATTTCACACAAAGCCAGCTTTTCTTTGTCAGTTACTCCAACTGGTGGTGCGGCAAGTCGCGTCGTGACACTGCCATTAATCGCATATATACCGATCCCCATGCGCCAAAGTGGGCGAGGATCCTGGGGACCATGGCAAACAGCCGGGAGTTCAGGGAGAGCTTCCAGTGCAAGAGCAAGAAGCCCACTTGTGAGCTTTGGTAAAGGAGCAAGTGCACGATAGTTCCAATCATAGTTTGTATGTATTAGTGTCACCGTTGAACATCGCACTATCGTAAACACGGCGTATAAAATCGTGCTGTATCATTTCTGTTTGGTCCCCTGCGTGACCGCCATGGCAGCAAACAGCAGAGTTCAGTCCGTCGAGAACGAGATGGGCAAGCGGGTAGTTGGGTAGACACCAGCTGTAATTCGTCAAAAGATTGACCTTCCAGCGGACACAACCCAAGGTCTATTGGACACTCTCAACACCTTCAGCAAAGTGTTGATTAGTGCCAGGTCAAATCCTATGATAGAAGATAATCAGCAAACCAGATATGTAGATTCATCTTCACACACCCAACTTGGAATGATGAAAGTCATACCAGGTAGACCCATGACTGCTACACAAACATGAAGCGGCTCCTCCCTTTGACTAGTACGCGATTGGTATCCAATTTCACCAACTATTTGGCCAGTCAGTGTGTGCATCGTCTGTGTCACCATTCGTGGCTCATCACCACAGCTTTCAGGAGTAGAGAGTCTGCTTACTTGGAACAACTAGCTCGGGAGCTCCCAGGACCGGCGCTAGGAGCAACGGATCTGAAAGGAGCTGATCACCTGTTTGGAGGCTAAACATTCAACATATCGTTAGCTGTGTTGCCTCCCTCATTCTGCGATGACAATGTGTAGCATGAATGTGCACACACACTTTTATGGCACTTCGTCTCTGTAATTTGGCTCCACCACTTAGATCGGCCACACCAAGATTGGATTTCGTTCATGCACGCGAAAAACTTCTTTCAAGAGCCATTCTCGGTAGACGTGGAATCGTTGAAGGCCGAGTTCGTGTTCCTCGGGTGTTACGTTTTTCGCTTTGTCCCTAGGCGTGTGTGCACGGTCAGTTCCTGTGTGTCCTAGGACTTTTGAACATTGAGTTATACCACAAATGTATCCCTCCAGGAGGCGGCATAAACGGTGTCTTGTGGAATCTTGATTGGTATTCGCTGAAGAATATCTCGATTTCTTCCCAGAAGGTGTAAACATAGGTAGCTGTTGAAACCTGCCGAGGGTTGTCAGTGCTGCTCCATCGTTGTTTGATATGGCTCAAGGATGTTAGAAACACCTCTCCATTCAGATAATCACTTAGTGGTAGGCTGTTTGCTTGAGGCGGTGGTGAATTGTACCAGGAATCTCCGTTCGAGATGGGATGAGCTTTTGTATCCACGACATTTTCCATATCTTTTATGAACCTCTGAAAGAGAGTTTCCTGACTCTTTGCTGTTTCTGGCAGAAAGTCGGGAAGGTAGAGGATGGAGTCGGGTAACTCTCCGCCGTGGGATTTGTACCATGCCCTTGCGAAGCCCTCAAATGCAGGGAGGTCCCCTCCGAAGAAACAAGGTGTATCTGTCTGTCTTTACGGAATTTAGGTGGCGTTAGTTCGAAACCGAAGTAGATCTGTGCATGTATTTGAGCCACGACCTACGGCACACCAGACCACATGCCTTGACACGAAAGAGCTCCGTGAGAAGGACGAAGGGAAAATACGCCATTGGCTAGAGCTGAAAGATGGCCGCTTGCTGTTGCTGAAAAATGACGGTATCACCTGGTCATCACTAGCCTAACGTCGAACTGCGTGGTTGAAGCAGGGAAGACAAGGTAGGCACTTATTAGCGCCTTACAGTCTGTTCCCACTGCAATATCCAGCCACTCGTATGCTGCTATGGCCGCCGCCTGTCCACTGTTTCCTCCTGATGGGGATTGGTAACCATGTCCACGAGGGTTGAACGGTGCCGCAAAATCGACACAGTGGGGCGGGTGCTGCAGTAGAACCATTGAACACATCTTCGAAAGACCGACATTCTCGGCGCCTTGATCTATAAGCTTCTGAATAGCTGGTGCTGTCTCCGTGGCTGGTTTGCTAAGGGCTAAATATTCACGGCTTCCCAGTGATGTGGTGAGCCCCTTGACATTGAACATGTCCTTGACTGTTATTCTGACTCCGGCTAACGGCTTCCTTGATGGTTCGAGGCGTTGAACACGAGAGGAAACTGTAACAAAAGGCCCGTATCGACTGCTTTTGCCAACGGAGCTCGTTATGAGGCTGTCCACCATACCATGTCTAGCTAGCCAGCATCGACACATAGGAAGCCATTATCAAACACTTACTCTCCCGCCGTTGTGGCATTCTGGCGCAAAGGTAGTGAGAATGCAGCCGCAGTGTCGCTGTGGACTCTCATTGCCGGACTGATTGTCTGACCGTCCAAGACATACGGGCCAACAGTTCGGATATTTTCCGTTCCAATGAATTCCACCCAGGGCAAGACTGAGGTCCACCTCCCTACCAGATTTTGTATCTCGCCGATGGTAGCAGGGTCGCTTTTCTCAGTAGACACCAACACTCCGGAGGGGGAACTCAGGGGTCATGACATCATGTAGGGCGGTGGCCAAGGTTAGTCACTGCCCGCGAAATAGAGGCCAAAAGGCAGAGAAATTGGTTGACAAATTGATATTACAGTTGATTGTTGTTGTTAGGTGTAAAAAGTAAACAGTAAGCCAAATCCAGCCTTTAAGGGCGATAAGGTGTGGTTCTGGTGAAACGCAGACCCTTTGTAGGTGCCCCACACATCATCCTCAGCGATCGCACGCTCTATGAAGCATTTCAAGAGTGGCAGCACCGGTGTTGATATCGGGATCACGGGTGTCACAAACACCAGCCACTGGCCGTGGTGTGAAACACGGAAGTCCTGCGTTTAGCCGACAGTTGATCAGAAATGATTTTCGCTCCAGTGATCACCGGGTCTTTGGGTTTGCTCACCGAACTTTCCTTGTAGGTTACATATCACCGTTCCCCAAGCTGGAATTTCAGTGTGGCATGACACGAAATCTCGGAGGCCATTTCTCAAAAGACCCATGTCGGGTGAAATGAAGAGTGTGTGAGTCGTGGTGAACCCGTTGAGACACGGGCAATGTGTGGGGGGGGGACTGGGTCAAGAGGGGAATGTCACAGATGAGGCCTTTCCCTGATCGTCCAACCGAGGACAACATTAGGTAATGCATATGCAGGTAATATGCATCCATTCTGCTGTTATGTCCCCCCACCACCCCCAAGGCCGTGGCGCAGTGCGGGCAGGTATCAGCTTCCAATGCTCAGATAATGCTAAGACACCAAGGATACCAAGCTCAGAATATAGACTGGTCATGCTTGGATTATGGACTGGCAATGCCTGGATTGTAGACTGGTTATGCTCAGATAGAAGATATGATCGACATGAGATGCTCAGATAACTCTTAAACGGCCCTTAGTTCCCATAAATAGGGACTGTCTCCCCCTTGTGGAACCCATATGGCGCTGTGAGGTCCCTGTTGTTCTTGGGCGGCCAATGGGCACTGGCAAAATCCATCCCACTTATAACCATGGGGTTTACTTACCTCTTCCCGGTGATTTCACCTTGTCCCAACCAAGAAGCTGTGGACACAGAGAGCAGAAATGCCAACTCAAATATCATCGCAAAATCGGTCATGAAATAAACAACAATGTTGAGAACGGCACGCAAGAGATGGTCTTTCTCCCGCATTTTGAACGCAAACGTGATGTCCAAGAGATAGTATCGAAGGGTGTCTCGCAGCCATCGGAGCAGCTGTCTTGTGTAGAGCCAGTTCGGAGATATACCGGCAGCGATTATGACCCCCGGCGAGTTTTGGAACGCAATCCTCCAACCTTTGTGCAGCAACCAAGTGGTTAAGGCATTGTCGTCTCGAGTCGTGATAGGAAAGCGTCCGAGCCACAACTCGTGTAGAAATGCATCACGGAATCCTCGGTCTTTGTAGATGCAGGTCCAGTAAGCAGAAAGCCGGCCGGAAAGGTTTAGAACCTGGCCTTTGTTGAAGAATGCCAAAGCTGAGTGCAGGACATTTCTCCTCGCGAGGTTCAAAGCACCAAATGTTTCCCACTGGGTCAAGGTGTTCCCATTTCGAGGCTTTACCGCTTGTAGTCCCGTGACGCCACCGACTCTGGGGTCACGGAACGGCGCGAGGATGTTGTCAAGCGTGGAGACACCCCACAGTGACCGGTCATCCACAACAACGAAAAATGCGGTCGTGACCTTGGAGATGGCTTCGTAACACTGTCTTCGATACGAAGCGGTTTCGACAGCCATTACTATGATTCGAGAGTCTCCGATTTCCTCCACCAATCCCTCGATGTATGTACGGCGGGCTTCTAATGTCGTGATGATTATTGACTTCGGCTCTGTTCTCAGCCATCCCTGTATGACTTGGCGAAAGTGAGGTTCCGTTCCTAGGGTCATCGCAACAATTGTACCATCTGATCTGCTGTTCTGGGATCTTGCTACATCGGGATGCCGAACTGGAGCTAATCGCCTATAGCCCCAAAGCTCAGAAATAGCTAGAATCAGGCGAGTGTATCTTAGCAACCTGGATTCCAGTTTGACATTAGTAAAATCAACTATCTGGACATGTGGTCATCACCGTTTTCAAGGAGGACATACAGTACGATGCGGTACCAGAGGGTAAACATTGGTATGGATCTGAAAGGTAACGGTGGCTGGGATAAAAGATAGAAAATATTGGGATAGGGGACAGAGAATGCTGGGATAGAGGATAGAGAATGCTGGGATAGAGGATAGAGAATGCTGGGATAGAGGATAGAGAATGCTTGGATAGAGGACGGGAAATGTTGGGATGAAAGACCGAGGATGGATGCTAGAACTGATGATGTAAGATGCTTAGGTTTAAAATGGATATGCTGGGTTCAAAGAATGAGATTATTGGAGTGAAGGCTGCCTGAGACTTGGCGGTAAAACAGTGCCCAGGTGCGTCGAGAAGGTGGATAGGGCAACCTGAATGTTTGAACCAGCAGAAAGGGAATATGAAGCTGTTGATCTCGGTGGGAAAATGCGGGGAATCAGTAGCGGCTCTGTGCGGTAGGGTAGGTACCAGAGGCACTCCTGCGCCAAGTACAGGATTAACGCAAATAGGGGTAAGCGAGTTGAATGGACCTCGATAACGTTATATTTGCACTGTAATAATATCCCTTTATCATCAGTTGGTCAATATCTCACCCCCCTTTGTACATGTTACTGCTCTGTGGTTGCACGTGTTCCCCCCTTGAGCGTCACATCAAACTCTTCCGGCTTTCTTCCCAGAATTTCTTCCAAGTCCCCCGTCACTGGCGCTGTAGCACCTTGTCTGATAGCCTCCCAAGCAGTAGCCCAAGTCCTGGCATCCTCCTCATTTTTGAAGTAGCCCTTTACTTGTGGAAGCCGAACCCACTCATGCACAGGTATCTCCCTTATCTTCAAGTCCTTCCCAGCAACCTCCCCAAGCAGCTTCACCGTGTCCTCCAAACTCCACTCCTTGTTGCCTGTCAGCAATACAACCTGGTTCACATACTGGAAGCTTTCCGGCGCGGATGAATATTGTGCAATGAGCTTCGCAGACGCCTCTCCAAGCTCATCCCTCTTCACCCACGCCACCCCCTTCCCCTTCCCATCATGCGGGACAAGAATCTCATTCCCAACAAGCGTGGCATCAGGGAAGTGCGGATCGAAGAAGCTGGTGTAAATGGGTGTCGACTCGGAATAGATCCCCTCCCTGATCACCGTGTAGGTGAAACCAGGTGCTGTCTCCGCCAAATGTCTCAAGTGCCCCTCGGTGGCAAGGTGAGCCTGCATCACCTCAGCCACTGACCTGGTAGAGTCTCTTTCTCCAGCAAAAGCCAGAGAGCTGTAAAAGACATGCTGGACACCAGCGCGGCGGGCTGCGTCGATGGCTGGGAGCTGGACTTTGATGCGGTAGTCTTTGACGTGGCTTGGGTAGGAGATTAGAAACAGGACATCGATGCCGGTGAAGACCTTTTCAAGGTCGGAGGGCGCTGTTTCGTAGGATGCCTCTCGCGTTCGGACACCGGCTTGGGTGTAGTTCCTGGGGACTTTATGGGGGTGGCGGCTGATGAGGATGACATTGTCCTTGGGGACCAGAGCCAGGAGGTGGTGGTAGGTGGAGGTGCCTAGACCCCCTGATGCTGGGAAGATGCCGATGGTTTTCATTGTGAGTGGTTTTGCCTGCCACTCTAGTGAACGCGGGAGGTGTTGAAGGGATCATTGTTGTGGGAGAGGCGAGGTGATATTTATGATGATGTCACGGATCTGATTTCCAATCAGGGCCCACATTTGTTTGCTAATTGCTTGTGGTCAACATCACCAATCAGACCTGACATTTGTCATGATCAGGACCAGGCTTGCCATTGAATGAACAGGAAGCAACAGTCACCGAATCTCGTACAAACCAGCTGGCGGCCCGCCCCTTCCATGTCTGACACTCTCCGTCACGAGCCCACGCATGATATTGTCATCGCACACATAGCAATCACCCAAAAACACATGGTGAGTCGGCCCACGACGCAACACGTACGGCATCCTGCCTCGAAACAGCACGACAACCTCGTCCCCCTCCTGCATCACCGGCGGCCCGATACCCAAATGTCCTTCCCTCGTCAGGAATGCCCGTCGACCATAGCAATACACCCCAACAGCATTCCGAAACGTGACCCTCGCCTTCTCGCTCTCGGCCGACAGCACCTCATCTCCCTCTCCAGCAAGCCCAGATAAGAATGCTCCTACAGCAGCGTCACTTATCCCAGTAGCTATCTGCCTGTTCATCTCGCTCGCCGAGGCTGAGAAGTGAAACCCATCCATCGAATTGGACATTACATGCCCGACCACTGCGCCCATCGGATGTACCGAAAGCGCGTTGCAAAATGCTACGTCGAGAGGCTCACCAGTGATATACCTCGATCCATTAGCCCCCGGGAATGGCATGTTGGGCAGAAGCTCCGTCCAAGCGCGTTGGACGGCTTCGGTCTTGGAATGTCCATCTGACCCAAAGTTCATGACATTGCTGACGCGGTGGACGACGCCGACATGGAAGCCGTCCATGATCAGGGTGCCCGGGATCGGCGAGGAGAAGGCGCGTTGGATACGGGACTGGAAGAAGTCTCCGAGAGGTGGGGTGCAGATACCGGCGGTGAAGTCACCTCCGCGGAATACAGTGACGGACTTGGACTCGAACCATTTCGGCACCCAGGAGGGATAGGGGTCATCTGGGGTTGGAGTCGTGCGGTGTTGGACATAACTGAGAACGTCCAGGAACATGGGCATCTTGCTGATCAAGAATTTCGCTAGGCCGGTATAAACCTCCGGAACAGGGCGAGTGTAGTCCGGCTTCAGAGCCGCCGGGATACCCCAACCTAGATCGGGGTTGCGCTCGTTGACAAAGTTCTGGACGCCCGTGATGGCGGTTGTCAAACCTCTCAGCCACCGGTCCGACCGTTGAGTGATGTGAGTTCTCGTCGTAATGGGCTGCAGGCCTTCGTCGCAGATGCCCAAAACCGAATAGATCTTATCCCGCAAGTCAGTAGCCTTGAACGCACGCATCTGCTCAAGCAAGTCCAGCAACGGCCCCAAGCTACCCGGAATCTCAGTCAGACGAACGTGACCGCTGTGGGCCCCTGACTGCCGCGTAAATATGAGGTACCACACGTCCAACGAGGTGTTCGTCTCGATTTTGCCCCCAGGCCTGTTCCCAAAGACAAACAGCAACGTCGAAACCAAGTCGAAGAAGGACATCTCCAGCTCTTCCGACTTGACCACCGCCACGTTGGCCACGGCGATTTCCTGCACTACCCACGTGCGGTGGAAGTACTCCCGGTCAAATAGCTTTTGGAGATTGAGCAGTGCGCCCTCTGGCAGACCACCTAGAGCATTACCCACGACGTCACGCACGACACCATCCTCCATTGCGGCGGCATCTTTCCTCAAGTCAGCCACTAGCCGACTGACATCACTCAGGACCTTCCCTGCCTCAAACGCAACCTCTGTCGCTTCTGATTCTTGCTTTAGCCCGATCCAGGCGATGACTCTTTGGCAGTATTTGTAAACCAACCGCATGTACTGCACCTGACGGGATCTCTCCTCTAGACTGGACTGGTCAATACATAGTGCGTCTATCCACAGTCGTCGCGGGGGCTGGCCTGGTGATGGTCGGAGGAAGTGGAGTGCCGCCGCGAGGTTGGGTTTGATGGGGAGGGGAAGGTCATCGAGCCAGATGTAAGTTTCCGGGTCGGCGGTGCCCCATGTGTAGGAGAGGGCTTCGTAGGGCTGGGTGGATTCGAGGTTGGTGATTGCGAGGGTGCCGTGGAAGGGTTCTGAGTCGTCCGGGGAGGGGGAAGGAGGGGATGTGGAGGGGAAGAGAGTCAGGATGCGGGTGAAGGGAGGGGTTCGGCTGGTTTTGGAGACAGGTGGCAGAGGTTGGTATTTGTACATGGTGAGCAGGTTGGCGATACTTTATAGCTGAGTAGATATGTCTGAGCCAAGAGAAATCACGCATCTATGGGAGGTGGAGGTGCCTTGCTTCAGGATCGCAGTGAAACCAAGTTACAGGGTTCTAGACCTGCAAGATAATACGGCCCAATGATAGCCCGACTGCGTTGAGCTTACCCGATACCGCCTAGCGACTCTGAACTTTCGCTTGCTAGGATATCTATATGCTTTATAATACTTTATAACACTAGCTATACACAACTTCGCCGCTAAATCGAAAGGGAAACATCTGAAGATACTTAATGTGGTACAAGGACTATTCACATCACAGGGGATTGCGAGGCTGTTCGTTTGTTGATGGGTGTTTGAGCGAGACGGTTCAGTTTGAGCCTCCTGACTTGGATAGGCAAAGCACGTATTAAAGCTTGCTTGGGGAAATGAATTAATAACCTGTACCAGAGGGGGGAGGGTGCGCAACTATTTACCAGGTAGCGTGGTATTGATTGAGTGGGTACTTGACTCTTGAAAAGTGTACGTAACAAGATGGCTTTAGGAGACAAATGACTGATGTTCGCTTGCACATATATCATCTTCTGGATCGGACTTTGAGCATACCTTATACATACCATCCGAGCTTATAAAGGGACACCACACCTAATCATCTAAGCGTCTAAACGACTCTGTCTAAGCTTATGTATATTGTTATCCCAGCTTCTGATAGAAACTACACCGACATACATAAACATGCCAATGACTATATCCAAGCTTATATGTTTGCTATCCCAGTTTATAAGAAATACTATACCTTTATAACCCCAGCTTTTCCAAGACACTACTGACTTTATTTTCCATCAGAGATCCCCCCGTCAGTCGATTTTGGAGGGTAAAGAACATCGAACAAGGCAGGTAGGGACAGAGTAGTTAGGTACATGTAGCTCATCAAAACCGAGCCACTTTGAGGCTGGCCGTCATTAGACCCATATGTACAACTTTATTCATTCATTCATTCATCATCATACAAAGCGCTATGTGAAGACGTCAAAGACCCAACTCCTCCTTCCTCGACTTGCCCCCTTGTACATCAAGATATGGAGCCTCGCCCAGGGAACAAACACGGTCGCCCGCTCTCGGGTCGTTGTAGTCATATGTCGCACAATGCCATGTGCTCCTGTTGTCCCAGATGGCGACGTCATTCTTACTCCATCTGAATCGTACTTGGGCATCGTGGTTCTGTGTTACCATGTTGAAGAGGTATTTAAGGAGGATGTCCGACTCGTCTTTTGTGACGCCGTTGATGCGCTTGGTGAAGCCCTTGTTGACGTAGACCGAGTTCCACCCAGTAACGGCTATTACCATGAATGTCAGTTTTACGCGCAATGATGTACACAAACAAAGATGTGGAAACTCACGATTCGTCCTTATAACAGGATGCACAGCAGCCAACTCAGCCCCCTTGTTCAACGGCGACCCTCTCTCGCACTCCCTCAGCGGATTCCCCAAATTCCTCGCCTCATCCAAAAAGAACTTGGCGTCATGTGTGGCGGTCAGCTTCTTGAGCATCTCCCTCATCGGCTCTGACAGACGATCATAGACCTCGTATCCGCTCGCCCAGAGGGTATCACCGCCAGTGACGGGAAGGGTGTGGATCTTGAGCATGGCGTAGTCACTGGGCACAGGCTCAAAGGTGATATCGCTGTGCCATGCGTTGGAGGCATACCTACTGACGTCGGAGAGCTGGTGAGTGAGACCGCCGCCCTTCTTTTGCTTCTCGGAGGAGATGACGCTGATTTGGTCGCCTAGCTCGGAGCCCTCTTCTGTCAGGGGGTGCACGTGAAGGCCAGAGGTGGAGGGGCAGCCGGCGAGGGTGGTGAGGCGGAGCATGAAGTCTTTGAGCTCGTTTGGGGTGACATCTTGGTTGCGGAGGAAGACGACGCCGCGGGAGGAGATTGTGTATGCGAGGTCGCGGAAGAGTTGATCGTCGGCTTTGAGAAGGTCGCGGATTTGGAGGGTGGGAAATTCGCGGCCGATGGCGGGGGTTGGGTCGTCGTGCGAGTATTGTTGGAGGGATCCAGAGTCGGAGAGCGGTTTGGTGAGTTGTGGTCGGGCTATGTCATGGCCACCAAAGATGGTGGCGTCGGTCTGAGACGACGTTGATGTGATAGCGGACGGCATGGCGAACGAAGTGGTAGTTCAAAGCACAGAAAAAGGCACAATCACATGTAGATGGGATGGAAGCAAGCGAAATGATTGGGAATGTAAATATTGACAGGCTCGGGTCTCTTATTAATATGCAATGCACAAGCAGCATTGGGAACCATTCGGCCTCAGATACTCGTTCAGGATGTCGTTAACCACCAAGGTTCGACGCTTGGACGAATTACTTGGCGGCGGAGAAAATGTCGGAGAATTGTGAATGGCGTCAACCGGCGCTAAGTAGGCGAATGTCGAAGCGACCTCCCCATCTCGGCCGGCCCCGCACCCGGCATAATCGGTGTGGTGATACTACCTCTTGCCAACATCATGACGCCATCGCCGTAGCTGCACACCGAGAGGCCTTACCGACTTCAATTCTCCGCTCGTTTCTCCGCACGCGTTGCTTGTGATAGCCTCAGCATGTAACGCGATGGCTGGGGTCAGCATCTCTAAATAGTGACCTCCATCCGCATGTTGTCGGTCGCGATGGTTCATCTCTTGACCGCCCGTTCCTCATCTCATTCCATTCGACCCGAGTCGTCTGCCTGACAACAGGTCTCTCCAACATGGGCAAAATCGACGACATCGAGAACCACACCAAGGGTTCGCCACCAGCGACCCTCGACCGCGGTGACAGCCACGACGGCAAGGCATCACTCAAGGGCTCCGAACCTCATGTCGGTCGCTCTGAGCTGAGCGATGTCATCCCTCCTGATGATGGCTACGAGGGAAAGCACCGGTGGGATCCATTGGCGACATGGACCCCTGAGGAGGAGAAGGCCGTGGTGCGCAAGACCGACATCTGGTTGCTCTCCTGGCTCTGTGTCATGTTCTTCGGTCTTCAACTTGACCGTGGTAACTTGGCAAACGCTTTGGCTGATAAGTTCCTGGACGACCTCAACCTTTCTCGAGACGACCTCAACAACGGTAACACGATCCAGTTGGTTGCATTCTTGAGCGCCGAGTTCCCTGTTCAGTTCCTGACCAAGCGTTATGGGTTTCGTTATGTCCTTCCGGCCATGATGTTTGCGTGGGGAACTGTCTCCTGGGGTCAGGCATGGATTCACGACCGGGCAAGCTTTTATGTTACCCGTGCACTTATTGGTGCTTGCGAGGGTGGTTTCATTCCGGGTGCTATTCTCTACGCGACCTACTTTTACACCTCCTCCGAACTGTCGACTCGTCTGGCGGTGTTTTGGTCGACTTTGAACGTTGCACGCGTCATCTCGGCTTTGTTGGCGGCTGGTATTCTCAAGATGCGTGGTATTGGTGGCCACCCGGGGTGGTTTTGGCTGTTTTTGCTTGAGGGTCTTCTTACTGTTCTTCTGGCTTTCATCGTAAGTTCTGCCCATCTTTTAAAAACCCTCTGTCAGTATTCTAATCGATGTTACTAGTCTTTCATCTACCTTCCCGCGGCTCCCACCAAGACCACGGGCGTTCTCTTCCGCGAGCCTTGGTACACTGAGCGCCAGGAGGTGATCATGGTCAACCGTATCCTCCGTGACGATCCCGCCAAGGGCTTGACTCTGCTCAACGAGCCGGCCACCTGGCAAGACGTCAAGGCTACCTGGACAGATAAGTCTCTCTGGGGACTCTTCTTCATCGGCCTCATCGCCTACATTCCCGCAACCCCAGTCCAGGGCTACCTCACCCTGACCCTTCGCGACCTCGGCTTCACCGACAGCTTCGAGATCAACATGCTCACCATCCCGTCGGCCGTCCTCCAGATCATCACCATGCTGATCCTCGCCCGGTCGAGCAAGTACTTCAACGAGCGGACCTTCCACTGCTTCGTGGGCGAGTTCTGGGTCATGCCGCTGCTCATCGCCTTGATCACGCTGCCTGACGGAGGTCGTGAGTGGGGGCGGTATTCACTGATCACGCTCATCAGCGGGTACCCTTACTTCCATCCTATTGTCACTTCTTGGATCTCGGAGAACACTTTTGATGTCAAGAAGCGGGCTATTGCGGCGGCGACGTACAATGTTATTGTGCAAGTTGGTAGTCTGATTGGCAGTCAGATTTATCGCGACTACCAGAAGCCGTATTATAAGATTGGTAATACCACGCTCGTGTCTATCAGTGCGTTGGCTTTGATCACATTTGTTGTTCAGAGATTCGTCTTGGTTGGACTCAATAAGAAGAAGGAGAAGGAGTGGGAGAAGATGTCGAGGGAGGAGCAGTTGGCTTATCAGAATGATGTGACGGCCAGAGAGTTGGATGGGAATAAGCGGTTAGATTTCCGGTTTGTATACTAGAGGGACACCAGTACCAGCACTGGAGATGTCTTGAATGATAATTTTAGGGTTACAAGTTGACACCAGACATTGTTGACCTACCTGGTACTACAAGTTGTGGATTCCGGTATCCTGAAGCTTTAGAATGTTTACACTCTCGCCTTCTGGAAGCTGAGAAGTTTCTATACCTGAACATGTGTGTTTACATTTTGCTCACAAGTGAGGTTAATGTCACCCTGCCATGCACCTCGGCAATGTGCCATTTGGAGATAGCTGTTGCTTCCCATTGGCGCCATTGCGCCATTGTGGGGTTAGATTCTCCAACGTCCAACACCAAGATACTTCAATGTCATGTTCCCACGCCACTTGGCTGCAGAGCTACGGCAATATGTCTCCTGGTGGCACGTCACGACCCTCGAAGCAGAGGAAGATTGGTTCTCGATCTTGCGATGCTTGCAAGATCCGGAAGGTCAAATGTACAGAGACAGCCCCCTGCCAACGATGTCTCACCGCCGGCCTCGACTGCACCTTCAACAAGACCCAGTCGACGAGAGGACCCCGGAATCTGAGGACAAAGACCTTACAGCAGATCCAAAATGCCACACGAGCTCAGCAACCAGCCTCAGCACCTTCACATATCCCAGAGCCAAGTTCTTCGTCGAGCACCGCGGACCCTTCCAACATTTCGGTCGAATCACTCGTCGTTCGACTGTGCATCTATCGACTTCGCCTCTTTCCAGTCTGGCCGATCGTGGCTGTGGAACAGGTCATTGCAGCCCTACACCGCGATTCCCATGATGTCGGAACCTACACCTTGGCAGTGGCCATTGGTGCTGCAACCATGGCCCAGTTGAAACTGTCCCGGTTGAAAGACCCAAACATCATGGACAGCCTGTCCGCTAGCGCTCTCCACGAGGAGTGCCAAAGGAAACGGCGGACCCTCAACGCTGCCTCTGCCAGTCTGAACAGACTTCAGACCTCGTTCTTTTTGCACATCTACCACGAGAACCAGATTCCAGGCGGTGCCGAGTCTTTGTTGCACTTGCGCGAGGCCATCACGGTGGCACAAATCATGGGATTACACCGGCCCTCCTCATACCTAGGACTACCCCCATCCGAGGACCGCCTTCGACGCCGCATTTTGTGGCTGCTGTTTGTTACAGAGAGAGGAGTGGCCATGCTACACAGACTTCCAGTAGCATTGACTTCAGCCGAGAAGTTCCCGCCACTGGACACCATCAACGAACCCGACGACGGACCACACGTGTTGCCGGCATTCAAGAAACTGGTCAACCTGTTTTGGATCTTTGACCAGTCCAGAGCCTTTGACATTCTTCAAGATGCGGCAGACGACACGGACAGCTCCTCATCACCCAACCACGAAGCCCTCCGAGCCCTGCAACAGCGCTTACAAGAAGCACGACTCGAAACTGAAAAGGATGCAAACGACATCCAGAAAGCGGACATTTCCATCACAAGACAATGGATGCAAATCCTCATCTGGCGCGCCACTCAAGGCCACGCATACTGGTCCTCCGACGACACCTCGGCAAGCCTTGCTGGCCCCATTCAGATAGCCCAGCAGCTACTAGACGACATATCAAAGCTCCCCAAAACGGCCCTGGAAGCCCACGGCCCAGGGATAGAATTCAAAGTTTACGAGATTGCAAGTGCCGTGGCAGACTCCCTCAACTACTACACAACCCCCCGACCAAGCGACATCGTCTTCCGACAGCCAGGTGACATTCTTCTCAGATTACAAAGATTCCTAGCCACCTGCCGCGGCGGAAACATCAACCTGCTAGGCCTCCTAGCCGCGCGCATCGCCCAAGGCCAAATGTCCCTATCCATCCCACGGCAGTCGTTCGACCCAGCCCCGCCCTCGGTTGTTGTCGAAGAGATAGCCACCGACGCCGACAGCGACGAACCACTACCCTCATCCCCATGGCTCTCCCTCGTTGCCGCGGCTGAACTCGAGCAGGAGCAGTCCTTGTCGTCTTATGCTCAACAGGTCGGCCTGCTCGATAATCACGACTGGCTTCTTGCTCCAGAAAGCCCCAACATCTAGCTGCGAGCACGTCATTGATACGGGGGATGAGGTGAATGAAGTCCAAAGCGGAGCAGGTCCGGGGCCGGGATCGGCCTGTGGGGTTACCTTGCTCTACCGAGGCGGGGTTCGTTGTCCCTTCAGCTGTTACAAGTCTTGGCTAGACTCGATCTGGGACTTTCTCCGAGATATTCTCCGCTTGGGGTTTGGGGGTAAGAACGGACGGCAAACCTGGGGTTTTTGTGGTCACGTCAACGCTGTCAGGGAATTACTTTCTTTTGTTTGTTTTTTTCTTCTTTTTTTTTTTTTGGAGAGACGAAGCGAAACGACACAGTCAAGATGGCTTGGGAAGAACCACGGAAGACGGGCATGGTGTATCGCCGTTTGGGCAACTCTGGATTACACGTCTCTGCGCTTGGGTTGGGAGGATGGCTCACGTTTGGGGGGCAGGTTGAGAATGGTATGTTTTGTTCAGGTTGGGATTTAGAGTAAGAAGGAAGAGCTGACGGATAAACTAGAGGGCACTGTTGCTTGCTTGAAGCAGGCGTATGATTTGGGTATCAACTTTTTTGACACTGCGGAAAGGTAAGAACCGCACACAAGAACGTCTCTGTGCTCTCAGCCCACGAAAATTGACCGAAACTGTCTCAACAGCTACGCCGGAGGCCAATCCGAAGTCGTCATGGGCCAAGCCATCAAGCAGCTCGGCTGGAAGCGCAACGACATCGTCATCAGCACCAAACTCAACTGGGGCGGCCACAACGGCGAGGTCCTCGTCAACAACCACGGCCTGAGCCGCAAGCACATCGTCGAAGGCCTCCGTGCCTCCCTCCAACGCCTCGACCTCGAATACGTCGACATTGTCTACGCCCATCGCCCGGACCGTCTCACTCCCATGGAGGAGGTCGTTCGTGCTTTCAACCACGTCATCGAGATCAAGGGGTGGGCGATGTACTGGGGGACCAGCGAGTGGAGTGCTGACGAGATCGCCGAAGCATGCGGCATCGCCAAGCAGCTCGGACTTATCGCGCCGATTGTTGAACAGCCATTCTACAACCTCCTGCACAGAAAGAAGGTCGAGGGCGAGTTCCAGAGGCTGTACAGCAGATTCGGTCTTGGATTGACGACGTTCAGTCCCTTGAAGTTTGGTCTGCTCAGTGGAAAGTACAACGATTCGCCTGATACGCCTCCGCCGGGGAGCCGTTTTGCGAAGGGCGACGACAAGTTTGTCAATTACATGAGAGACAATTACGGGAACAGGAGCTGGCAGGATGATATCGAAAAGGTGAAAAAGCTCAAGGTTATCGCCGACAAGGTCGGCATTCCCCAGTCAGAGTTGGCTCTGGCGTGGGTGTTGAAGAATCCCAATGTTTCGTCTGTTATCACTGGCGCGTCAAGGCCGGAGCAGATTGTTGAGAATGTCAAGGCGTTGAAGAGTATGGCTTTGTTGACGCCAGATATTATGAAGGAGATTGATGAGGTGGTTGGGAGTGTTGAGTTGGATCCAGCGAGACAGGACTAAGAGATGAATTTGTGAATGATGACAAGAGATGAACAACCCCTATTTTGCCCCTGTCGCGACATTGGGCTGATCTCAGACTCGGATTCTGAACCCGGAACTTTTACGGTGCCCCTTCTTCTGGTTTAGCTCAGCCACATGGCTTGCATTGGGAGCCAATAGGCACCGGAAGCGCAGCGAGGCTTATCTCATCCCAGATTTCAGCTTCGACCAGGCATTTGATGTCAGCAAATAGGTCGAGTCTTGGCAGCTGAGCGAAAGGTGGGAGGATTCGATGCTCATGCCTGACAGATTGGGAGTTTGATAAAGTATCAAGTGCCCTTCTGCTGGCCAAAGGATATTTCCCCTATCCAGTCTTTCTCTTACATACCTATTGTCTTACTGGAAAAACACGCACGGTCCATGAGCGTAAAGACATCCATCACCCTTCCACGATCAGTCGTAAACCAAACCACTGCCTATCGAAGAAGACACTTTCAACGCTCCCAAACAACTCAAAATGGCCCAACCCTCCCTCTCAGCCAGCTTCAAAGTCCCGCCAACCCACCAAAGCACCAAACACACCCTCGACCCATTCGTAGTGTCACTCGCCGGTATACCATCAGAAATGTTGGACGGAGGGTTCTATGCCGAGGCAAAAATTCTCGACAATGACAACAAAAGTTGGGGGTATGAGATTGTTCAGCATGTCCGAGATTCAGGGGCAGTTACCGCGAACGAGGGGGAGACTGTTCACTTTGTGTTTCGGGGCTTGAAGGCTCCAGCAAGGGAAGGAAGGCATGAAGTGCGGGTTGGCGTGTTTTACAATTTGGCTGTGGGGTCTGCTGTGGAGGTGAGGAGGGAGGTTGTTTTTGGTGGTCGGTGCGAAGAAAGTGGGAGTGAGGCTGTTGCGGAGAAGAGTTGGGAGGGGAGATTGGTGTTGGAAGTGTGAGGTGATAGAGCCTATCCTACTGGATCTAGATGAAGACGTGAAATATATAACTGAAAAGGAAAATAAGTAGGTCCGCCTGAGGACTGGACATACATATACAAAATCAAAAGCTGTCTTATATTGGAATCATCATGTCTCTCCCCATAGCATCGAAAACAACACCGTTTTGGCTGTCACCCATTCATGAACCTTTCACAGCCAAGGGTCCCCCAATCGCACCATCCACACCCGTCCCTTTTACATCACCCTCTTCCCCCCCCCCCTTGTCCCACTCCCCAAGCGGCAGAGCCCGAAGGGGAAACGCCCGACAAGAAACAAAAGGGCAAGGCCACCAAGGAAAGAACAAAGACCCCACCGCCCCCCCGAGGGC